GTTCTCTGAGCTAGCTGGATAGTTCATTTGCGGAGCTTTCATCGCCCTACTAGGCGACATCTTCAGCGCATACTTCAATTCAATGAAGTGGGCTTTTAGATTTCTCCACGAGTTTATTAGTCATCTCTCCTGGTGACCTAGAACGTGATTGGTTGTTTTTGTGTGTTTTCACACCTTCTAGGTTACATGTATTGGAACCGATTGTTTCTTTGACTTGAACTTTGACCCTTTGTGTGTTAAGTTTCTTTCTTATCGGTTGATACATTTTGTCTATCTCGATGTGTCTATTGATTGATGATTCACTGGAATGCCAAGCTTTTAAAAATTCTCTAGCATTCTTGTCGTTTTCTCTGTCTAATATGTGGACGTTGTCCGAGTCGAACTGATGTCCGTGGTTGTCTGTATGTAGTGATATGATGGAGTGGATATCATGTATTTTGACGGCTACCTTATGTTCGTGGATACGAAGACGAAGGGGACGTCCACTTTGGCCAACGTAGTGTTTTTCGCAGTTGTCACAATTTATTTTGCAGATAATATTGGTTTTATCTTCTTTCGCTGTTGAGTCTTTTGGTTGACATACAACTGAGTGAAGTGACTTTGTTGGTTTGTGTACGACGTCAATTCCTAAAGGTTTGCAGAGTCTTGTAGTGATTTCTGAGATATCCTTTATATATAGTAAGGCGATTTTCTTTGTGCTTTCCTTGAGGGCTTTTGGTTTGATAGTTTGGCTCGGGGGTATATGACTTTTGATGAAATTCCTTGGATATCCATTCTTTTGGAAGACGTCCATGAGATACCTTTCTTCAATTTTCCTTAGAGTGGGAGGGCTGTAATGAGTCCTTGCCTCCACCAATCACGTCCAAGGTCACCAGGAGAGATGATTAATAAACTCGTGGAGAAATCTAAAAGCTCACTTCAACAAACTGAAGTATTCGTTGAAGATGTCGCCTAGTAGGGCGATGAAAGCTTCGCAAATAAACTATCCAGCTCAGAGAACACAAGCACATCAAAAATCTTAATAAACTATTCGGCTTAGAATTAAAAACACAAAATCCGAGTTGTTCAGCTTCTTTCAACCTACCATATACCAACACCGTCACATGATTAAATAGCACTTTCATTCCTCATACGGTCGTAGGTGTTCAGTCTCGGAGATTTTCAGGTCAAGTAGTTATATAGTGGCTACTTATAGTTTCTCCAAGATTTTCGACTTTGTCAACTGCTTTTCAGATTCAGGAAGAAATTCTATACCTCTCTGATAAGACCGTGTTAATTTCACATAAAACTATTTCCAAATATTAATCCTGGTGCGTCGGTAGCACAGCAGTTAGGTCTCTCGCCGACCATGCACATGGTCCAGGGTTCGATTCCCTACTAACGCACACCCGATATCAATGGTTGGCCTGCAAAATGTGGACTACCGATATCACATGCTGAGAATTCCATACTCGTACGAAAAATGCAGTGTGGAATCAAGCCATAATCAATATTAAAAAATCCTGTTTTAATTTAATTTCGTGTTTCACTTTGGTTGATTTTTTTGAACCGAAATGTCCGATATCTACTGATATGTTGGTCCCGACATAGGCTCGGTTTCACTGTCAGAGACAACACTATCACTCTTTGGGAATACGGCTGACAAGCCGCAAATACGACTAAATGCGTATCCTGGATCCTTTTGTTAGTCAGATGACAAAATAGTCTTCATGGTATACGAGCTCGCCTTGTACCTGGAAGGTCTAGGATTCGAACTCAAGTGGGTACGTGCTGCTGCTGCTGCTGAGTCTGGAACCAGGACGAAACAGCTGTCCAATACTCCCTGCTGGTTTTCACTGATTCTCTAACTGAAATCAATATGTGGTCAAACTTTAACGAAGGTTACAGTGTTTATCCTTCGCCCTGAATATCTAAAGAGTGTTTTCTGTATCAGTGTGTTCCCAATAGTTGCTGAATTTAAGACTTGTTTATGACATTTTTCTAGGTGTCAGCTGATAACTAGCAAGTTTTTCATGTTACACCTTCCATACTAGTATCATTCACTTCATAAAGTCAAAAAAATGGGTTACTTTGTGGAATATGAGATTTCATGCGATACAATTACTATAGGCGTTTCGATGATACTAGATAGTTGGAGGCAGTCAGCCACAGGAAGCCTTCGACCTAATATTTCGTGCAAGTCGGCACTCACGAGTCAGCAAGGCGTATCTGCACCCTTGTAGAAACTTATGTCCCTTCTGAGATTCGAACCTGCGTCACCCTGTGTGAGCTGCAGTCAGAGACGTTACTTTTGATTGGACACTAGTCAGTAACCAGTATAACGTGTCTAGTCCTTTGTTTGATACAGACTGAATGCTGTCAGTCAAGTTGGCAATGTCGCCACTAGGCTAGTTGGCTCGCCATTACAGTGCACATTGATTTGGTAATATTTTAAATGGTTGGAGGCAATCGGCAGGAAGCCTTGCTTGACCTAGGTTTTGTGCTAGTTACTATAAGCGTCCATTGTCTATTACATGAATGGTTTTACTAGTGATTGTTCAGAACGTTATTAATGTCCTAATTTAACAGTGAATAAATGTTTTAAAGTAAGCCTGATATTGGTAAATTCTACTGTAGCATTTTATTAATGAGGTATATATACATACATATTATCCATTTAAAAGACTAATTAATCAATAAAGAATATTCATTTTCGATAAACTCTTCATCAAGTTCTAAATTTTATGACCATAATAATTATAGAAATATTGTTATTAACAACATTTATTATTATTGTTATTGGTCCCTTGGGTTCCTAGTGGAACATAGGGCTTCAACTGCCCATCCTCACTTGCTTCTGTCTTCTGCTGTATTTTTTATCTGCGTCCATGTTTAACCATACTGTTTCAACTCCTCTTCACACGATCTCCTCCATGTCACCCTTGTACGTCCCAATCGCCGCTTCCCTTCCAGGTTCCACTCGAGCACTGGCCTGACGCGCGATGTCACCCAGGGGTCTCCTCAGCTCAGCGAGTGTCCAATTCATCTCCACTCTCTCCTGCATATTTGTTGGCCGATCGCTTCTTGTTTTGTTTGTTCCCATAGTTTCTTGTTGTTGATTCTTTCCGGCCATCTGATCTTCAGTATAGAGCTAGCGAAGACAGTTAGTTGTTGATAAAGGTGTGCAACAGGCTGTTGGAAATATTCTCTGTGACACACTGGCCAAGTTTCTGATCCGTATAGAAGAAGTGACTAACTTGACGTCATTTGTATTGAAAATCCGAATTTTGTTGTTGATGCTGAGTTGAGTGACGAAGATTTCCAGATTGGTTTCAGGTTGATGAATGTGTTTCTCTCCTTCCCGATTGTCGATTTGACATCCTCGTCTGTTACTCCTGTAGTTGAGACAATGCTCCCTAGATATATTAACAACATTAGTGCTGCTTTAAATTGCAATGAATCAATCAACATTATCGATTGATTACATTTCAAAAACACCAGTAAGTGAGAGATAATACGCATTAATATAACATCGACTAAACTGACTGAATATCAGATAAATTAAGGGAAATAAGAGAGAATTTAAGAGTTTGACAGCAGTTCGGAGTAGCAGTATTGGCAAGCTAAACCTGTTTCTTTTGCGCACAAAGCTCTGGTTGATTTAAGCGAATTACAGTGGCCTCTGTTGCTTGGAGTGTTCGATATCTAAAGGCTTTCGGTAATTTATTTCTTACCCGATAAATGATACGGAAGGATTCTTCAATGCTAGATGGCTTTGTGGCTTGTTTGGATGAGGCATTCTAATATAGAACTGTTGATGGTTTCAACAACGCCATCACATGGCCACACTGACAGGTATTCCTGAACACGAAAAATCAAGTTCCTAGATCAACGACCAATATAACTATCACCAAAGGAGCAGTTGAATTAATGGAAACAATTGAAGGTAGCTAGTCGGTCTAGGTACTTCGTCTTTCAGTTTCGGAATCACACAACCAGTTGTGTGTGGAAAATATAAGCTGCAGCTTATCGACATTAAACCTTCTTTATTGGTCAATATTTCACTTCGTATATCACCTCTAAATAGTACTCGTATATATATAGAGGCTTCTTGTTAACATATAGAGAAGAATTCCATTCTACTGTCTCGGCCACTTGTTGAATGATGAACTTTTCAAGGTAGCTGTTTCCAGTCAAAACGTTGTATACAGCCTTCATGGTCTTTTTCAAAGGCATCCTCTGAACAAACAGCGAACGCACTACACCTGAAGATCTCTTAAATATTTTAATGGGCATCTCCGATCTAATAAAAAAATTAATTATTCGCATTTTAAAATGTAATGTACAATACTCAGGAATTAATTCATGCATAGGTAAAGCGCCTCAGGACTTCCAAATATATCAGAAGAGGAGAATAATTGGCCACATTGCAAGCTTGACTGATAGAATTCAGTCTGCAGCGAAGATAGGACTAGACGCATTACACTAGTCACTGACTAGTGTGCAATCAAAAATATCCAATACAGTAGTCCTACAGGAGGTCAATCGTGAGCCTGAATAGCTCAGTGGTAACGTCTCTGACTGCAGCACTGGGTGACGCGGGTTCGAATCTCAGAAGGGACATCAGTTCCTTCAAGGTTGCAGATACGCCCTGCTGATGAGTGCCAACTAGCACGAAACCTAGGTCCAAGGCTTCCTGCCGATTGCCTCCAACCATCTAATACCAACAATTCACAGCGCACCGCAACGCCGAGCCACCTAGCATGGTCGCCACATTGCAAGCTTAACTGATAGAATTCAGTCTGCAGCGAAGATAGGACTAGACGCATTACACTAATTACTGACTAGTGTGCAATCAAAGAGAATAATTAATGCCTATTTCTTGATTAGTTAAGTAATTAAGGTTTCTGAATCATTCTACAAACTGGTTTTAACCCTTCCAGTTGTTTTTGAGTATATGTGTTGTCTCTGGTTTCATAAATCACTATTGAATGAATTTTTGTTTTACTTTTGCATTACAGGGAGAACCTGGTGATGTCGGCCTACCTGGAGAAGATGTAGGTTAATCAAACAGCCTTTTTTGTGTGTGGATATTTCGCTTATTGTTTATGTTGACACAAAACACCAGAGAGAATGTCATTTATTTGAAGTTGATTTATCATCCTGTTAGAAGTTGTCATAGGTTGTAACCGAAATCAGAGGGTATTTTAAGTATTTATAGAAAACTACAACGATGGAGTATAAGTTGGACAGGAGTATAAACAAACTCCTTTGAACTTGTTTATTCAGCCGATGTGCTCAAGAGAGACAAATTCCATACATTCATTCCCCTTAAAGAATTTGAATAAAGCAAGAACAACAGTTTTTGCAGAATAATATGGTACCATCATTTCTTATTTCGTTGGCTTCTAATCAGCTGCTTACAGGCCAAAGAGCTATGAGATTATGCTCTATAGAGAAATTAGAGGAAGAATTTATGTTTCTCGAAAAGATGTTGAAAAGCAGTGGTTACCCTCAAAGGTTCATTAACAAGTACGGAAGATCTGAAGGCTCAAATGTCAAACAAATCACAGTGGAGAAAAAGCCCATCTACATTCAACTTGATTATAAAGGTGAAAACATTGCAGCGATGGTCAACAGAAGACTGAGTACGTCACTAGCCACAGCCTATCCTGTAGCTAAGCTCGTTCCCGTCTATCGAACAACTTGCTCTTTGGTGCTATTAAAAATAGATAGATATCCTTCTCATGTTAACTCCAACTGTATATACAAATTAACACGTATCTGCGGTAGCAGTCACATTGGAAGAACAGAAAAAATGGCACACCTCCGATTTTCTGAACATGTACCACAACGCTTATGTCTAAAGGGAACAAATGCTTTAAACATTGCCATCGCCAGGCATCTCCTTGACACGCGTCATGATATGGACGTCGCAAGATCGTTCAAAATTATCAATAGACAAAGGAGTTCAATTCTCCACAAGTTTGCTGAAGTCATCTCCATCAAGAGCCTGAAACCTGATTTGTGTGTTCAGAAAGAAACAGTTATCAGTCTTTCTTTGCCATCCTGGTAACTGGGTATTTTCACCTCTCTTGCATCTGGTTACGCGATGTCGAAAGTTTCAATTATGTTTGATGATTATTGTTAGGAATAGCTTTTAATATTATATATATATGTATATTAGTATTATTATTGTATGCATATATGGATTGATTGATTTTTGTTTAAAAATGAACTCTGTGCAAGTATGTTAAAACTGTTTCTGTAGATATACTTAATAATGACTTTGGGCTGTAAGCAGCTAAGCTGATGAGAAGCCAACGAAATAAACAATGATGGTATCATTTTATTCTGCAAAAATTGTTGTTCTTGCTTTATTCAGAGACAAATTCATCAACTTAAGGATGACTACAATCCATTAGGCTTTAATTTGAGGTTGACCTTCATATCTTGATGTAGTTGTGTTCTCTGAGCTGGTTGGTTTATTTGCAAAGCTTTCATTGCCCTACTAGGCAACATCTTCAACGCATAGTTCAATTTGATGAGGCGAGCTTTTAGAAGTCAAACTTCAGGTCAAGGAAACAATCAGCACGAATACCAATACAAGTAGCCTAGAGGGTGTGAAAACACACAAAAACAACCAATCACGACGTTCAAGGTCACCATCAGGAGAGATGACTAATAAACTCGTGGAGAAATCTGAAAGCTCACTTCAACGAATTGAAGTATGCGCTGAAGATGCTACCTAGTAGGGCAATGAAAGCTTCGCAAATAAACCATCCAGCTAGCTCAGAGAACATAGCCACATCAAAGTCATCCACCTTAGCTACAAATCTTCTTTATCATATCTTCTGATTGCTTACGGTTGAATTTGTACTTAAAGGCGGTTAATGCTAAGCTAAATCTATTTACCAAGTAGGCCTCAGTTTGATTTACAATTTATCTAAATATTTTGTTACTTTTTCACAGGGTATACCAGGATCTCCAGGAGAAGATGGTGTACCTGGTCCACGTGGACCTCCAGGAGAACAAGTGAGTATTTACCGAAACATTTTCTTTAAATAATACAATTTTCAAGATTTTTAACTTTACTTAGATAGATGAACATATACATCGGATCATAGGAATTAATAAAAAGACGGTTAGAGGGAAGAAAATTTTCTTTTCGACGATGTCATCAACTAGACTGTACATTCGTGTATTCATAGTAAATGAGTGACAAAGTTCCAGAAATATTTCAGGTCAAAGGTCAGACTAATATGTATAGGTATTATCAGTCAACAAGGTTATATCCACAAATTCAGTGTTCGAAGGTAAACTAATAACAATATATTTCACAACTCCCCGGCCAGGAACACTAGAGAAATGACAGTCTTGCGTAACTAAGCAAACGTAGCGTAATAATCGAAAAGCGCGTCAAGGTCATTTTCCAAGACATAATAAGGTCATGATTACTGAAAAACTTGACTGTTTGTACAAATTACGGATTAAGGACGTAGTGATAACAGAATAGGTAGGAGGTTCGGGTATGTGTAAAAATAAAAACAGCAACCAGATCTAGTAATGGCCGAGTGGTTAAGGAGGTGGACTTAAGATCCTCTGGGGTGAATCCATGCCTTCTGTAGGTCGGTGGCACTCGCCGACCATGCACATGGTCTGGGGTTCGATCCCCTGCCGACGCACACCTGATCTGAATGGTCGGCCTGCGAAATTTGGGCTACCGGTATCACATGCAGAGAATTCCACACTTATACCGAAGATACGGTGTGGAATCACAAGCTATAATCAAAAATCAAAAATAATGCACATAGGAATTAAAAACGTTAAAATAGTAGAAATAAACGGGAGGGTTGGATAGGGAAGGTAATAGGGTAATCATCGTTGGTGAAACTGACTTCTCATGATGGCTATGGTAGGAACAACGATTGAACATATTTCTTTTGAACACGTGGCGTGTACTTGATTTTTTGGATCGTCACTGCCTCAGTTACTGCTAGATACCTTGATTGGATCCCGCTTTGACTTTGGAGGACTTTCAAAATGAAACTGAATGTCCTGAATTTACCAGCTGTTGTGTTGTCGAACTGTATACACCCTTGCGTTCTCCCTTTGTTAAACATGCTGTGCAGTGTTGCCGAGTGCTTTTTACTAGCGGACTCATAGTACGACCAATATACTTGGCTCCACACGAGTAAGTAAACTGGCATGTTTAAGTGGCCCAATGAGACAGCTTGTCTTTCACGTGCTGTTTGAATAGGTTCTCGCAGGAAAATGTTACTCGTAGGCTGGTGGCAAAGTATGTTTTACTGAGAGACTTCGAAAGTCGTCTACGGAGAAGTTCTGCCTAGGTATCACTTTTAAATTCAAGGTTAAGTATCAGCATGCTTTTGGGGGCGACTTGGACGTTTTCAGGCGTTTTCTTTGGTTTTAGATTCTTGTATATGAATCTTGTTGAGAAACCATTTTATATCAAGGTCTCTCAGAGATTACACAATTCCTCATCAGTTCACTCCACAGTACAAATCTTCCGGATCCTCGAGAAAAGAGAGTATAAAAGGGTTCTCTTTCTGCTTAGAGGTACACAACTTTGAAAGTTCAATTCCATGTGAGCTTCTTTTAGATGGATCTTCTCAGTGAGTTGTCAGCATTCCTCCTTAGATGAACATATCTAAGTACATATATTCGGCGATATAAACATGAATATACGGACTATTACTTAAAAAATTCAGTTTTGGTTTGCTGACTGACTGATTCAACCGAGATTTTCTACCTCTAATGATATATCAGAGCTTGGTACAGATGCCTCAACGATATCCGAGGATTAACTTGAAGTATTCCGGTGTACGGTAGTTAACAGTGGATGAAATGCTCACCATGGATTCCTCTGCTGGTAGTCACTATCCACGAAACTATTTCAAATTAATCCATAGATGTCGTCGAAGCGTCCATATTCGGAGGCGACATATTAGTAGAGGCCAAACATCTGGATCCAGTCAATCAACGGGAAAATCAAAATTGAATAAAAAACAAATAACAAATGTTGCCCATTGCACAAGAGGTGGTGGTTCTCTTGGCCCAATCGGTCTAGCGGATATCTCTATTAGAGATGTATTAGTGATGTATATTATTATTATTATTGTTTCCTTTAATTCCTAGAGGAATATAGGGCTTCAGCCGTGCGTCTCCATTGCGTTCGGTTCTCTGCTAGAGCCTTCACCGGGCTCCATGTCTGCCCACACGTTTTCATCTCCTCTTCACATGAGCTACTCCAAGTCACCCTTGCACTGACGACCAACTCGCCGCTTCCCTTTCGGGTTCCACTCAAGCAATGGCTGGTCTAGTGATGTCACTTGATGGTTTCCTGAGAGTATGGCCAATCCACCTCCATTTCTCCTGCAGATTTTTTTCACAATTGCTTCCTTTCTGGTTGGTTCGCTCATTGCCAGAGATCTCTCACTACTGCTGACCTTTTCTGGCCATCTGATCTTGAGTAGTATTGAGCGAAGACAGCTGTTTGATGAAGGTCTGTAGTTTGTTTACGGTGCTCTTCATGACGCGCCAAGTCTCTGATTCATCCGTATAGTAGCACTGACTTCACACTGGAGTTGAAAGTCCAGATCTTATTTTTCACACTGAGGAGTGCTGTTGATCTCCACACAGACTTGAGAGTAATGAAAGCTTGCCTTGCTTTCTCGATCCTGACTGCGATATCCTCACCATTTCCATCCGCCCGTAGTTGAAACGATGGTTCCCTGGCAGGTAGGTAGGTAGGTGAAGGAGGTTGCTTCTTTCACATTTCTCCCTTTTATGCTGGCTGATTGTTGTCTGTTGTTGTTGTTGTTGCTGTTGCTGTTAGCCAGCAATCAGGAAAATCATTGGAGAAACTACTTTGAATTAGAGCCTTTTTATGAAAGATTGACTTGTATATAAAAATATTCCAAAACCAAGATACAGTGAGCTGTGTGTATATACCTCAGTAAATCAGAGTTTATGAAATTGTTGTAATTATAATCAAAATAGGTGTGTATACTACTGACTGGCTGAAGTGATTAGTCGTATGACACTGAGATCAATCAGTAGTGCTTGCTAGTCATTCAGGTCAAAGTGATCTGAAAGCTAGAGGGCCGTTCCGCTCATTGGGGGGAAGCTCGTCAGCGGTGTACTCAGTATAACTAATTCCGTCATTTCGAATAAAGATCAGACTTCACATCAGGCGGCAGCAACACTACTTTTAAGCTTACAGCCTGGAATTTTAGTATTTTCATACCACAGTTTACAATTTGGACTTAAAACAACAACAGATATTTATGGTTCAAAAGGTTTCTAAGCTATGTCACAGAAACAGAAACAGCGGCGACACAGTATACTTCAACTCTGCTCTACTTTGATAGAGGAAGAAAGACCAATATGACATCATCCTATTTCACAGGTTCTCATCAGCTGCTGTACACTACCTGAAATTACAATGGTCATACACAATGACAATAACACACTTCAATGTTTGAATGGTAGTAAAGAAAATATTATCAAATTAACGCACCCGAAATGCAATCACTACAAATTAAGTTACCATCATTATAAATGCTTTCAAAATAGAAAGGGAAGGTGGAGTGTCGAAGAGAAGGCAGAAAACAGAAAAATCCAATAAACAGTGTTAGCTTATAGATTCACATAGCAATTCAAGAAGGTCATAGTTCATAATACTGAAAACTTGTTCTCTCAGCTGAAATCACTTCTATGGATGACTGGCCAAAGTTGTCAAAATGCAGTCACCAAGACAATGAGAGAATGACTACACTCTCTTTATGTATACATAAATTTGGTCTGAAACGTTTGAGTGCAGCTGCATCAGCATATCGTAGAAGATTTTCTGTCCTTTGTATGTTCAGTATTTCGAAGGATTTGGAAGTTTTCGAGTCCACAAGGTGTCTGGCAATTACACTTTGCAAATATCTGCTTCCTTTTAGGCAGGTGTACTCAGAAAATCGGATAAAAACCCTTCTTTCTGTCTTTCCAATGCACTTGTTCCCGCAGGTGCACTTAAATTTATAAACACATTTGGTGCTGTATAATGTTACAAGATTAGCTGCAGGGAAGCATCATTTTTATCGCTCCTTTCATTCTTTTGTCAATCCGTAGAGATACTTATTCTCCTTTAGAATAGAAGACAAAAACACACTTTCTTCATTTCAACAGTTGAATGCTTCTCGTCTTTCTCGTCTTTTCCTTTACTTTACTCTTGAATAAATCCCTTTGGACACCTATTTTGCCTTAGGCATTTCTCAACAAAGTCTAATTCTTCTTCCACCTTGTTGGGAAGTCATAAATTTCTGGCTCTGTCGTTCAGTGTCCTCCCTATGCTATTTACTTAAAAATCCTTCAGTAATAAAAGGTTTTCCAAATGATACCGACTGCATCACACATCTTGATTGATTGTATGTTTATCCGGATAAAAAAATGATCCAATTCTTTCTGTGTGTCATCATTTTATATAACCCTTTTCGTCGATGGATGACTTTTGGTTCAGTGTTTTTTCTTCCTATTACAGTCCTACCTTTCGTGATCGAGTGATTGGGAGGAAGCTTCTACTACTTTTAACATAAAAGTATATATGCAGTATAACTCGATTGCATCAAACCGTATTATTCGAATTTCACTTCTCGCTATCACTATTATAGGTATCACTGCTGTTTATCTCTTATATTATATTCATCTACATTTTGGAATATTATGTCTAGATTTTTGTTAAGAAGGGAATGATATAAACAAAAACTGATTCACTATTTTCGAATCATTCAGTTATATTCATTGTATCTCCTTTTTTGATTAGTAACAGAAATAATAGAAACATGTAGGACCAACTGACATTAGTTAAATTGTTATTATATATAAACATATAAATTTGAATTAAAGATAAAAACCTGGATACTTGTTAAACACCCCTTAATAGTTTAATGGACTGGACTAGGTATGACGTCTGCGAAAAATGCGATGGTTGTGGCTTGACGTCAGTATCGCTGGTATATTTAATCTGCCTAAAACAATATAAAGCTCATTTAAAGACTGTTTAAATCACTGGGGCTACCGAAATTTCCATCCATCAAAATGCGGCTTAAACTCTTCTGCATTTTTTATTGTTTTAATCATGTAATTAGATTAAATGATCAATACATGAACTCGCGCGCATATTCAATTAGTTTCTAACATAAAGTCTGTATTATTCTTGAAGGAAATGAAGAAAAAATCTGTTGATTTGGTTCTCTCTTCGAATTCAATATAGTTACGTCATATGAAATACTTCAGATTATTAGTTTACATGTGAATCATGAATGAAGAGGAAATATATTTAGGAACCAAATACACTGAGAATTTCCTCGGTTTAAAATAAAGCTTTGTTATAAATTTAAGAGTTGATCACGGATTGATATCAGTTAGAGAACCATTGAAAACCAATAGGGAGTACCGAACAGCTGTTTCATCCAGGTTTAGGAATCACTGGCAGTAAGCACTCACCACAGGATTTCGGCACCAGGACCTTCCGGTTACAAAGCAATCTCGTATACCATTCAGTCACTGGGAGCTGATTCATTGGCCAGTCAATGAATTCTAACTTCTACCAATTCGTGATTTAGCGCGACTGGCACCAACCAATGTCATCGGTGGGAACTCCATCCTCACACTTGATTGGGTGGACCTCACTGGTCACGGCTTCTCATCAAAACTCCAAGCGAGTATCAGATGGTGAATGTCCCACCGATGACATTGGTTGGTGGTCACGCTGAAAATCACGAATTGGTAGAAGTTAGAATTCACTGACTGGCCGTTGGATCGGGTCTCAGTGGCTGAATGGTGTACGAGGTCGCCTTTTAATCGGAATTTCCTGGGTTCGAACCCCAGTGGATGCGTATTGACGATGATTCCCGAACTAGGATGATACAACTATTCAAGAGTCCCTAGTGGTTTTCAATGCTTCTCTAACTGATATCAATCCGTGATCAACTCGTTAAAACAAATCTAATCCTTACAAACCAACTATAGAAAATTTATTATTATTATTAAAAACAAAGAGTATTATTTTCGATAAATTCGTCATTAGGTTCTACATTTTTATGACACTAATAATTAGGACGATAGTGCTATGAACAACATTAAAGCTGTTTTGATTTACACAGAATCAATAATATGGACAGAATACATTCCAGAGGTATCAGTAAAAGAGAGAGCAATAATATGCATTAGTGTAACACTAAACTGGCTGAATATCAGATAAACTGAGGAAAGTAAGACAGAATTCGTGAATTCGTAGAAAAGTTCGACAGCAGGTCTGGGTATCAACAGTGGCTGACTGGACCCGTTTCTTTTACCCACAGGGCTCCAGTTATTTTGAGCGAATACCAATGGCCTCTTCTGTTCTGAGCATTCAGTATCCAGCGGCCTTTGATAATTTATTCAGTAGCCAATAGATTATAGAGAGAGACTCTTGAGTGATAGCTAGCCTTGTGGCCTGTTTGGACGAGGTAGTCCAATATAGAATTGTTGATGGATTTAGCAACACCTTTATTTAGTCACACTTGTAACTGTGTTCCGGAGCACAAAAACTTAAGCTCCTAGATCAGCGGCCAATACAGCTGATTCCACAAGAGCAGTTGAATTGATAGATACGATTAGAGATGTCTAGGGGGTCTAGGTACTTCGTCTTTTAGTTCCGGAATTAATAATAATAATATCAATGGATTACAGTTCGACAGCATCAAAATAACAATGCACTGAATATCAGAAAAATTAGGAAAGATAATAATACAAATTCATGAATTTATAGTCTCCACTGAAGGCAGACCAGGGCAGAATTAGTGGCTGGCTGGCTGGACTTACTTCTTTTGCACACAAAGCACCAGTTGTTTCAGTCGAATCGCGATAGCCTCTGCTGTTCGGAGCATGGGGTACCTGAATCGATTTTCTCTTGGTTCATTACACATGAATTGTAGTTGTATTCCTTAATTATTACCGTCATATAGAAATGCAGAACCTGATGACGAATTTATCACAAAAAGAATATTCTTTGTTCACTAATCAATTTTAAAAATTTATAATTTATTTAGCTGCATATCTTTCATTTGTTTAAATTCACGATTTACAAATCGAGTATTTCCAAGTATTAGTTTTGTAGGGATTTTGTTTGATTGGTTGGAGGATTTCATCATGAATTGACATCATTTAGAGAACCACTGGAAAACCTAAGAGTACTCGACCGCTGTTTCGTCCCAGTTTGAGACTCCTTAGCAGTACGCACCCACAGCCAGTGTTCAAACCCAAACCTTCTGGTTACAAGGTGAGCTCGTAGACCATTAGGCCAATGGGATTCGATCCAATGGCCAGCCCATGAATTCTAACTTCTGCCATTTCATGACAGCGTCACCAATACTTGAAAATTAATCTGATGCTCACTAGCAACTAGCCCGATACAGGCAGTTAACCTGGGGTTCTAGTGAGAAATCGTGACCAATAGGATACAGCAGGTTGAAGATGAGGCAGTAACTCATCGAAGAAGACACTCCGAAGTGGTCGCGCTATGTCATGAATCGGCAGAAGTTCGAATTCATGGAATGGCCATTGGATCGGGACCCACTGGCTGATGAATGGTCTACGAGCTCTCTAGCCTTGTAACCAGAAGATTCTGGGTTTGAACCCTGGTGGTGGGTGAGTACTGATGAGGAGTCCCAAGCACTAGGACGAAATAGCTGGCTTTCCAGTACTCCCTGCAGGTTTTCCAGTGGTTCTATAACTGATGTCAGCCCATGCTTGGTTGGAGAGCATCCTACCGATGTGCCATCGACGTAAAATTAAACTTAGCCTATCATATTATGCATACTACACTTTCACTAAATGCCTAAATACATGAAATACCTCAGAGTTGAAATATACAGCAATAAATTGTTCGACTTCTTAAGAATTCTCCACAGTTAGTTTATAGGAATTCGGTGTGTTTCTAGTTTGATCACTAGCTGACATTATTTAGAGAACCTTAGGAAGCCAGGAACTACTGAACAGCCATTTCATCCTAGTTGGGGACTCGTCAGTATTAGACACTCACCAAGGCTACAGCCCAAGAGCTTCCTGTTACAGAGCGAGCTCGTAGACCATTCAGACACTGGGACCCGACCGAATAGCAAGCGCATGAATTCCAACTTCTACCAATTCGTGGCTTTAGAGCGACCACCAGCCAATGTTATCAATAAGTATCTGTCTTGATGCCTGTCTGGGTAGGCCCCACTAGTCACAACTTCTCACTAGAACTACAGTCACTAACCAGCATCAGATAAATTTTTTTACGCATTATTTTATAGGGATTTGATTTTTTTTCCAAGTTTATGCACTGATTATTATTTTTTCTTTCATTTTTAGGGTGCTCGAGGTTTAATGGGTGATGTTGGCCCTAAAGGTGAAAGTGGAGTGTATAATTACACAAATATAATTCCTGGAGATCGAGGTGAACCAGGTCCACCTGGAGAAGATGGTTATCCATGTGAAGGTATGGATCGTGCTTTCACTCCAGAGGAAATAATCAGTTTTACAAGAGGACAAACAGGAGAAATAGTAAGTCAGTAAAAATATTATGTTCATTGAAAGAAAACAAAACAAAAAGCAATAAGTATTCCCTAATTGATGGTGAATTTCATCAAAACCTTATTAGTTCTAAAGTCTTATATCTACACAAATTCTGCCTAAAATTTTAATGAAATGTGAGTCAATTCTAGTTGCTTCACTTCACAATAGTACACGTAAAAGTAAAGGGAAGAGATGAAGTGAAACTATAATGACCGGAAAATGTACAAGGGAGAGACTCTGGAAGATCGTAAGGAAATGCATATTTGCACCATTGAGAACGATTTTAAGTCATTCCGCCAAGTCTTCAGACATTGATCTCTAACATCAGGCAGTTTACATCTCACACAGCTCAAAGTTACAATCGAAGACGTCAGGAACTGATGCTAGAGTTTTGGTTTGATCATCCCTTCAATTCTCTCTAGCCCAGTACTTTTTCAGTTAACGTTGCACATTGATGGCTGGGCATACATAACACATACCTTGGCCATTTCATCAAGTGATGAGGCTTCACAACTTCACCTAACACTGTACGTCTATCTTCATTTTTGCTGAACATGGTGTGTTTAACTTTACACACACGGAACCAAACTCTTCACATCTTCCAATTTTAATGACTACCTCTTACCGTTGGAAAGTGGGATAAAGTAAATAGGTTGTACAGTACACACGTCATCCATCTGATGGATAGATGGACACCACATTAGCGGATTCATTCACAAGCGGAGATTTCGTCAGCTATCATTCTATTAGAGCTGCCCCAACCCATCAAATGAGTGAAGTAGTCAACAACACATTCTACCCTCCCCCCAACGAAGAGTCGGTGCAAACCAGTCCTGCAGCATCACCTTACACGCGAAAAAAGAAAATGTTATGCCAGATATGCTTAGATTTTCATTTATCACGTCTAGAAGACAAGGATAGTGTCATCCGCGTACTCTTGGTAAGCAAAACTGTCTCCTAGCAACAAACCAACAAATCAAAAATTCAGGTCAACTACGATCATAGTCACCATTAATTCTACAATCGAACTTAAACCCTGATGAATATTATGAGCTCAAGTAGAGTTCCTCGACTAGTAAAGTACTCTTTCTTGGGACTCCATTCTCAGCCAAAATACATTACCTGTCGACTGATAGAATTAGGTACTATCTTTAGGTCAAGAAATATGACAATTGTTAAACTCCGATAAGTATGTCTCCTATTCAGGACCTTTCAAAGCCTGGAGTCCTGATTAATACACCCTCATCTCATGAACCCTGACTGGTAATTTCTGGGGTTATTAGAGAACTAAGGAACATAGAATCTCACTATGTGTATTAACTTTTAAGAAATCATAAGATTTATATGTGCACCCAATATTATCATTTGGATATCACTATCATTTAATGAAGTTACTGGACGGCAGTAAATTTATTTATGAGGCATCACTGTGACTCATATTAGTCGAGATGTATGCTACCAATGGCTAACTTATGATTAACTAGTGGTGTTACAGGAAGCCTTCCACTGGATCCATCCATCCTCGTATTTCTGAAGTAAGAGTATAGGTTACCATTCGAAAGGCCGTGAAGAAACAGACTACGATTATGGAATCTTTCTGTCAGCCATGATACCGATTATCAGATCTCTTATGTACTGTAAAAGAATATAGTGTGATATATTTATCATTATGATTGATGTTTAATTTCTTTAATTTAATTTTCTAGGGTGAAGCTGGTCCGAAAGGTGATACTGGAGAACCAGGTGATACAGGTGATATGGTAAGTCCGACTGTATAAAAAATGCTGTTTTTCACAGTTGTTGCAGAAGAAGAATATATGTAAGGAAACGTCGACAGTGAAAGTTATTCAGTCAGAAAGCTTTTTAACTTCCTGATATCCTTTTGTTCTATTCAAGAATTCCTTTTTTATAAGTTTGAGCAAAGAAAAAAAAAGGTTGGTTCTCATCAGCTGCATGCAACCCGTAATCTTTAATAAATAAAAGTCAGTATAAAATTTAACATACTTTTGTTCATCAACAGGCATATTGTAAGAGTGTCATGGTAAGTTCAAACATCAGGGTGACAAGGTAGCTGAAGTAATACAATATAATTATGCATATATACATCTTGTTAGAGAGAAGTTTCCAGAAAATTAATTGAAAAGTTTGTTTTTAGGTTGGTAACAGAAAAATTAGTAACAGTTACGTAGTTAGATAAGAGAAGATCAAAACTTTATGTGTAATAGGCCAAATGAAAAGATGATAATGTAATATGATGAGTAGAACTCATGATATCAAGAAAAATTATCTTTTATGGAAGTCAAACAAAAGAAAGGAGGCGGAGGGGGCATTGAAAAGATAGGTTAATGGAGTCAGAAGACCAAGAGTTATTAAGGGATGAAGCACCAGGATAATTGGAGTCCAATAACAGATTCCTTTTGGACACATAGGTCAGGTTCCAGCAAACAGAAGAAGAATTGAGCTATTTTATCTGTTAATTATTTTGAATTATGCCATCACGTCTACTTGGCATCCAGTGTCCATCAGATGTTTGGTAATTGAACTTCTTGGTCCCTTTAAAAGGATACTCCTTGGTACATGTTCTAAGATCCTGACGTAGACCCTTCTTTCTGTTCTTCCTATGGAACCGCTCCCGTAGATAAATGTGAATTGTCATGCAGCTGATGAAAACCAACGAAATGAAGTGAATCCATGTTATTCTGCACCGATGTTGGTTTCGCCTCTGCTCAAATCCTTTTGTTTCATTCCCGCATAAAGTGAATAATATCCTTCAGTTAACAATTTGTGGGCACTCATCATACACTAAGAGTTTAAACCTATCATACGTATATGTATATATCATGTACATAATTGTCGGATTACTCTATAGCATTAGAAGTGATCCTGCATCTATCAAATTTCAACGCATACCTTGAAATATTTGGTGTCAGAATGTAGACAAAAATTCTGGCACTATAAGAAATGCGCTGACGGATGTGTAAGACTGTCTTTATTCTCCGATCGGGAGTTTTGATACAGATGAAGTATTATTATTATGATTCCCTTGGGTTCCGAGTGGAACATAGGGCTTCAACAGCACATCTCCATTTCACTCCATTCTTTATAGTTCTCTTTAGCTCGCCCCATCATCTCTTATAAGCCGTCATCTCCTCCCCCCACTGTTTTCTTTATGTCATCCTCGGAAATACGTCAAACTCGTCTTTTCCCACTCACCTTCTACTTGACAGGACGATGTCACCCAAAGATCTCGTCAGCGCTTGTCTGTTCCATTTCCATTTCATTTCGGCATATTTCTTCAGCTATGGGTTCTTGGTTGGTTTATTCCCATAGTTTCTTGTTATTAATTATTTCTGGCCTGCCACGTGATCTTTAATATGCCGCCAGCGTAGGCACTTATTGAGAAAAGTCTGCAGAAGAACCGACTGACTTAACATTGGTGTTGAAAATCCAAATTTCGTTGTTAATGTTGAGAGCTGAAGATTTCCAGGCTGATCTCAGAGTGATGAAGGTATGTCTTGCTGTCTCGATCCTGGCTTCCACATCTTCAGCCTTGCTGTTGTCTTTAGTTGAAATGATCGTGCCTAGATAGGGGTAAAGGAAGTCATGTCGAATTTCTCCTGCTGATAGTGATTGGTACTTGTTGTTGGTGGTGCGACTAAGTACCTTCAACACTTCCGTTTTCTCTATGTTCACTTGAAGTCTTGTCTTTGCTGCTTCTTCTGACAAATTGCTGGATTTCACCTGTAGATCTTCCAGTTTGTGTAATAATTGGCATGAATGAAGTATAGTTAAAACTAAGCAGAAATGAAGAGTAGTATGAAGTGTAAAGGTTGAGAATGAAATTCAACGCTCACTGACTTGTGAAAACACGCCATGTAATTAACGTTTTACGCCTAATATACAGTCAAAGTTAGTTTACAGATGTTTGCTGCAGAGTCGAAGTTCATTCCAATAGAGACAAACGTTGTAACGCAAGAAAGAATTATTAGCTGTTGGATAAAACGACCAATTTCTTCTGTTCGACAAATGATTACAAGTCTTTCAACACAGGGCTTCATGAATTCTTCCTGTATTGCTTATAATGAATATTGAGGGCAAAATAACAACTAAAATAGTCAATAATTTCCTCTGGAGATTTTTTCTATTCCCTTACGCTCCCGGTGGAACACAGGGCTTCAAGCTAGCGGCCTGAAGTTTCTGTGGCAGTGGTGTTTATTTTTACGGGATGGGTTTGCTAGCCGGCCTCATGCCCAACCCTCCCTCTTTGCCAGTTCTATTACTAGCCTAGTGAGTTAAAGGAGTGCGTCGGTGGCCGGGGATCGAACCCCGGACCACATGAGGCGTGGTTGGCGAGCGTCCTAACCGCTGTGCCACCGACGCACTGAAGTAGTTCCTCTGAAGTGCATCAAAGGAATTTCACAGATGTAATGTATACTGTCGACTGATATATGAATCAGTATATTAATGAGTGTTGTCGACACTTTTATAGATTCTTTTATCACATTTTTATCTATGTATCAGCGTAGCCAATAACGGGATTTCCTTTTTCTACCCCATAACTGTGAATGGTGATGAGGGTTCTTTACGTCATCGGTCACTGTCGTAATTAGTAATATCATTATATTATTATTGTTCCCTTGGGTTCCTAGTGGAACATACGGCTTCAACTGCACGCCTCCATTTGCTTCTGTTTTGTGCTGTACTTTTCACTTGCATCCATGTTAATCCATACTGTTTCAGTTCCTGTTCACACGATCTCCTCCATGCCACCCTGGGACGTCCCACTCGCCGCTTCCCTTTCGGGCTCCACTCGAGCTATGGCCTGACACACGATGTCACCCAGCGGCCTACTCAGCTCAGCGAGTGTCCAATCCATCTCCAATTTCTCCTGCATATTTGTTGGGCGATTGGTTCTTGTTTTGTTTGTTCCCAAAGTTTCTTGTTGGTTCTTGTTCTTTCCGGCCATCTAATCTTCAGTATAGAGCAAAGACAGTTAGTTGTTGATGAAGGTCTGCAACAGTCTGTTGGAAATATTCTTTGTGACACACTGGCCAAGTTTCTGATCCGTATAGAAGAACTGACTTGACGTTTGTATTGAAAATCCGAATTTTGTTGTTGATGGTGAGTTGAGTGACGAAGATTTTCAGTTTGGTTTCAGGTTGATAAATGTGTTTCTCGCCTTCCCGATTCTCGATTTGACATTCTCGTTGTCCGTTCCTCCTGTAGTTGAGACAATGCTCCCTAGATAAGTGAATGAAGTAACCTCTTTCAAATCTCTCCCGTTGATGGTGACTGTCGCTGGATGTTGCTGCTGTTATTATTGTTGTTGCTGTTGGTTGGTTATTTTCATAACCTTCGTGTTGTCTATGTTCACCTGGAGTCCTGTGTTTGCTGCTTCTTCAACCAGTTTGTCGGTTTTCGCTTGTAAGTCTTCGATTTTGTGTGACATCAAACATAAGACATTAGTAATATATATCTATATATATATATATATATATATATATATATATATTGTGTAAAGTTAATTTCTTCAATGAATTTAATGACATTCATTTTAAAACAATCTACTTACAGGGTTTAGAAGGTGAGACTGGAGAACTTGGTGAAAAAGGAGAACCTGGTGAGCCTGGAATAGATGTGAGTCTGTCTAAACACACATTTTTTCATAACCCTAAGCAAAAAAAGTATACTAGTTTATCCGAATAATATTCAATGAGCTATGTTCACTCTACTTTGTTATAGTATTCTAAAGGTTTTGACTAATCGTCCGATTAATGCTAGATAACTTTTCATATGAAGGTAGATATGCAACTTGAAATAATCAGGCCTTACTGTTTTTGACTTCTCTCATTATCTGTTCACTCTAAGATGGTATTAATATTCATCCTTGAGGGTTTTACGATAAAACTGTAGAATGAAGACATATAAAAAATCATATAAAATTCATTGAAGATGTTCATTAAAAATGCAAAAGACAGACTAATTAATGAACAAAGAATATTCATTTTCGATATACTCTTCATCAAGTTCTAAACTTTATGACCATAATAATTATAGAAATATTGTTATTAACAATATTAGTGCTGCTTTAAATTACAATAAATCAATCAACATTATCGATTGATTACATTTCAAAAACACCAGTAAGTGAGAGATAATATGCCTTAATATAACACCAACTAAACTGACTGAATATCAGATAAATTAAGGGAAATAAGAGTGAATTTATGAGTTTGACAGCAGTACAGAGTAGCAATAGTGGCTGGTTGGATCTGTTTCTTTAACACACACACAGCGCTGGTTGTTTTGAGTGAATTATAATGGCCTCTGCTGTTCTGAGGGTTCAATGTTTAGAGGCCTCTGGTAATTTATTCGGTATCCGATAGATTATAGAGAAAGACTGTTCAATACTAGCTAGCTAGCTTTAGCTTTGTGGTCTGTTTGAACGATGTGATCTAATTGATACTGAACTGTTGATCGTTTAAACAACGGCTTTATTTAACCATACTGATAGGTGTTCCCAATGACGATAAATTAAACCCCCAGAGGACTGGCCAATTTAACTGGTTCTACAGGAGCAGTTGCACTGATGGATACAATCAGAGGTAGCTAGGTAGCTTCGGAATCCCAACCTGTTGTATATAAAAAATATAAGCTGCAGATTACCGGAATTAAATGTTCTTTAGGATCGATTTTCTCGTTATTATTTCACTTTGTATATCTCCCTGGGATTGTAGTCGTATAACAGGTACAGAAGAATTCTTTTCTACTCTCTTGGCCATGTGTTTCAACAAGGAAACTGTTTTTTGCGCAAACGTGTTGTGTACAACCTTAAGTTCGTCTTGAAAGACATCTATTGAACAAATAGCTCTGACTCAGTCTTTTAAAACCAAAAATAGCAATTATTAAACAACTGATTTGTTCTAGTTTGAGAGTGTTCTGCAGTACGCAGTTATGACTCTACCAGGAATCCGACCGAGAAGATTCATTTTATGAAGCTTGCTTGTCGGCTATTTAATCACTAGAACACAAGAGTTAGTGAACGTGTACTGCTTCAATCGGTGTACATAAAAGCCGTAAAAATAAAACTCTGAATTATTGGCTTGAAGCCCAAACCGCTTAATTAGATCATTCAGCTCATAGGACACATAACAATACTAGAGGTAAACCTTATTGGACGAAACTAACTATTTCTCTTTGTTTTCCATCACTCTCCCCTTTTGAAAATAAAGCTGTGTGAAGGCTTCCTGTTCAACAACATCGTAAAACTGGATAACACCAGCTTGACGATATGGATATTAGCGCTTGAGTTATTTGGAACCAGTAAATGAACACAGGCGGTATCAACTTCGCTATGAAACTGAATGACTGACTGATGTCCGATTTACTATTAGCGAAAAAGGTGGCCGGCCACTTAGATGAAATATGGGACCTGAAGTTTGTAACACTCTGATACAAGACGCATAATTCCATAGCTTATAATAAAGAGAATTCGATTAGAAATTGACTTTGGATAATGAAATTTTTTTCGAATAACTGAAGTTATATTTCATATATTATTTGATATCTGTCTATCTATCTGTCTTTTACGAGAAGTAAAATAAATTTGTTGAATGTTTCAGAAATTCTCTTTTTGATTCTAAGGGTGATCCAGGAGAAGATGGTGATATGGGACCAATTGGACAACCAGTAAGTACATTCGCTGATGTGTTGTTGTTTTTTTAACTTGTAAAATTCACCTGGGTTTATAAAACTTATAAGCAGATACGTGTAATTACTGTCCAGCGGTAGAATGCCTCAGGTGGCCTGAGATTCGACTTCCTAAGTGTCGCTAAGCCGGTAGTAGGGCCGATGAAGAGGAAAGGTGGACTGTTAGGCCAGCAACCCCATTCCGCAAAAGTGAAACCCACTGCTACCGAAAATTTAAAGCAAAATATTTAAGGGCCGGAATACAAAGGAATGAAGGAGAAATTACGACCCGTTGGTTTGGTTATGGAACTTTCAGGAACTGAGAAACTTATCCAAACCCTCCTTTATCAGTTACATTTCTAAGATGAAATTCAATATAATTTACCTTAAAGCAACAGGTGATTGTGCAGTTTGTACTTCGATGTACCTAGGTGCTTGACCTAGTTTCCTTTCAGTCAAACCATCTTTCTTTCAGTTAAGAGAAGGCTAATGTATACATATATATACCTATATGTATTACATATATATAATCTGATTTAGTATTACTATATTCCTTTACGTCTCAAGTGAGACATAAGGTTTCAAGCTAGAGCTTTGAAGATTCGTTAGCAGTGGTTTTATTTTCATGGGATGGTATTGCTAGCTTCATGCCCGACATTCGCTTTATTAAAGCCTTAATACTTACTGGCTTGGCAAGGTTTAAGAATGCGCCGTCGGTTGGGGATCGAACCCTCGACCAAGTGAGCGGTTGGCAAGCGTTCTACCGCTGAACCACAGACGCTCACATAGATATGATTATATATATACAGGGTGACGTTCGGAAATTCGACGAGAAACACGCCTAGTTGTACGGCCTATGCAACTGGCTTTAGAAATGCGTTAAAAAGAGCATTCCCTACTGCTGCTGAATTAAGCTGTGTCTTCAAAACCACTCCTCTTTTGCGTTCGGGAGCAAAAGATAAACTGCCTAATTTCGCCTCTTCCTTGTGTATCTACCAATTTAACTGCTCATGTGGAGCCAGTTAGTTGCATAGGCCGTACAATTAGGTATGTTTATATGTATATGTGTTCACATAATATCCCAAAATAACCGTCATAAGCTATAATGATGTTATTTTTTCAATAATATTGATTTATAAAACACAAAATAATTGAGCAAAGAATATCCTTTTCGATAAATTCCTCCTCTTCTGGCTCTACAATTATATGCATATATGTTTATATACACTGAATATTCTACATTAGTAGTCAATAACAATATTAGTGCTTTTTTAAATAATATCGATTTGTAAAGTAAGATCACAATGGAATTACCAATTTACATAGGCCGTACAATTAGGCGTGTTTCTCGTCGAATTTGCGAACACCACCCTGCATGGTTGGTTAAGCAAAGGACAAACAAAATCTATTCGCAGCGCTATTCTATCTCATCTTGTGGATACAGAACACAGGATTGATGTTAACCAGGCTTTCAAAGTTATTTACCGCATACCAACGAATCTCAATTTTGCCTTAAGAGTTCAACTACTAAATATTGCTGAGGCTGGCTGTTGGAATCCATATTAACAAGCCTAATTTATGCATCCAAAAGAAGTTAGTTCAGACATTATCCTTACCTTGGCTATCTAGGTTTGAATGATCCTGAATTTTTGTGGAAATTCCCTTAATTTTAGTTGATATTCTATTTCCTACTATATCTTTATTATTATTATTATCATTATTTAAGCATCTTTAATGAACTGTAATTGCATTGATCATACTTTACAAATGGATATTATTTAAAAATCACACCATTATGGTTATCGACGACTATTGTAGAATATTCCATGTATATAAACATGCATCTATAATTGTAAAGCCAGAAGAGGAATTTATCGAAAAGAATATTCTTTGCTCAATTATTTTGTGTTTTATAGATTTCTGAATGAATATTTTCACTATATAAATATCTGTTGATTTCCTCAATAAACGATCTGTTGCCTGACTCTTGTCTTCTGTCGTTACAGCTATATTCAAAGGTCACCTTTACATTTGATAACAGCCGGAAAGCGTACTGCAAAAATTTGAATTACTATCATCTGTTTGCATTTCTATCTAACTTAATTCTATCCTCTTACTTTCGAATTTCAAAGATATTTATGTCATGTTTGAGTAAACTTAGTTTCAATCATCCTGTTCCCCAATAATCTGCACTCATATACTCCTTATAATTTTGTCAGAGTTTATGGGATTTGTTCTGGAAACAAAGTTTCATGAGTTAAGCGACATGTTGCTTTGCTATTCGAATCCATTAGAATAAATGAATCGAAATTTGAGTTCACTGATAATCCTATATCCCCTGGGTGATTTAGCAACGTCTGATCGTACAACACATGTAGCTAAATCACTCAAATTAAATAAGATTATGAGTGGACTCGAATTTAGACTCATTTTTTCCAATATATTTGAGCATCGAAGCGACATATCGTTAAGCTTCAGTTGAAAATTTAATCTAAAACAGCGTCGTGAGCAGTGAGGTCAATCCAGCCGACAGTGAGGACAAATACTCGCTCTTGACATTGGTTAGTGGTCTCTCTGAAATGAAGAATTGATAGAAGTGCCCCAGTGGCTGAAGAATCTACGAGGTTCCCTTGTGATTCTAATGTTTTGGGTTCAAACCCGTGTGGATGGGCATTGCCACTGAGTGCGTAACTAGGATGAAACAGCTATTCAGTACTTCCTGAAGGTTTTCAATGGTTCTCTAACTGATATCAATCCAAGATCATACTTGGAACAGATAAAATCCCTACTTGAAAGTTTTAAATTAAGTTTCAAATCAAGGCTTTCAACTGTGAATAAAATCCAAGAATTAGGAAAAAGAGAAAAATAATATGGAAGGTTAAGATAAACAAATATATTGAACAACAAGAATAATAATGAACCTTATTACTGATGAGTAATATATGATAAACTGACATTTACACTCGCACAAACAATGCGAAATGTTTATTTTAGATGTCGAAGAAACACAAGGAAGAATAAAGATAAAAAATAAACAAACTAATAAACAAATTGTGAAATGTTTATTTATTTTTTTTTTTTTGATAAAATCAGAGCTTAATTGAAGGTTGATATTTATAATGTTCTGCAGTCAGATTCATATTCTTTTTTGCTGCATTTAAACAAATCCTTTTCTATTTCTTATGACTTTTTCTTATAGGGTAACTTGGGTGCTGATGGTCCACCTGGCCCTGAAGGTGCAGTCGGTGAAAAAGGCGATAGAGGTATACACGGACGTGATGGTTTACAAGGTGATCCAGGGCAGGCTGGAATTCCTGGGGTATGTTGTAAATCCTAACCAGCAGTTTTGTTTTAATCATGAAGTGTAACCAAATTTTTCGTCAATTCTTAAAATGAGCTGATTATGGTGTTTGAGTAATGCAAACAGAAGGTTGGCCAGTTGGTGGGAACAATTCAATTCATCAACTCATGCACAAAGTGGCTGACTTTGGAATTTATCGGAAGTTTCTCAAGCTAAAGAGAAATAATCACGTGTACGATAATTGCAAAATCCTTGTCGCTGTATCACTAAGAAGAAAGAACACTAGAATTTTATTGAAACTTGTATTATATAGGGGCGTTTAAACCTACAGCTTGACTTAGAAAAGAGCATTTTTGATATTTCGAAATATTGTATAAGTTTCAAAATGGGTATAACCCGGTCGATTCTGGTGGCGTAAATAAATGCGAATGCATGTTTTGACGTAATGTCAGCTCATGACGAAATCCTGTAACTAATCAATCAAATCCCTACAAACCAACACTTGAATATCAATGAGATGCTCACTGGCGACTGGCCCTATTCAGGTAAGCAGTTACCTGGGGTTCTAGTGGGAAGTCGTGACCAGTAGGGTGCAGCAGGTCGGGTGTGAGGACAAGTACTCGCAGAAGACATTAACTAGCGGCTGCGCTATGTGGCGAATTGGCAGAAGTAAGAATTCATAGTCCATTGGATTGGGTCCCAGTGGCTTAATGGTCTACGAGCTCGCCTTGTAACTAGAAGGTCCTGGGTTATAGCCTTGGTGGTGGGTGCTTACCGACGAAGAGTCCCAAACTAGGTGGACGAAACAGCTGGCTGTCCAGTACTCCTTTTTGGTTTTCCAATGGTTCTCTAACTGATGTCAGCTAATGATGAAATCCTGTAATCAATCACCTTGATTCACTCAGACAAAATCGCAGTCGTAAAACAACACATTATCAATATCATCACACAACAACAAAGAGAAGCTTTCAAATTAGAGATTCAACAGGGACAAAGACAAATAATAGAGATTATGTCAAACGCGATGTGCAAACGTTAGGACAGTGACATATAGACTAGGAGTAAAGTTACTTGAAATGTACAGATACATGTTAATGCTTTAAGTGGTGGATGGTGACTAGCAAGGGGAATCCAGGATGCGCATCTCGTCCTGTTTGGGACTCGTCAACTGGATGTACCTGCATTCCCCAGTAAGTGATGATGTTCCCACCGAGGCTCGAGCCCAGTGCCCATAGTTTCAAAGCCAAAGCGTTATCCACTAGACCACTTGGGCCACGAGAGCCACCTCTTGTGCAGCGGATTACATTAATTATTTAATTCAATTTCAGATTCTCCTGTCGATTGATTGGACAGAAGTGCTTGGTCTCAGGTTGACATGTCGGCTTCTTCTTGTGCAGGACGAAATGCGCATTCCGGATTCCACTACTAGTCACCATCCACCAATTAAATACTAATTAAATGCCCAGACATCATCGAAGCATCTGCACAAGAAGCCGACATGTCAACCTGAGACCGAGCACTTCGGTCTAATCAATCGACAGGAAAATCTAAAATTCAATTAAATGTATCAATACTGTAATCAGATCTTTCAGGAGGGAGTTTTCAAACAATTATTAAAGCATAAAGGTACTAACTGATTTATTTTTCTATGTAATTCATTTTACAGGCTTATTAAAACTGTCACTTAATTTAATTTCTCTTCCCTTTTTAGAAAGCCACATGTCCAATCGAGTTTACTCCAAAAGGTGAAAAAGGTCTTCCAGGTTATCCTGGTGAAAAAGGCGATCCTGGTGATCCTGGACTACCAGGGGAACAGGGTGAAAAAGGTGTTCCTGGCGATGAAGGTATTAAAGGAGTAAGAGGAAGTCAAGGAAAAATTTGTGAGGCTGGTCCACAAGGTCCTATGGGTCAAAAGGGTTGGTATGGTAAGTTAAAATTTCTAACTTAGTCCTCTAAGTATTTTAAGCTGTTGACCAGTAACTGACATCAGTAAGAGAACCATTCGAAAGCCAGAGAATACTGGACAGCTATTTAGAGCCCCGGTGGAAGGGTACTGATGCAAAGTCCCAAACAGGGACGAAACATCTGTCTGGTACTCTTTGGTGGTCTTCCAATGATTCTTTAACCGATGTCAGCCAGCTAGTAATCTATCCGGTGACTGATCAGATCCCTTCAAACCACCATTTGATAATTTTAAGATATAATCATAAAACTTGATAACAAGCGGCATATTATTAACTTCCTTGTAGTGTCTTCACTGAACTATCTTTATTAAACATGTGAGAAAATGCTTAAATGCATTTATTCTTTATTAAAGGGAAAGGTGGAGTACAAGGCATACCAGGTATCGATGGAGATCCAGGAAAACCAGGAGAAAGAGGTTTGCCTGGAGATGATGGTTTCGGTCAGTTAGGCGAAGCAGGAGAAGTTGGAGTGGATGGTTTACGTGGACCGAAAGGTAGGCGAAAATGTATTTTTAAGGTTAGATTATTTGAAAGCTGTTTTTCACCTACAATCGAAATTCACATAAAAAGACATGGCATCGTTGTGTGTAGATTCATTCCTCTTCATTAAATCTGTTCTCTCTGTGAAGTGAAAATAGATAGCGTTGTATCTGGGTAAGTAAACTCCAAACTAATAACTAAATGCTAATGCTCTTACCTGGACTTCCCCGATGATGACATATGTCTGGTTTCCCACACACTTGAAGATATACAAGTGAAAAGCAATAAGTTGGCAGAAGAAGCATCAAAGATAGGACTCCAAGTAAACATAGAGAAAACAGAAGTGATGAAGATTCCTGGCCAACAGCAACAACAACAGACAACAATCAGCCAGCATAAATGGGAGGAACCTGAAATAAACAACCTCCTTTACCTACCTACCTGGGAAGCATCGTTTCAACTACAGGTGGAACTGACGAGGATATCAAAGCAAGAATCGGGAAAGCAAGGCAAGCTTTAATTACTCTCAAGTCTGTGTGGAGGTCAACAGTATTCCTCAGCATGAAAAATAAGATCCGGATTTTCAACTCAAATGTGAAGTCAGTCAGTGCTACTTTATGGATCAAAGACTTGGCGCGTCATGAAGAACACTTCAAACAAACTACAGACTTTCATCAACAGCTGTCTTCGCTCAATACGTCTCTCAAGATCAGATGGCCAGAAAAGATCAGCAACAGAGATCTCTGGGAGCAAACCAACCAGGAACCAACTGTGCAACAAATATGGAGGAAGAAATGGAGATGGATTGGCCATACTCTGAGAAAACAAACCATCAAGTGACATCAAACGCCAGGCCATCGCTCTCAAGTGGAACCCGAATGGGAAGCGGCGAGTTGGTCGTTCAAGGGTGACTTGGAGGAGGTGATGTGAAGAGGAGATGAAAGCATGTGGGTAGATGTGGAGTCAGGTGAAAATGGTGCCGGAGAACGGAACTTGATTGAGGCATGTGTCTGAAGCCCTATGTTCCTCTAGGAATTAAAGGAAATAATAATAATGCTCCTACCTTATACTGAGATGATCTTTCCAGCAAATTTTATGAAGTCGTTGATGTATGTTAATGAAAAGTTCAAAATATTGACGAAACAGCAGTTCAGTGTTCTTTGACTCTGAACAGTTTTAAAATTGTTTGGTAACGGAACGCCACATTGTGTGATCTACTTCATACCATGAATGCTAATCAGGATATCAAGCAAATTTACATGAAACTATATATACTACTGATACATTGAGATGAGTATTTGTACACTACCACACACATCAACCAGTAGTGCTTACTAGCCAGTAATATCGTAGTGATCTAAACATCAGACTGCTGGTGAATATCTCCGGGTTTTTTTTGAGTCGAACTTAGGACTTCAGGTTTTTAAATTACAGTAGCGATGGGTTCCTTTTTACGGTGTGGAGGGATTCGCCAGTCCCAAGTCCAACCTCTCCTCTGGTTCGTGGTATTTTCGATCAGTAAACTAGGCGGTTTTGAAGTGTACCGATAGGGAATCGAACCCTAAACCATTGAAACATTAGGTCAATGCATGAATTTTGAAAAAAATATTTGATATCGATTTATGGAGTAAGATCAGCGGAATTACAATTCACTAAAGATGCATAAATTATAATAAGCATAAAAATATAATCGTAAATAGAATATCAAATAAAATTAGGGAAATGTCCACAGCAAACTGAGGATCATTAAAACCTTGATGGCTAAGGTTAAGGACAGTGTCTGAACCAACCAACTTCTTTTGGATACATAAGTTAGCTTTCTTAATGTAGATCCCACCAGCCAGCCTCAGCAATTCGCAATAGACGAACTCTTAAGGTGAAGTTAAGATTAGTTGGCTGGTATACCATAGATGACTTGGAAAGCCGCCTTGTTAACATCAATCTTATGCTCTGTATCCGCAAGATGAGATAGAATAGCACCACGAATAGATTTTGTTTGTCCCTTACTTAACCACTATAGAGGTTGATTTTCGGATATCCGACGATAAACACGCCTAATTGTACGGCCTATGCAACTAACTGGCTGCACATGAACAGTCAAATTGGTAGATACACAGAGAAGAGACAAAATTAGGCAGTTTATTTTTAACTTCCAATCGCACTTTGAATGTCGCGTTTTCGTTAGCAGTAATGATTTCATTGAAATACTACTAACATTTCAGTGAAACTTGTTTTTCCTTGATGTTTTGCACATTCAACTGTTTTCATAACCGAAAAGAACAAGAAGTTCAGCAAAGATTTCTGCCTTTTCGGCGATTTCATTCTGAAAAGCTGTACGATCGCATTTATATAGATTAGTTTACATGGATACAATTCTTATTTATTAAATTCCACATAATAACGAAGGTGATAATAATTTTCAACTGGATATGAAAGTTTGAAGGTACGAATATAGATTACAAGTGGCTTAGAGACAAGATTGCATAGGATTAGAAAACAGTTACAACGTATGGAAAATTAATATTTGATAACTGGAGAAATAATTTCAAAGGCGAATAAAAGGTAATAATTATTTTCAACTTGATATGAACTACAAGAGCCTTAGAGACACAGGGATAGAACGAATTACAGGTGTGAACAAAATGAGCATGGAAACAAATTGAGATCAAAATTTTTTAACTTGAAATGTAAGTTAGGCGGTGTGTGTGAATGTACATTACAAGAGGCATAGAAACAAAAAATTACACAGGATTAGAATATATTTGTAAAATGGTTATTCTAAGTGGATTACAAGTGTGATCAGGAGGAGCATGGAAACAAACTTAAAATAACTGATTTTATGACTGAAAAATAGGATGAATTGAATGAAGGTAAAGAGAGAAAATTACACACACACAGATAACAAAACAAAAAAAACTGAAGGATAAGGGAACATACCGAACTAGGTCCATGGTAGTTGCAAAGGCTGGACTAGTTTCTTTTGAACACATAGCTCCAGCTTTTCGATACATATGGCGAAAGCTTCCGCAGTACAAAGAAGTCGGAAACACACTGCCTTTGGTAGATTTTTGTTTACTTTGTAAATAACTCTAAATGATGAGTCAGTTGAGATTCTGTGACAGGTATTGACGAGGTGTTCAGTTATTGCGCTTCTGATTGAACCAGTTCCTTCTCTTTGCAGCATTCCTGGATGATGTTCTCTAACACGTTTTGATAAGACCCGCATAGAACGACCTGTATACCTAGATCCGCAAGAGCAGGTGAACTGATATATGCACAATGAAGTGGTCATATGCAGAAGTCTGTCCTTCCCGTTGCTCCAAAGTAGTGGGCGGCTAGAGAATATCACTCCTAGAGTTGATGCCGGAAATTCTTCTTCAGGGAACTGGAGACTCTCCTTTTAAGGAGAAGAGTGATATTCTCTAGCCTCCCACTACATCGGAGCAACGGGAAGGACAGACTTCCGCATATGACCACTTCAATGTGCAATGCGATCGTACAGCTTTTGAGAATGAAATCGCCGAAAAGACAGATATCTTTTCTGAACTTCTTGTTCTTTTCAATTATGAAAACAGTTGAATGTGCAAAACATCAAGGAAAAACAAGTTTTACTGAAATATAGTAGTAATATTTCAATGAAATCATTACTGCTAACAAAAAGAGAACATTCAAAACGTGTTTGGAAGTTAGCAATAAACTGCCTAATTTCGTCTCTTCTCTGTGTATCTACCAATTTGACTGCTCATGTGGAGCCAGTTAGTTGCATAGGCCGTTCTTGCTCTTTTCAACCTAATGTTCCGAAGGGTATTTTCCACGATTTGAAAACTTTTTTTTCATAATTGTAAATATCTCACTGCTTCACTAGTCATGATGCCTTGACAGTCAGAGAAATACTTCTGTGTAACTAAATCTTTTCTGGACTAACAGAGTAGAGAAGTAAATTAGACCAATGTTAATTATGACATTGTTGATATTTTTGGTATTTTTAGTATATTTATGCGTTGAAGTTTCTGCAGCAATTTGGTTAAGTTTTGCGGGTGGAGTTGCTAGCACCACGCCCCAACCCTCCCTCTTTATCCGGGCTTGGGACCGGCTAGAAAACTAGCGAGCTAATAATCTAGCAGCAACATCCAGCGCCAATCACCATCAACGAGGGGATTTGGAAGAGATTACTTCATTCACTTATCCAGGGAGCACTGTCTCAACTACAGGAGGAACGGATGAGGATGTCAAATCGAGCGAGAATCGGGAAGGCGAGAAACACATTCATCTACATGAAACCAATCTGGAAATCTTCGTCAATCAACTCACCATCAACAACAAAATTCGGATTTTCAATACAAACGACGTCAAGTCAGTCACTTCTTCTATACGGATCAGAAAGTTGGCCAGTGTGTCACAAAGAATATTTCCAACAGCCTGTTGCACACCTTTATCAACAACTGTCTTCGCTGGCTCTATACTCAAGATCAGATGGCCGGAAAGAACAAGAACCAATAAGAAACTATGGGAACAAACAAAACAAGAACCAGTCGTCCAACAAATATGCAGGAGAAAGTGGAGATGGATTGGACACTCACTAAGCTGAGGAGGCCGCTGGGTGACATCGCTCGTCAGGCCATAGCTCGAGTGGAACCCGAAAGGGAAGCGGCGAGTAGAGCGTCCCAGGGTGACATAGAGGAGAGTGTGTGAAGAGGAAGTGAAACAGTATGGACTAACATGGATGCAGGTGAAAAGTACAGCAGAAGACAGAAGCAAGTGGAGACGTGCAGTTGAAGACCTCTGTTCCACTAGGAACTTAAGGGAAAAATAATAATAAAATAATAATTATTATTATGACACGTACAACAGGATTATTCCTGTCTACATATATATAACACTTTTATAGTTTCAAACTGCTACTCAAAATATTAATAAAACAGTTCTATAGTTTAATACGTAATAGAGTGAATATACTACTGACGGCTTACTTTCCTCTGTATACATGCATACATACATGTATTCTGATATGTATTCTACAGGTGAAGAAAGACTGCACATATATCAGTATTCACGTGATGATTAGGAACATCTGGCGGAAAATGTGAATTCAACAGACTACACATTTTCACAATCACTGTACTGTTGCTGTTTTTCTAAAGAAAAGATTGATGAGATAAGAATTGAATATGTGCATCGTGGTGGCAGGGTATAATTCCATTGCGGGCAGAATTTATTTCGATAAAGTATTACAGTGTTATACACTAAGTAATATTTACTGATGACCACGTCTCCAGCACGATTTACTGATGCTCATAATCATATGAGGACACTACTGATACAACTTTCAAACTTCGTTGATATGATTCCATAATTTTTCATCTCTTCATTTGATTGGTAGTAATATTTTCCATATTTCCGGTATGAGTGATGAGTCATTCCTATTGCATGTGCTGGGTGTAGATTCTATGATCGAAGATTCAGTAGTCAACCTCTGTCTCCAGTATCAGTATCTACAGTTTTACCATATAAAGAAGGAATTATTAACAAAGAGGGGATTAGGGTGGCATTCGAATCTACAAACTCACTCAGGTAGGACAAGCTCTGGAGGCTAAAGGACCTCGTTGACCCAATTAAACAAAATAATATAATTTACAAAATACCTTGCAATGACTGTGAGGTCAAATGCATACGTAAAACTAGCAGATCGCGGATAATCAGATTGTCGGAACATAAGAATTTAGCTGACGTTAGAATGACTGACCCCGAGAAGATGGGTAATTTAGAAAAAATTTCAGTTGTTGCACTGTATGCAACACAAACACACAATCGGGTGGGACAGAGTCCAAATTCTAAAAGGTGATATATTGGTAGATGAAGAAAGAGAGAGTGATTGCTGAATCTTTGTTCATAGAATCTACACCCAACAAATGCAGTTGAAATGGCTTAACACCAATACTAGAAATATATATATGGAAGATATTATTACCAATCGAATCGAGAGATGAGAAATAATGGAATAACACAAAGGAAGTTAGAAAGTTGTATGAGGAGTGTCTTGATATGATTATGAGCAGCAGTAAATTGTTCTGGAAACGTGGTCAACAGTAAATATGACCGTATAACAACACTGTGAGACTTTATGAAAATAAAATTTTATTTCACAATAGAAGGATTGATGAGGTTGAATTAAATTCTCTGAAAAGTGTACTGAATGAAAGTCTAGCAAAATAGCTTCATTCATTGTTTCCAGTGAATGGGAAACTAATCATATCTTTCAAACTGATGATGAAGAATAATAATAACAACAGTTGTTCGACGGAAGAACTCTAAAGGACGTCTCCTGTATTTCATCCGCCTGAATTGATCAGAATCAGAAGAGCATAACAGATCTGCATTAATCTGAAATCGCTGCTGAGATAATATACGGCAATTAACACAATAGATAATGATTCTAATTTTCAACAGTAATATCAAGTCAGTGCTTCAATATGGTTCAGAGACTTGACACACGCACCTCTAGGAGACTGTAAACTTCAGCCAACACGCGTCTTTTCAGGATGCTAAAAATCAGATGGCCAGAAATGGTATACAACGAAGAATTCCATCATGATGACGAACCAGAAGAATGCCTATTATCCAACAAATATTCAGAAAGAAATAAAGATGGATTGCATATAGGCTGAGAAGACGGTTGAATGAAATCATACGTGAAGCAGACTCTGGAATGGAAGGCAACAGGGAGATAACAAGTTGGGCTTGAGTCCAAAGGTGATGTAGAGGAGATTATGTAAAGAAGAAGTTAAAATTTGTCGGCACTTGTGGAACTAGCTGAAACTAATATCACATAATGACCGACTGAATGGTTTCAACATAGATTGTTGCAAAGAATTGCGTCAGTTCAAGTTCCCACACTCCATGTACCACATAAAGTATGACAGAAGAGAATAAAGAACAAGATATTAGAAATAACAGTAATCGGCAGAAATGTACGGGTAAAAGAATGGTAATATGGAAAAATAAAAAGGATTTGTTGGATATCGAAGGTCACAGAGACTGAATGCATCTCGGCTACCGACAACGATTTTGAGCCATATTACAAATTGTCTCCAGTCATTGGTTCTTACAATCATGAGGACTCCAAACAGGAAGGCAGTCTACACCTCCCCACGTGTCTGTCGAAGACTTCATGAACTGGTCCCCTGTTTTGGTTTGACCATCACTAGCTCTTCTACAAACTAATCCTACGTCAGCTAACGTTTGTCATTGAGGAAGACAATGGCTAGGCATGCGTAACATATGTCCTAACCATCTCACTTAATCGATATAGCTTCACAACTTCAATAACTGACATTTCCTTCTCAAAGTAAAGTCGACGCGTAACGTCAGTATTACTCACTCAGTTATGTATCACCTAATTGGGGAGATAGAACTTGGATAGCTATGAACAAAGACAGCTAGTCTTTCCATTATATCAGATAATCGATTGAAGTAGAGATGCGCTGTTGAAGCCATGTATTCCACTCAGAGTACAGGGAGTGAAAAATAATGTAATAAAATAATAACACATTCATTCATTTCAAAAAATAGTTTTCATGAATAGTTCACAGCTTTATGCCTTCAGTAACAAATCGTTGAGCTGTCCCCGTGTAACTTTTCTTATTATCGATATACTGAAATGCATTTCCTGTCTTCTTATCAAGCATGTGTGTAATATACTCTTATTTTTATTATAAAGGTGAGTCTGGAGATGAAGGTGAACCTGGAGAAAAAGGATACGGAGGAGATAGTTTAGTTGGTCCAGTTGGTCCACGTGGTGAACCTGGTGATAATGGAGCTGATGGGTTACCTGGAAATGAAGGTCAACCTGGTCCTCCAGGTCCTAAAGGTGAGTTATTACTAAAGTTGTGTAAATTATTAAAACGGAGAGAGAGAGAGAGTAAATGGTTCTGATAGGAGTACAATAATTATTGAAGTCAATGAAGTACATTCGGCTACGAAATTCACACGCGAAGAGGAATCCCAAGACACAATTTTCTTCCTGGATGTCCTACTTACAAGAAAACCAGACGGTAGCATAAAAAGAAATTTGCATAGAAAAACTACTTGGACAGGACAATATACACACACATTTTCACAACTTCGTTCCTATCAAAATTTACAAAAGAAATTTAGTGAAGACCCTCAGCCACAGAGTTAGAGCTATATGCTCAGAAGAAGTAATTGAAGATGAACTGAGCGTTGCATATGATACTTTGATCGAAAATAGCTAGCCCGAAGGATTTATCAAGAAACACATGACAAGGGAAAGCGGAAAAGGACTACTCACTATCTGTAAACAAGAAGCCGCTTTATATACGACCACAATTCAAGGGCGATATACCAAGTGAGACAATTACGAGGAAATTAAGAAAATCAGTTCAAAGAACTTTTGATGCTGGCGAACTACACGTATTATTGTCTACACGACCGATGGTGCTAATTCGACTGAAAGATGAAGTACCTAGATAACCTAGCCACTTAAAATTGTATCTACCGATTCAGCTGCGCTTGTGGTGGAGGGAGTTATATTGGTCATTGCTCTAGGAACTTGATTTTTCGTGCTCAACTGAGAACATCTCCCATTATGGCTAAGTAAAGGTGTAGTGAAAACCATTAACAATTCGATATTGGATCATCTGTTGCAAACCGGCCACAAAGCTAGCGTTGAAGAATCCTTCTCTCTCATTTACCGGGTGCGTAATAAATTGCCAAAATCATCGAAGCACCACATGCTCCAAACAGCAAAAGCTATTGCAATTCGCCTCAAACAAACAGTGTTGTGTGTTCAAAAAAGAAAGTCCAGCCCCTACTACTGCCCTGGCCTTCAGTAGATACATTCAGCTTATTTTATGTTGATGCCATTGAGCTGTAATCTATTAATATTATTATGATTCGATGTTATTTAAACAGCATTAATGTTATTCATAACACTAATTCATTCATTCACTATAATGATATATATATATAACTGTAGAGCCTGATGATGAAGGGGTTATCGAAAAGAGTACTCTTTGTTCTGTATCCATTCTTTTGAAAACAATTTTTAGTGGGCATTTTTAATCAGTTATTCAAAGTCGTTCATCTGTTAAATATTCAATAGAATCTTTCTTATATGAATTGGTGTTTCTTAAAGAGTACCATTTAACTTTTGGTTTCTTAAATCATAAATACTTTTGTCAAAATTATACAATTTCCATAAATATTAAGGTAAACATTTTAGAAATACAGAAACAGCTGCTTCTCTTGTATGGGAAATATTCTACAATTTGTAAAGAAACACAAAAGTTACAAGCTTTTCTAATTAGCAATAATTAGTCAGTTTATTTCACAATAGGGAATAATATCTCTGAACTACTAAAATCAGTTACAAGAAAGGCGTAGATCAACAGAAAGAAGAAAATTTATGCGTTCATAAAAAACTATAATTCGTCTATTACACATTTTGTTCTATATAATATCAACACGTAGCCTTTTACATAAGCTTTATGCTTCTTGGAAGATATCAGTAAGGCGTGTATCGACAACAACCGACGTAGTGTCGTAGTCTGAACGCGAGAAACAGACCTTTGTGTTCAACTTTATTATTATTCACTTGGGTTCGGAGTGGAACATAGGGATTCAACAAAATACTGCCCTCTTCAGTTGGCTAGCCACACGATCTCCCCCGTGTCACCCTCGCACAGACCACCCACTCGTCACTTTCCATTGGGATTCCACTCAAGCGATGGCCTGCATTATGCGCAGTGTCATTCGACGGTTTCCTCAATGTATGCCCGACCAATTCATCTCCATTTACTCCCACATATTTGTTGAGCGATCGGCTCTCGCCTGTTGGTTTGTTCCCAGCCAGCCAGAGTTTCTTGTTGCAAATTCCTTTTAGCTGGCCGGCTGGCCATTTGATCTTCAGTATGGAGCTAGCCAGCGAAGGTGGCAGCTATTGATAAAAGTCTGTAACTTGGTAGAAATGCTCTTCGTGAGACACTGGCCAAGCTTCTGACCCATGTACAGAAGACTGACTGACTTCACATTTGTGTTGAAAAGAATCCGAATCTTGTTGTTTATGCTGGCTGGCTGAGTGCAGTGCAGAAGATTTCCAAACTGGTTTCAGGTTGATGAAGGCGTATCTTGCCTTTCCGATTCTGGCCAGCTTTAACATCTTTGTCCGTTCTGGCTGCCTGTGGTTAAAACCCTGCTTCCTGGCCAGATAACTGAAGCAAGTAACTTCTGTCAAATTTCTCCCGTTGATGGTGATTGGTGCTGGTTGTTGTCGCTGTTACTGGTGGTTGGTTATCTTCATGACCTCCGTCTTCTCTATGTTCATCTGGAGTCCTGCCTTCTCTGCCTGCTTCTTCAGCGACTATGTTGGTTTTCGACTGCAAGTGTTCGAGTTCAACTGCATAGCTGACCAGAAGTTCCTTGAGTTAATTACAGTCACAAAATGCCACAACGAGAGTAAAAAGACAGTTATGTATAATAAAATTTGCAGTACTATTCATCAATCATAATATTTCAAAACGCAAAATTACCTCAAGAATCCCGTTAGGCAGTTATGCAGGTCAGATAAGTTTCTAGTACAAGACAGGTAGTGTAGAACAAAATTAGTTAAAGAAAATTTAGCAAAATTAAACTATTATAGTCAAACCACGGTGACATTGGACAACTAATCGGAATTCAGACACTGAAAAACTGGCAAAATCGTTCAAAAAATGTATTAAAAACGTTACAAATATATTATTAAACTGGATAATGGTTTTTAATATGTTGTCAAAACGTCTCCCATTTTCTCCAAGGATGATCAGCAGAGAAACCATACCACACCCGATACATGTATTTATCGATGTGCCTAAAAACCATGGTATTTTGTGATCCATTGATATTCCTGATTCTTTTCTTCAACCTCCCCCAGAATCCTTCGATAAAGTTGGTATGCTTGCGCATGTTTGAATCCACAAGGTCGGAGGAATGGTTGACACGATAGTGAATATAACCCAAAGATGACAGTTGATTATATCCCCTCCATTCATCAGTATGTATGGTTGTTCCTGGCAATACCAAGCTCTGAATGATTGGAATTAATGCTGCGGCACTTCAGTTTCGTATTGTTTCAACGAAACCTTTGCGAAGTGAAGTGTCGTAGACTTCAAGCATCCACACTTGATTTGCCCTTCTCCTTCCCCTGTTATACTTCTTCCTAATGAGCACAGTTTCATCGATGTGAGCGACTTCTCCTACTCCTCCTCCATGACCCTATGTCTCTACAGTGCTGATACTGTTGCACTATAGAGACTAGACTATTTTCCGTATCAGCTGCCGCTGACCTTACAGGTCTTTGTGAAATCCATCAGTACATAAGACGCAGGATATTCGTCAAATACAGCTTAGACTTCAAGAAAAAAGCACGAAAGAAATAAGTAGAATACTCCACTTACCCTCACGAATAGATTTTCTCTTATGACATGAACTACATCTGTAGCAGTATTTATCTCCAACAAGGTTGTATTGCTTTAGCATCATAGTATCTCCACAAACACAACTCTTAGTCACTCCAATTAATCCATGATCTTTACGGAATTCACTAACCAAATCTATAAACGCAGGCATAATTTCTGGTTGAAATGACCTTTGGAAGAGTCCAACGAATCTGACTGGTCCTTCAGGGTCAACCTTGAAAGACTTTGGGTGTGGCTATGATACTTTAACTTCGCCCAAAATTCAACTGTAACAAATACCTGAGAATCGAGTTGAATATTCCCAACAAGGTGTGGGATCAAAACTTTGTCAGCAGGAATCACTCTCCAAACACTTCCCACAGACAGCCGAAGGTCAAAATCACAGCTGTAAAACAATAAATTATCAATATTATGATGAAACGACAGAAACAAACATTGAAATTAGAGATTAGTCAAAGAAAAAGACAAATAATAAGGATCAGGTCAACATATAATAATCAAATGTCAGAAGAGCGATATACGGTCTAGCAGGAAAGGCGAAAATAATTACAAAGTTATTTAAAATATCTAAATAAGTATCATTAGTGTGACTAGGTCACTCAAGAGGGATTTTTCAAGCAATTAGTCCCTCACACGGTGTATTTGAACCTCTAAATGAATTCGCATTGTTAGTGTATGAATACAATTCGGGCACCAAGGTAGAATATAACTCTGCATTCGATAAGTTCATTTGATATGACACACAGTGATCCAGTATTGTATCAACAAGAAGGTACTTAGAGCAAAATTTATTAGTTGGAGAATTTCATCATGAGCTGACATTAGTTAGAGAACCATTGGAAAACCCGGGAGTAATGGACAGCCAGATGTTTCGTCCCAGTTCGGGACTCTTCATCAGTACGCGCCCACCAAACTAGGACGAAACAGCTGTCCAGTACTGCCAAGACTTCCAATGGTTCTCTAACTGATGTTAGCTCATGATGAAATCCTCCAACCAATCAAACAAAATCCCTACAAAACCGATACTTCAAAATTTATTACTCGTATCAATACACTCAAGAGACTTCCAAAACTGCTTCATATAACTTCATACTCTGACGTTCTGCATTACAATTATGTATGTATCAGGGATACGTAATGCTTCATTTTGATTACACCTGCTTGATGATGGTTAGATGAACAACGACTCAGTGATTAATCTTCTCTCTCTCCACCTGATGACTGGAAGGTTTATTATTATTATTATTATTATTGTTCCCTTGGGTTCCTAGTGAAACATAGGGCTTCAACTACACGTCTCCACTTGCTTCTATCTTCTGCCGTGCTTTTCACCTGCATCCATGTTAGTCCATACTGTTTCAACTCCTCTTCACACGATCTCCTCCATGTCACCCTAGCATTGACGTCCCACTCGCCGCTTCCCTTTCGGGTTCCACTCGAGCTATGGCCTGACGCGCGGTGTCACCCAGCGGCCTCCTCAGTTCAGCGAGTGTCCAATCCATCTCCACTTTCTCCTGCATATTTGTTGAGCGATTGGTTCCTGTTTTGTTTCTTCCCATAGTTTCTTGTTGGTGATTCTTTCAGGCCATCTGATCTTCAGTATGGAACCAGCGAAGACAGTTGTTGATGAAGGTCTGCAACAGGCTGTTGGAAATATTCTTTGTGACACACTGGCCAAGTTTCTGATCCGTATAGAAGAACTGACTTGACGTCGTTTGTATTGAGAATCCGAATTTTGTTGTTGATGGTGAGTTGAGTGACGAAGATTTCCAGATTGGTTTCAGGTTGATGAATGTGTTTCTCGCCTTCATGATTCTCGATTTGACATCCTCGTCCATTCCTCCTCCTGTGGTTGAGACAATGCTCCCTAGATAAGTGAATGAAGTAACCTCTTTCAAATCTCTCCCGTTGATGGTGATTGGCGCTGGATGTTGCTGCTGTTGTTGTTGTTGGTTGGTTATTTTCATAATCTCCGTCTTGTCTATGTCCAACTGCAGTCCTGTCTTTGCTGCTTCTTCGACCAGTTTGTTGGTTTTCGCTTGTAAGTCTTTGATTTTGTGTGACAACTGGAAGGTTTACTCAGTTGATAAAGTCAGTTCACAATTTCGTACATAGATACCCATGTGTCAGCTGGTTTTATTTGCACGAAGTTAATCATTTTCTAAAAATTCAGTTGATATAAAGTTCTAACATTTAAAATAGATACTTGAGAGAACATCGAGGCAATTCGGTGGGCTACGCTCATAGTAGACGTCTGAGCTAAGCATCAAATTAGGTAATTATAGGTGGTGGTCTAACTTTGGAAAGAAGGAAAGCACAGTCGTCTGTATCTTTAAAAAGGCTTAAAAACATGGCACAAATAGATGGAACAAAGCATTCAAAGGGTTAATCACCTAAAATACATCAGTTGTCCAGTACTTCCTGACTTTCAATGGTCCTCCCACTTCATGGTCAAATTAATCTTGCACAAAAGGATAACATCAATATTCTCCTAGCATCTGTAAATTCCGGGTATTTATCACTGTGTACCTATTGATTTTGGCCTATTAGATCATTTTTAAGTATTGCTAAAACGAGATCTACACAGTTCATTCCTGGAGAAAATAAACTGTCTATCTCCCAGAATCCAGTTTACTTCGGAAGCAGGCAGAATCAGACGTCGGTGAACTACCATTTCTAGAATGGTTAGTTGAGAAAAGGGAAAACGGACATTTTAGTATATCCACATTCAGGAAGAAAACCCACTCCAATAAATATTTAGACTTCAAATCATCACACCCCATCAGCGCAAAGGTATCAGTTGTTTCAAGTCTTCTTAGACGAGCACACTCTATGATAGCGGATGAGAAAGAAAAAGATGAAGAAATATCAAATATTACTGAAACTCTCAAGCAAAACAACTACCCAAGGAACTTCATCAACAAAATCAACACTGACATTAAGTATGGTCGAAAACGCATTCCGAAAACATGGACCTCAACAGTCGTCATTCCATATAGAGCAGAGACGTCAGACGATATCAGAAGAGTACTCAATAAGCTCGACATTAGAGTTTTCTTCAAAACATCAGACACACTGCGAAACAACCTTTTCCATATCAAAGACAAAATCCCTAGAGATTCTCTATCTAATTGTGTCTATAAATTTGACCTGGTTACAACACCCCTCTCCCCCATGAAGTGACAAAATCAACACGAATGTGATAAGCAATATCATTAAATAAACACACGCTGCTTTTATAATTTTACACACTTATCAAATCCAACAGTCTACACTTGGTTTTGTTATCTTTATCAATTGACCAATTTGACAACGAAAATTGACCCCAGACTGACGAACGGTGATCAAGTTAGTAAACTTTGTTTTGATACCATAACAGATGTACTATTACCTTTGTTATTTAGTTTAGTGGTCTCCAATGTTATTATGACTTTCAATATGTCCTTTTAACTTGACCTAAGTCTATTTTCTCACTTCTTAACTCTTTGTTATATATATGCTGAGATTTTGTAAATTCTGGTTTAATAATACTTCGATAAAGCTATTAGAGGCATTAAATAGCGAAACGTCAGTAAAAACAATATCGTTTTGTTTTTCATTCATTGGGAAATACACAAAAACCTTTATTATAATGAATATCATTTACCCAATGCCCAAATTTTTTCAAACTGTTCAAAGTGAACTTGGTTTGGACATATATAACTTATATAACATATATATCTTAAAATGTCATAATGGAAATAAATAATAAAGCGCCGTATTTTTGAGTAGCTAGTGATTCCAAACTTTATGATAATGTCCTCTATTTCTCATCTTCTGATTATATCCACGTTTGTTTGTTTGTTCCTTTTTTGTTTCAGGAGAACCCTTGTCTGTCTGTCCACTATGTAGAGATGGAGACACTGGTTCACGTGGAGACATAGGCGATCCAGGTGAAGATGGAGAAAAAGGCGCAAATGGAATACCAGGAGATAGAGGTGATCCTGGAAGATTAGGCGAAGATGGACCAATTGGTCTACAGGGCACTAAAGGTGAAAAAGTAAGTTGGCTTTGTGATAATAAGAGCTGAAAAAAGAACATGAAGTCACCAAACCTTATTGGGATTATTTCATAAAATTATTTCTGAATAAACGAGGTTTTCTTAACACTAAATATACCATCTCAATTGGTTTTCATTGATACAAGAATAGAACTTTTGGACTGCTAGTGCTTCAGCTATCCCAAGGTGCATTGATCCCACTCCCTTTGAGAGGTTTGATCAGATTTTGCATATGACTTTGAAGAACTTTTCTGAATTTCCTCAGTTCACCAGATGTTCTATCACCGAACTATATATATACACCTACGTTCTTCTTTTGATAACCGAGTTGTATAATGTTCTCGACCACGTTTTACGAGCAGATGCATGTTACGATTTTGAAAGCCGTTTATGGAGAATTTCTGCCTCAGTATCACTTTTAAATTCCATATTAAGCAGCAGCATGTTTTTGGTGGTGAATTGGACCTGTTTAGAAGCTTTCTTTAGTTTTAGATTCTTGTCTATAAATCTGGGTTTTTAAACCATTTTCCATTGAGATTCCTCGGTAATTTTGCACTTCTTCGTCAATAGATTCCTTGACACATATTTTCCGAATCCTTGAGGTAAGAGAATATATATGAGGTTTCTCTTTCTGCTTAGAGGGACAGGACTTTAAAAATTGATAAACTGTCTATTCCATGTGGGCTTTTCTTATGGGGATATCCTCAGCGAGTTATCCACATTTCTTCGCAATTGAACACTGAAGAAATGGAACATTGCGTCAGATTCAACTTCTAGAGTGAAGCCAATGTTTGAGTGGACATTATCGAATAATAACACGAATTAAAATGTCGACAAACTAATGCAGAAGAAAATAGTTCTTCATAAGGTTTAAACTACAGGTATATTTAAGAATGTCAGACATTTCATTGACGAAATTATCAGAGTAGAAAAACTATCGGTCTATTTCAATACATAAAAACTTGAGCTTTTACCACACTTCTTCGAGCTCTAAACAAATGCTCATCTCCTGACTGTGTATGAGAATAAACATACTTCATCAGTATTAAATACAAAGCATGAATAAAATGCTTGTAAGTCGACTATCTTTCTTCTCATAAGAGTTTTGTAATCACAAATAGTCAACGAAAAAGGAAATTATTTGAAGTGGCTTGCGGAAAAATAAATTTAAAGTCACATCTACAAATCGAGTGTTTATCAAACTTTTTAATTCACTGCATTTCAGGGTCGTAGAGGTGAAGATGGTTATGATGGGGATCCAGGAGATGTAGGAGAGTCAGCTATTGTATCTCGAGTTGTAGAAGATGTTATCCCTGGAGATGAAGGTGATGAAGGTCGTGAAGGTAGTGTTGGTGATATCGGAGATCGAGGTGATGAAGGCGAACCTGGTCCTGATGGAGATGAAGGTCCTAAAGGACAGATGGTATGTTAAATACTTCCATTTTACAATATTATAATTTATAATATTACACAGTCACCCGGTTTATTGAATAACTTATCTTTCTAAGATTTTTACCGGATCTGTTTCTCATGCGTGCCTACACCTCACCTTGAAGATTTTCAGGAGTTTCAAGAGAGTGTGTATTTTTAAAACATTCATAAGTTAGCGTTCGTTCTATTATACCTTTCCTGTCTACAACTGGCTGCTTTTAAGAAAAAGTCACGGTTAATCGAAAGCTGTTTCTTCCTAACCAAGACTCTTCACAAGTTCATACTCACAGTAGTTCGAACCCAGAACCTTCCCGCTGCATGGCGAGCTCGTAGACCATTCAGCTTTTGGGGTCTGATCCAGTAATCCATGAATTCCAGCTTCTACCAATTCGTGATATACATATATGGCTCAACTACCAGCCAGTGTCAGAGAAGAATAACTGTTCTGTTAACTGACTTAATGAACCCCACTGGTTATGACTACTCACTAGAAGTCCAGGTGGACGCTAGTGAGCATCACATTAATTGTCAGTTGTTGGTTTTCAGGGATTTTACTTGCTACAGGTTTTATCTTGAGCCTAAAGTTGTTCTCCAAATAACTATCTTGCATAAAACTGTTTACCTGTATATCTACATTTTGAGCCGGGAATGTATTTGTCCACCTGGAGTATGAGATCTTTTATGAAAACGTCTATTCCCTGTCTAAGAAGGATGTCTCCGTCAAATTAACCTACGATAAGGAAATAAATAGTAGGATTTTAAGACAGAGACTAAACTGGGTTATGCTGTGAAACTTACTCTGCAGCCCGGCTTATAATTATGGAAAAAAGTCAAAAATAGGCTCCACTATAAGCCTCAACATTGAACAAGTGATTATGTTACATCCCATACTATATACCAATTTACATGTGTGTGTGTTTGCGTGCTTGGTCACACATACATAGAGAAGAGTCACCGTGCTTTGCATATGAGTGAACATATACGCGAATGGTTCAAAAAACAAATGAACTGTGAAGCTTCGATGAACGCAGGTAGCAGACTACCAAATTCGTCTACAACTAAACACTTAATTGATATGAGTGACAATCAAAACAGCTTTGAAGATTATTTGTAGAAACAGTCAAGGTCAACAGCCATTCGTAAACTTAACAAAATCAATTTATTATTACCCTTAACCTACTTTGGAGAGATTATAAATTCATGAATTCAGGGGCTTTTCTTGGCTAATTCATTTTCTTCAGCTGTGCAACTGCATTTATGTAGAATTTCTTCATGAAAGAGGGTAGTAACAGAAGTGATGAGTCGTCACAATCGTAGCTGTTAGTAATAGTCAAGGCATAAGAGGAGTTGCATAAGTGAATTAGAGTTACGTAATGGGATGAATAATTTATTGAATGAGTTATAATCAGGATGCACAAAGTAACGAAGGCAAATATGAAATTATGTATGAGTTCTAAAGAAATACAAAAGTTAAAAGGAGTTAGAAAAACAAACAAACAAAAAATCAAGTTAGCAGAAATCAACAACGCTGTTACTATGATAGTAGGAGTGGTTGAATAATTTTCCTTTATATTCATGGCTCTGATTTCCCTAACTGAATGCCTAAAGCTTCAGCAATTCAGGGGAGAGGAAAGCGTACTACCTTTGGCAGATTATTCTTCACTTTGTAGAATACTTTGAAGGAGACGTTATGCTGAGATGGAATGACCACTTTTGACCACTGATTATCGCACGTCTTATCGAGCCACTACGACCATTCTGCAACCATACGGGATAGTGTCCGCGTAAAATCAAAAATAATCCTTACAAACCAACTATAGAAAATTAATCTGATGCTCGCTAGTGACTTGCTACAGGATGGAGTTTCCTGGAGATCTAGTGAGAAGTCGTGACCAGGGAGGTCCATCCAGTCAAATGTGAAGTTGGATGTCCCACCGATGACATTGGTTGGTCCAGTCGCGCTAAATCACGAATTGGTAGAAGTTACAATTTTTACTCAGGTGGATGATTTTGGTGTGGTTGTGTTCTCTGAGCTGGATGGTTTGGTTGCGAAGCTTTCATTGCTCTACTGAGCAACATCTTCAGCGCATACATCAATTTCTTGAAGTGAGCTTTTAGAATTCTCTATAGTTATTATTCTCTTTAGTACGGTTTTTTATTACTTTCAGTACAAGTGTGGAATTTTCAGCATGGATATCGGTAGCCCAAATTCAGGCCGACCATAGATATCGGGTGTGCGCCGGCAGGGGATCGAACCCCGGACCATGTCATGGTCGCGAGAGTCCTAACCACTGTGCCACTGGCCACTGAATCTGGTCCCAGTGACTGAATGGTATACCAGCTTGCCTTGTAACCGGAAGGTCCTGGGTTCGAACCCTGGTTAGTGGGGTGCGTACTGCCGATGATTCCCAAACTAGGATGAAACAGCTGTCCAGTACTCCCTGTGCTGGTTTTCAATGCTTCTCTAACTGATATCAATCCGTGATCAACTCGTAAACATATGCATTGGACAATCAATATACCTGGCTTCACAAGAACAAGTGAACTGATATATACACACAGAGGTGCTCAGATGCAAAATCTACTCTCTTTTATGACAAATTGTTGATAAATGTGATTGTACAGCTAAAGATTATAAATATCTGGTACACGGGTGTTACGAGTTTCCTGGAATAATTTGAGCACCAGGTCAGATTGAATCATTATAAACTTACAATAAGCCTACAGTGTGTTTAGAAAATCAAAACAAGACTTCCCTCGGCGTTTCGTCTTTGTTTCTTCATCAGGATTACTCGGAATTTATTAGCCACTCTTGGTAATTTTTATCTGATGTAGCGTTAACTATTCTTAAATCCGTTACCACTTTGTATATTTCGACTGGTCTTTCATTTTTCATTTACAATGGTTTGACAAGTGAATGTTTGCCAAATTGTTGAAAGTGTATTGCGGAAATACATCACATTTATCAAATAATCTCCATCTTCTAAATAACACTATGCAAATTTATTAAAGGGACCAAATGTTTTCAATTTTAGGATATCATTTTGACTGGTTAGAGGATTTCATCATGAGCTGACACGAGTTACAGAACCATTGGAAAACCTGGGAGTACTGCACAGCTAGACGTTTCGTCCTAGTTCGGGACTCTTCGGAAGTATGCGCCCACTGGCGTTCGAACGCAGGACCTTCCGCTTATTAGGTGAACTCGTAGACCTTTAAGCTACTGGGACCTGATCCAGTGGTTCATGAACTCCGAATTCTGCCATTTCACGATATAGCGCGATCGCTAGCCGATGTCACCGGCGAGTATTTGTCCTCACACCCCACCTGCTGTACCCATGGTCATGACTTCTCACTAGAGCTCGCCTTGTAACCAGAAGGTTCAAACCCCAGTGGATGCGTACCGATGAAGAATCCCAAAATAGGACGAAACAGCTGTGTAATACTCTCATATTTTCCAGTGTTTCTCCAACCGACGTCAGCTCATGATGAAATCCGTTAACTAACCGAATCCCTGCAGACCAACACTTGAATATCATTTCGATCCGTCAGAAGAAGTGATTATCCTTTTTAAACTTCAAATTTTTCAGGGTATAGATGGTGAACAAGGACCAATTGGTGATGTTGGCGATGATGGAGACGATGGTGAAGCTGGTGACAACGGTGAAGATGTCAAGGGTTTAGTTGGTCAACTGGGTGAAAGAGGAGATGAAGGATTAACAGGAGAAAAAGGTGAAAAAGGCATAGCTGGAACAATGACAAATTGTACAATTGACTGGAGACAAATAGTAGCTAAAAATGAATCTGGTAAGTTAGATATTTTTGTCTTTGGTGAGAATATATATATCCTGAAAATGATGGATTTCTTGGTTTAACAAAATCTGCTATCAAAATCTTTTTACGTTTTATTACAAGTAGGCGATACTTTTTTCATAAGTAAAAACACTTTTTTACTTATGAATAAATGGGTATTTTTCGTGATACTTTTTTCCCCTGGAATTTCAATACTGTGGAAGTCAGGCATAGCTGCACTGCCAGCATTATTTCCCCAAGCGGCACATAAATTTAATAATAACAATAATTTCCTTTATTCCAAAACAGTATATGTGATACAGAATGGAATTCTCAGCATTTTTACTACAGTACTGCATCCAGTTAGTACATCATCAATAAATAGAATGCTACATAGATTAAGGAAATCTCAGTTCATTATTACAACAACACATTGGCGTGTCGGTAGCAAAGGTAAAGCTGAACAGTGTTTGAAGGTGTTAGAAAAGTAGGAGCTGTCATATATACTGGCGTAAGCGAGAGAAAGAAACAAATCAGCACATAACGGAAAAAAAGAGATAGAGAGAAAAGGAAAAGAAAGAGAGAAAATGTTGTACCTATAAATGATATGAGTCGGAAAGACGAGGTCCAGTTGTACTACTGACTATTTAATGAATTATAGGTGTCACGCCTAATGCTTTCTTTATCTCACACAACACGAGCTAAGTAGGGTATGGTTGAGTTTTTGTACTTGCTAGTGCGAGAATATAGTTCTCTATATTGGCTTCTGGTTTTGCCTGATGAGATGCAAGCGAAGAGTTGTGAGTGAAGAGGGTGGTGTGAGTTAGACAGAATGGATTTAGTCCATTTTTCACATGAGTCCATGTGCCTGTCGACCAGAATATTAACAACAAGCTGGTTAAGTGACACATTGCTTACCCTGCTGACAACGTTTAACATCCTACGTAAAAACTAAAGGGGAACAATAGAGAATAATAGGCAGGATGCGAGAATTAACGAATTGTAGGAGTAAGGGTTGGGTTATACCAGAATATTTTAACTTCTTGATGTCGAAGGTAAGACGGAATATTTTCTTTGAAATAGCCAAGATATGAGACGACCAGGAAAGATCAGCAGATAGAATGACGCCTAGGTATTTAATTTACGACTTGGTTTCTGTTTCAGTGCCGTCTATGTTGCATACCTCGTGAGAGACAACCAGTTTGTTTAGGTCGGATTTATGCCTAAAGGTAAAATTGACTGTTTGGTATTTGAAGGGGTTTAGGGTGTTCGAAACTTTGTCATCCAGTAAATAATACCGTTTCATGTGTGATATATCTAATTAAGAAACTAATATGGAATTACTTACTCCCACAGTGCCGAATTTCCCATCTACACTATTCGGATTTACGATAAGTGATATTATCTCTCTTTTCTGAATATATTCACCTCTACACCTGTTTCATTTCACATATTGATTATTTCATGATGAACTATTCACTGAAGCTTTACTATCTCCTCTTTATTGCGTGCTGTTTTGTACTAGCCAATCACCTGACACCCTTTATAACCTTGAAGTGACCTATCGATTTTCCTTCCCCACAACACTGTATGAATCTCTTATGATAAGTCATCATCACTGTCTTACATTTCACTCTATTTTGTAGAATATCAGTTTAGCAAGTAGCCTTTCTTCTTCTGCATAAGTGACAAGTTAAGATCACCCTAATTACTTAGTATGATGCAAATAATAAGTAGTAAACTACGACATCAAATAAATGAGTCCAGAAGTGAGAATTATTAATCGATTATATGCAGTCTTCATCTGAATGTGAGAGAATCTAACCATATGATCGGTTAATGCAATACACTGTACTCATTCATAGGTATCTTAACAAAAGTACAAGAAGTTTTTGCAGATGGCCATAATGACAACGAAGGTAGTAATATGCCTGTATGTAAACAATTCAATGAATAAATTAGGTCAAACCTTAAAAGTTACGTAATAGATAGATAATAAGTGTAAATAAAAGTCATAAAAGTATGAAAGAAATGGAAAATAACACAGGGTATGAGGTTTTTAATTAGAATTCACCTAGGCTATAGGAGACACAAAGGTAGAACAAACTTATACACAGAGAATAGGTTTGTTCTCTGGAATCCTCATATCTTACGCTATGTGTAAAAGAAGGAGCGGGGTTCGGATTCTGTTCAAAAGGTTCTATGGAATGCGATAAATAACCATGAAGGCACTGCTTATGTTCACTTGGTGACCGCTATCAATCAGATGAGACAAAATAAAACCTCTCTACTCAGGTTATTTGATCTTTACCCAACCTTGGAGGAAAATACACGCTTAGTAATGTTTTTGTTAAATTGTCTTGTTCCTCACCCTATATAGCTTCCTCTGTAGGAGCAGCTAGACTTATAAATGCACATAGAAGTAGCACAGCTAGATAGCTTATCTTTCTCTTAGCCAGTCATAACTGGCCAGCTGGAAAATGACAAATAAAAGATATCAGCAGTATAATATGTTTTTCATTTTTCTCATAGTTGACAAAATTGGTTTGATTTCGCACCAGACTTCCAAAATTGAGTTTATTCTTTTTAAAACAAAAGTCAATAAATCTTTTTTAAGTGAACACTTGAGATATTTGATACTTCATTTTTAATTTACCCCATATAGATTTAATCGGTGATCGAGGAGAGAAAGGAGATGATGGAGATGTTGGTGAAAAAGGTTCTACAGGTGTAGATGGTCCAAAAGGTGAAGTTGGTCAAACAGCACCACCATCTGAACGAGGTGAAACTGGTCCTCCAGGTCCTGATGGTGAAAAAGGAGAACAAGGACCACCTGGTAAGACTAACGTCCATATTTCATTTAATGCCCTATTGTGGGATTAAAAGTTTAATCTATGGTTCATAAAAAATATATATATGATTGATTTGAATCTGTTTCAGGCATTGAAGGCCCTCAAGGGTTACAAGGCGATCCTGGACTAACAGTAGATGGTGAAGAAGGAGAAGTGGGTGAACAAGGTCCTGATGGTCCTAAAGGTTATAAAGGTAAGTCTATTTTTTCAACTTTATCTAAACTCTACTCACTGACTAATTAATTTTATCAACTTTTTTTACGAGTTGATCATGGATTGATATCAGTTAGAGAACCATTGAAAACTGGCCACAGGGAGTACTGGACAGCTGTTTCATCCTAGTTTGGTAGAATTGATGGACCGGACATTGAATCGGGACCCAGTGGCTGAATGGTATACGAGCCAGCTTGCCATGTAAACGGAAACTCCTGAGTTCGAACCTTGGTGAGTGGGGTACGTATTGCCGATGATTCCCAAACTAGGATGAAACAGTTGTCTAGTACTCCCTGTGGCTGGTTTTCAATGCTTCTCTAACTGATATCAATCTGTGATCAACTCGCAAAAACATAACCAACCCTTACAAACCAAACTATAGAAAATTTAACAACTTTACAAAAACTTCAAGGTAAAAATCTTGTTTTTTTTACACACCTTCATCTTTCACCTTCCTTATGGTGATGATTTGTTAATTTATGAGTGCAGCTGTTCCAAATACTGTTTTATTAGAATAAAGGGAAATATTAATAAAGAAATTCTATGTTAATCAACTGCAATTATAAATGTGCTTTTTTTATATATAACCACCCCAGTTGGTAGAAATGATTAAATCATGGGAATTTCATTCTTAAATAAATTTTAGGCGAAGATGGTGATATTGGTGAACCTGGTGAAACACCAGAACTAACTAAAGGTGAAGCTGGTCCCGATGGAGAGCCTGGAACTGAAGGTGAAGAAGGAGAACCAGGTATTCCTGGTGAGAAAGGAGAACCTGGAGCAGAAGGTAAGTACTAAAACATTCGGGATGTTTTTCTAACGTGACTTCCCCTATTTTTAATATTTTTCATATATTTACAAACTAATCTTACGTGTTTTCAATTCAAGCTGGTAGACAAGGTGAACCTGGAAGTCCTGGGGAGAAAGGAGATCTAGGACCGAAGGGTCTCCCTGGTCCTAAAGGAGAACCTAGCACAGATATGGAGCCTGGAGATCCAGGTGTTCAAGGAGAACCTGGTTTAGTTGGACCTGATGGAGAAAAGGGTGCAGTCGGAGAGGTGGCAGAATGTAATGAAGCTGGTTTATCTGGTGATCCTGGTCCTGAAGGACCTATAGGAGAAGTGGGTCCAGTCGGTGAAGATGGGCCAGAAGGAGAAGATGGGGATGCTGGACCGGAGGGTGAAACAGGCCTTATCGGTGAGTCATGAGTTTTCTACTAAAAGATACTCCTTTGTCTCTATAAATATTCCTTTAAGATCAAATAATTGATTTCGTTAATTCAGTAATATACACTTTATCAAAACACATATCAAGAATTCTGAAACCGCTAAATGTTCATTATCAATAGGAGACATTATAAACTGCTAAAAACTGTGTTTAGAATCTACTTATTTCACCTTCAAAGAGAAACGATGCTGTCTGACAAATGAAGTTGCAATGGGATCACCAGCATCTCCAATTGTAGAAAATATGTACATGAAAAGTCTAGAAAGAAAAGCACTGACAAGTTTTAGTTGTCATCCTAGAATATGGTACAAGATATGTAGATGACACATTTATCATTATTAAGAAAGCTGAAAAAGAAAACTTTCTAACACAGATTAACTTAATCTCAAAATACATAAAGTTTACTAATGAAATAGAATCGAACGAGGGAACTCTAAACTTTCTGGATTGTCTTGTAAAAGGACAAAATAACAAGAAACTAAAGTTTACGATATGCGAGAAACCACCGCATTCAAACAAGTATTTGAATTTCCAGTCAGATCATCCAATAAGAATGAAAGTTTCAGTAGCTTTAAATCTTGTTAACAGAGCTAGAAACATTATAACCGATAATGATGATATGTAGAACAAGATCTCCAATATAAAACAAATTTTGATTGGAAATGGTTATCCGAAAAAGCTGCTAAATAATATTATCAATAAAAAGGACCAGAAAGGAAAATTTGGAATTGAGAAATCTTGGCTATCGACGATAGCCATTCCATATCGAAAGGATACAGCTGAACAACTTCAAAGACTACTTGCTTCTTATAATATTAAAGTCTATTTCAAGCCCGTTGATTCTTTGCGAGGAAGCTTGGGTGAATGTTGAAGATACAGTCCCCGAAATGATACAAAGTAACTGTGTCTATAGGATAAAGAGCTCAGAACATGAGGAAACCAGTAGACAGGGGAAGGTCAGATTGAATAAACACAGGCTGTGTGCGAAACGTCCACCTAGAAATGAAGGGGAATTAAAGAATCCCAGTAATGAAAGATTAGCTATAGCAATGCATGCTATAGACAGCGGACACAAGATTGATTTCGAAATTCATGTCGAATTTCCTAGGAAGAGACTTTCATTCACATAAAGAAAGGATGACTTCTGAATTCTGGCATATTTTAACTACATAGAATGCAATAATTAGGAGAGAAGGCATAGATTTATCGCCTATATGACAGATTCTAATGAAGCAAAACATATGAGAGGAAAAAATTCAATCCTATATCATGACCACATAACAAACAACGTGGCGACACACTCATTCGGACAAATATGCACAGATGACAATTTGACATTAGTCATTACAAATATGTGTGTGATGACTGCTTACATTTTTCTGTCGATACAAATGTCTACTGACAAGTGACCATCTAGGGTACTGACATTAATTTATGTAATTTTTTGACTATATATATTTCGATGGTCAATAAAATCCGAATAATTCTGATGAAGAAGCTGGCTGTGACTTACACAGTGAAACGTTCAGAAAACAGATCTTGTTTTTGACTTTTTTTCTTAAACACCCTGGGATTATTTTAAATAATTTATAGTGATTCAATTCGAATCAGTGTTCAAATTATTCCAGGAAATTCGCGACATTTATGGTCTGGATACTTATAACCCTAAAAATGGTCTTATGGTCAATTTCACTCATTCAGTATCAGATAAATTTTTTCAGAATTCTGTTTTACGAAAATTCTATGTTCTAATAAGTTGTATTCAGGGATCGGCATTCCTGGGATGCAGCGATTGCATATTTAAGTGTTGGTTTGTAGGGATTTGATTGATTGGTTTCAGGATTTCATCATGAAGTGACATCAGTTAGAGGATCATTTAGAAACCTGCAGGGAGTACTGGACAGCTGTTTCGTCCTAGTTCGGAACTCTTCAGCAACACGCACCCAATGAGGTTCAAACGCAGGACCTTCTGGTTACAAGGCGAGCTCGTAGACCATTAAGCCACTACGATCCAATCCATTGCTTATTTCCCATAATCTTGGTAGGATATCAACTTTGACTATTATTTCAGCAAAATGAAATTTAGTTCCCTGAGTTAAATAAGTTTCCATGTTTTCTCAGTTTTTGGCAAATAAGATTCATAGAAATTTAGAAATGTCATGGTATGCATTCTTATCAGAAGAATACAGACAGCGGGCAGCGAGGAAACAGGCATAAAATGGACCCACACAAAAAACTTGGAGGATCTGCACTTCGCTGATGATATATGTCTGATTTCCCACAAACTGGAAGATATGCAATTGAAAGCAACAAGTTGGCAGAAGAAGCATCAAAGATAGGACTTTCTTCAGGTGAACATAGAGAAAACAGAAGTGGGTGATGGAGATTCATGGCCCACAGCAACAGCAACAATAACAGACAACAGTCAGCATTAATGGGAGGAATCTGAAGGAAGCAACCTCATTTACCTACCTACCTACCTGGGAACCATCGTTTCAACTTCAGGCGGAACTGACGAGGATATGAAAGCAAGGATCGGGAAAGCAAGATAAGCTTTCATCACTCTCAAGTCTGTGTGGAGATCAACAGCACTCAGCATCAAAAATGAGATCCGGATTTTCGAATCCAATGTGGAGTCAGTGCTACCTACTGTACGGATCAGAGACTTGCACTGCGCGTCATAAAGAGCACCTCAAACAAACTACAGACCTTCATCAACATCTGTCTTCGCTCAATACTCAAGATCAGATGGCCAGAAAAGATCAGCAACAGTGGTGTATCTCTGGGAGCGAACCAACCAGGAACCGATTGAGCAACAAATAAGCAGAAAGAAATGGAGGTGGACTGGCCATACTCTGAGGAAACCATCAAGTGACATCACTAGACAAGCGATTGCTCGAGTGGAACCTGAAAGGGAAGTGGTGAGTTGTTCGTCAGTGCGAGGGTAAAATGGAGGAGGTGATGTGAGGAAGAGATGAAAGCATGTGGGCAGACTTGGATCCAGGTGAAAACTGTAGCAGAAAACCGAACGCAGTACAGACGTGCAGCTGAAGCCCCATGTTCCTCTAGGAATTGAAGGAAATAATAATAATAAATGCATTCTTATCCGGAGTTAATCTTTGACTAACATTATTTTTTTTTCCCAGGTGAACGTGGTGAACCTGGAGATGATGGAATTGAAGGCATAATTGGTTTAACTGGAAAGAAAGGTGAAACAGGAGGGGTTGGCGATGTAGGTGAAAAAGGTTCTCCTGGTCCAGAAGGTGAAGTTGGAGATGTCGGTCCACAAGGTGAGGTAGACAACATTTGTTTTATGTTTTAGTAGTACATTTTTTATTGAAATAATTACGAATAATTTTCTGTGCTTAAGTCACCAGCATTCATCAAATAATTAACTTCTAAGTGAAGTGGTGATGCTACCTCTGGGAACTACATTTCTGAATTGCTTTTTCCTCCAACCTGTTGGCACCTTAGTCACATAATAACTTGGGGGGAAAAATAAGTACGGTACAGTTCGTTTTCTAGATTTCAGTCAAGCATTCAAAATCTACTGTGTTCCAAATTGAATAGGCTTTATTATTATTACCATTCTTCTCTGCAGTACTTTTCATCCAGCCCCGCAATACCCCGTAAGTTCTCATCCCCACCTCACACGACTTCCGCAATTTCACTCTTGGACCCATTCCCAACTCGTCATTTCCTATTCACGTTCTACTCGAACGATGGCCTACGGTAGGATGTCACTCAGAGGTCTCCTTAGAGTGTGTTCGATCCATCTCCATTTATGAAAACAAAACACGTAGATCAGCGAAGAGTCTCTTTTCGGTGGCGAATTCATTTTCTTAGCTGTACAAATATATATGTGTTATTTTGTATGTATGTGTACATTAATTTTGTCAAACAAAAATACATTTGGTTTTAGTTATTTTAACTAAAGAGGTGAAGATTGGTAATTGGAGTTACGTAACACAAAATCAGTCAAGAAAATTAAGTGTTAGTGAAATTAGGGTAGTAACAAAGGTGGTGAGTTGTCACAAGCAGTTGTTAAAAAGAAGTTGTGTAGTAATATGAATAGTTCGATGAGTGAGTTTTACTCAGGATGCACATAGGAACGAAGTAGAGAATACGAAGTTACTCAAGAGTTCTGAATGAATACAAGAATTATAAGCAATTGAAGAACAGGCAAAGAAACAAAATTAAGTCATCAAAATAAAAAAAATCAAATCAAAAAGTTGTTACCAAGACAGTAGAAGTGGTTGAGTAATCCTCTTTTGTATGCACAGCTCCGGTTTTTCCATGTGAATGACCAGAGCTTCAGCGATACAAAGAAGACAAAACCGTATTGCCTTTGATAAGTTATTCTTAACTCTGTAGATTACTTTGAAGCAGGAGGCGTTTGTTGAGATGGGATGATCAGTGTTAACCGGGTGGGTGTTCAATTATCGCACTCCTTATTGCACCACTATCGCCTTTTCGCAACCATGCTGGATAGTGCTCTCCATTTACTTCAGGAGATTTGTTGAGCAATAATAGGTCCTTCATTGGTCCATTCCCAGAGTTTCTTGGCCCTAATTCTTCCCGGTTGGCTATCTGATATTCATTACGGAGCCAGGGATGTCAACTGTTGGTAGAAGTCTCCAGCCCGTTAGGAAGGATTTTCGTGACATTGATCTATGCAGAAGAAGTGACTCAACTCTGGTGTTGAAAATCCAAATTTCGTTGTTTATGTGCAGTACATTAGATCGGTGGCACAGCGGTTAGGACGCACGCCGACTATGCACATGATCCAGGGTTCGATCCTGTCTGTTATCTGTCATTCAGTTTTTGTCTAGAGTACTAGAGGTAAATGCAGTAGGACAGCTAGTCACTGACGAATAATAAATCAATAGTTTCAAAACAGTTTCAGTATCGTAATGCTTCAAATCATGTGCTGATCAAATTGCAGCCCTATGCATCGTCATCGTAGAACAAAGTTAAGAACGGGAGTGAAACCTCTTCCTGAAGTTCATCGACTTAGAAAAGGCCTTGGACAGACAGTGTTGAACGAAAAGTAACTTAGAAACCACTTCAACACTAGCGCATGCAGTGCCTAAGTTTTATTAACCTCATTCAACATATGGTTATATGGCAATGCCACGTCTCAAGGTGATCCACAACGGGAAACTCAGCAAAGTTTGGCTTTGAAGTGAATACGGGAGTAAGACAAAGCTGTCTGCCTATTAACACTGATGATATTCCTAATTGTGGTAGTGGGCTGAATTATGCATCAGACTGTGCGTTGGAAGTGAGAAGACAGAAATACGTTGGACCACCGATAAGAAGACTCTAGAAGATCTGGATTTAACGCGTGGATGATTTAAGTTTAATGTCACACAAACTCGAAGAATTGCAGGTGAAAACCAAAAAACTGGCAGAAGAAGGAGGTAGAGAAGACAGCACTACAGGTGAACATAGAGAAGACGAAGGTGCTGAAGATAACAAATCACCGCCAGCAGCGACAGGAACAACAAGCAGCACAAATCACCATCAAAGGGAGAGATTTGACAGAGGTTATTTCCTTTAATTACCTAGCCAGGGAGCACGATTTCAACTGCAGACAGCCGGAACGGATGAAGATGTCAAAGCTAAGGCAGAATCGGAAAGGTGAGATACGCCTTCATCAAACTGACACCAGTTTGGAAATCTTCTCCACTGCACTCGGCCAGCATAAAGAACAAAGTTAGGATTATCAACGCAAACGTGAAGTCAATCAGTCACTTCTTCCATGCTGGTCGTAAATTTGGCCAGCGTGTCACGAAAAGGATTTCCAACAGGTTGCAGATTTCTATCAACAGCTATCTTTGCTAGCTCCACACTAAAGACCAAATGGCTGGCCAGAAAGAATTATCAACAAGAAACTCTGGCTGGGAACAAACCAAACAAGAGCCGACTGCTCCGCAAATATGTAGGGGAAAGTGGAGATGGATTGATCTAGCCTGTCCAGTGACACAGTGCACAATACAGGCCATCACTCGAGTGGAAGGTGAATGGGATGGGACGAGTGGGTCGTCGACGAGAGGATGACATGGAGGAGATCGTGTGGCAGGGGGGAGATGAGAGATTATGGTCAATCGTGGACCCAGCTGAAGAAAACGACACTGAATAGAACAAAGTGTAGATCTGCTGCTGAAGCCCTATGTTCTACTTGGAACCCAAGGGAATAATAATAATAATGCTTCTCACCAGCTTAGTATGTATGAAACCAACAATGAACCTATATGTAACAACCAAAACTGGCTCGTGATCTGAACGCAAGAAACCGATCTTTGCTTTGTACTGTATAGCTGACAATACCTCAGTGTGACACGCACAGTCACAAAACGCCCCAAACACAACAAGAAGATGGTTATTCTTCGACAGATCTATGACTCTATTCAGCCATAATCACGTCAAAAAATCAAATTTACCTCAACACTGCCGTTAGGCAACTATATAAACAAGGCAAATTTTTGAGTACAAAACAAGTACTGTAGAACAAAATTAGTTAACCAAAATTTAGTCGTAATAAGTACCTTAGTACCAAGTAGAATATGCTCAACAAGGCAGGATCCAAACCTCCATCAGAAAGAATCACACGCTGAATAGTGCTCCCTGACGGTTCAAGGTCAGAATCACCTTAATTCACCGAGAAAAAAGTCACAGTCGTAAGATAACACATTATGAGTGTATCGCACAACCACAAAGAGAAGCATTAAACTTATTGTACCAAGATAATTCTGTCTGAAATTATTTCCATGATAATATTTATCTGATATTACTCATGTATATCCTGTAGGTCCACAAGGTATAGATGGTCCTCCAGGAGAGGTTGGTGATATTGGACCACCTGGTCAATCAATAGAAGGAGAACAAGGTGACATTGGTCCTGATGGGTTTGAAGGAGAACAGGGTGTTAAAGGAGATACCGGTCCAGATGGTGAAGATGGTGAGCCAGGCAGTGTAGCTGAAGATCTTCCTGGAATAAAAGGAGAGTCTGGTCCCTCTGGAGAGGATGGAGAACCAGGTGAAGTTGGAGTGGATGGTGCTGATGGAGAACCTGGCGAGAAAGGTGATGAAGGTATCATAGGAGAACCTGGGCCGAAGGTAAGTATTTCTCGAATCTTTTAGTTTAGCAGTATGAAACATTTAGCAGAAATTAGTGAAAGTTTTCAGACTTATATCCTCGTATATATCCTGTTTCTCATCTTTAGTTTATTCAGTATTGAAAGGATGAAAAATAAAATAGTGAAGTGGATTAATCACTTGGTATGACTTGTACCTCATCACAAAATTTGTGACAACTGCTAATACTGTGACTCGGGTCCCCTGTTGAAATGCAGTAGACAACTTGAGTGAAGAATGAATATGATTGTTCCCCTCAAGTACCCTCTGTTACCTCGAGCCCATGGAAAATTCAAAAGAAAAGACTGATTCGTGTTGATGAGGAATGACACTTTTATTTCATACATTTGGTTCCCTTGATAAATTTTGATAAAAAAAGGAAGACGAAATTTGCAGTATAAAAAGATATCATTCTATTTCACAGGTTCTCATCAGCTAACTGCAAACTACCTGAAATTACAATGGTTATATAGATGATAATAACATACTTTAATGTTTGAGTGGTAGTAGAGAAGAGATACTATAAAATTGACGCATCCAAAATGAAAGCATTACAATTTTTAGTTTAAGTTTTCATCATCAATTTATACGCTTTCAAAGTTGAAAAGAGGGGAGGGGAGGGGTAAGACAGAAAACAGAAAAAATTAATTAATTAACAGAACAGTGTTAGCTTGTAGGTTCACATACCAACTCAAAAAACAAAAGAGGTTACAGTTTATAAGATTGAGATTCGCTCAGTGAGTTGAGATCACTGAATTAGATGACTAATTAATGTAATCAAAATCAAAATTCAGTTACCAAAGGAGTGAGAGGTTAATCACACTCTCTTTCTGTATGCATAAGTCTGGTTTAAATCGTTTGATTGCGATCGCTTCGGCAAATCGTAGTAAATTTGCTGTCCTTTGTCAGTTAAATATTTTGAAGGACTTAGAAATCTCCACGAGATGTCCGGTATCAACAAGATGTCTGGTAATTGCACTCTGAGAATATTTGCTTCCTTTCAGGCACAGGTTTCTAGGAATATGTTCAGAAAACCGGATAGAAGCCCTTCTTTCCGTTCTTCCAATGTACTTGCTCTCGCAAGTGCATGTAAATTCATAAACGCAGTTGGAGGTGACATCAGCAGGGTATTTATCCAGTTTTAAGTGGCTTATAGAAGAAGTGGTGCTGTATAATGTTATGAGTTTTGCTGCCGGGAAACTTCTTTTCATTTTACCTTTCAGTCGTTTGTCAATCTTTTGTGACACTGCATCTCCTTTGAACGGGCAACAAATAAACACTTTTTTCTTTTCTACAATTGGGTGTTTTTCTTTTTTATCTTTTTCTCTCCTATACTTCTGTATAAATCCCCCCTCTTTTCAACTTTGAAAGTGTATAAATTGATGATAAAAACTTAAACTAAAAATTGTAATCCTTTCGTTTTGGATGCATCAGTTTTGTAGTATCTCTTCTCTACCACCACTCAAACACTGTAATTTCAGGTAGGGTTGTGCAGCTGATGAGAACTTGTGAAATAGAATGATATCATTTGACACTTTTATTATTCACAAACTAAATGATATATACACTGTCAACAACTAATTTGATTGGTTGTATAAGGTAGGGCATCAAAAATTGTCCAATCAGACTTCGGTTCGATCCAGTGGCTTAAACTGTCGGTTCCCGTTCAAGTCATTATCAGGCTGTGAAATATAGTTACTTTAAGATTCAGTAAATTAGGTGTACATATAGTAATGTGAATTATGTATGTACGCAGTGTGAAATAAACAGACCCACCAACCAAGCACAAGCAATATCTCTGACTGTGTGCATTCTCATTTTTCTCCAGACAGTACCATTCTACTAGTATTTAATTGGTGGATGGTGACTAGGAGTGGAATCCAGGATGCGCATTTCGTCTTATTTGGGACTCGTCATCTGGATGTACCTGCATTTCTCAGTCACCATCCACCAATTAAATACTAATTAAATGCCCAGACATCGTCGAAGCATCTGCTCAAGAAGCCAACATGTCAACCTGAGACCGAGCACTTCAGTCCAATCAATCGACGGGAAAATCCAAAATTCAATTAGTACCATTTTACATTTGCAACTAATATTTTTTGATCAGCACAAGCCAACTTTTTAAATTGAACTCTGAGTTTACATGCTCAGAATCAACGAGAGTTGATAAAATCGTTTTAATCGCTTTAAAATAAGTAGCAAGGTTTATCTAGAATGGGCAAATTTACTAATAAATGAGATGTTTTGTCTTCCTCTTCTTTTAAAAAGGGTTCACAAGGCCCACGTGGAAAAATTGGAGCAGTTGGTCAAGAAGGTCCCCAGGGAGTTAAAGGAAGAATAGGTGGTGAAGGTGAAATTGGTCCAGATGGTGAAAAAGGCGATAAAGGAGAAATAGGTGAAGCTGGTCCACCAAGCAGTGCAATTGTTGGACAAAAGGGTCGAGAGGGATTAGAAGGACCACAAGGAATAGATGGTGATATTGGTGAAACAGGGGAGAAAGGCGAGACAGGTATGTAAAAGTAAAATAATTAAATAAACTCCATTTTCATTTATTCGCGAGTAAATAAATGCTTTATTTGCAAGTGACACAGAAAATGATGGCTATGCGGTTCACATAAATTCGAAAACTTACAGGCGAAAAGCAACAAGTTGGCAGAAGAGGCTGGTAACAAAAACAAGACTTCAAATGAACATAAAGTAGACGGAGGTGATGAAGAAAACCGACGAAAAACAACAACAACAAGCACCAGTCAATATCCTTCACTTATCTAGGCAAAATCACTTCAACTACAGGTGACAGGACGGATGATGACATCAAAGCCAGAATCGCAAAGGCAAGGCACAGAACAGATGACATAATTTGTATTTTCAACACCAATGTTAAGTCAGTCAGTTCTTCTGTATTGTTCAGAAACTTGCCAAACTCGTCACGGAAAGCATTTCCAATAGGCTACTACAGACTTTTATCAACAGCTGCCACCTTCTCTGGCTCCCCACCGAATATCAGGTAGCCCGTTAGAAAGAATTCACAGGAAGAAATTCTGGGAATGAACAAGCCAATCAATAACCTATTGTCCAAGAAATATTCCGACGGAAATGGAGATGCATCGGACACACGCTGATGAGGTCGCCGAATGACATCGCCAGTCAGTACAGTAAGTGGGATCCGAATAAGGGACAACGAGTTCGGCGTGTGTCCGAGGGTGAAATGGAGGAATCAGTGTAGGGGAATATGAGAGCCTATGGGCGATTATTGAGCCAACTGTGGAAGAGTTTAGATAACACGGCAAAGTGGAGATGAACTGCTGAGTTCTTGTGTTCCAAAATCATCCACAAAAATTTCTAACAAATGCGAAAAACACTACATTGACCAAAGTGGACGTCCCCTTCGTCTTCGTATCCATGGTCACAAACTAGCCCTCAAAAGACATGATATCCACTCCCTCGCACACATCGCTGCATACATACAACCACGGACATCGATTCGACTGCGACAACCAGCGTTCAAATATTAGACAGAGGAAACAACAAGAATGCTAGAGAATTTCTAGAAGCCCGCCTGGTATTCCGGTGAATCGTCAATCAGTGGACACATCGAGATAGACAAAATTTACCAACCGATAAGAAGGAAACCTCACATACAAACGGTCAAAGTTCAAGTCAAGCAAACAATCAGTCCCAGTACAAATAGCCTAGAGGGTGTGAGAACACACGAGGACAACCAGTCACGTTCAAGGCCACCCACCGGGAGAGATGACCAATAAACTCGTGGAGAAATCTGAAAGCTCACTTCAATAAATTGAAGTATGCGCTGAAGATGTCGCCTAGTAGGAGCAATGAAAGCTTCGCAAATAAACTATCCAGCTAGCTCAGAGAACACAACCACATCAAAATATTCCCACTGTAAAGGTAAATGGAAACTCACTCGATATTTACTGTCACAAATTTGAACTGTGTTGTTACATCGAATAGCACTTCACCAACGAAGACTTCAGAAATCTGTTAGAATTGCAAACCCTCACGTTTAAACTATTTCATATAGCTTAATTAAGTAGCATGAAGATCTGTTGATATTGATTGTATTTCTCTTAAGTATTACTATTTAACCATGTAATATGTATCATGAGTGGTTCAGCGATAGAGCGTTCGCTAACCAGGCATGCGATCCGGGGTTCGATCACCACTAAACATCGCTAAGCCGGTAGGATGGTCGATAAAGAGAGGATGTTTGCCTTTGATGCTCGTGATCCTACCTCGTAAAACATAAACACCAATGCTACCAAAACTTCATAGCTCTAGCTTGAAGGTCTATGTTCCACTGGGAACGTAAAGGAATAGAAAAAGTGCCTCATTGGCTTTGAGAACTGTGATTATTATTTTTTTGAAAATACCTTAATTAATATCTACGCATGCATTTCAGTAATTTATACGCCTTCAAAATTATCTAGGTATAGTAGGAGAAGAGGGTGATCAAGGGGAAGAAGGACCCATTGGTGAAGTGGGAGATATCGGGGAAACTGGTGGAGAAGGTGAAATGGGACCTCAAGGAAATGAAGGTAAGCGACTTCAATCAAGTTTTCCAGTGGTCTGCATATAAGAGGTCATATATTTTAGTGGTAGCATAACTCTAATTATTACAAAGATGAATAGGTTATATATATATCTTTGCTGTGTTGTCAAATATTTACGTTACTTTCATTGGACACCAGTAACTATGTGATGTGTCTAGTCCTTTCTTTGGTGCAGACTGAATTCTTGCAGTCAGGTTTGCAATGTGGCCACCATTCTAGGTAGCTCACCATCACAGTGCACTTTGCCTCCAACCATCTAAAATCTACAATTCAAAGTGCACTGTGATGGCGAGCTACCTAGAATGGTGGCCACATTGCACAACTTGACTGAGAGAATTTAGTCTGCACTAAACAAAGGACTAGACACATCTTACTAGTTACTAGTGTCCAAAGAAAGTATCCGACACAGTCAGCTCTACAGGAGGCCAATCTTGAGGTCGAATAACTCAGTGGTAATGTCTCTGACTGCAGCAATGCACTGGGTGATGCGGGCTTTCATCTTAGAAGGGACATGAGTTCCTTCAAGGTTGCAGATACGCCTTGCTGACTTGTGAGTGCCAACTAGCCCGGAACCTAGGTCGAGCGAGGCTTCCTGTGGCCGATTGCCTCCAACCATCTAACATCAACTTACGTTACTACTAGTTAGATTTTAGCTTTAATTATATTGAACAATTAAATATTAGAATTAGAATATTTTTATGATTTTCCATACACTTATTCTTCTTTGATGAATTTGAATAAAGCAAAAACAACAGTGGTTTATGCAGAATGAGATGGTACCATCATTTATTTCGGCGGCTTCTCATCATAAGCTGCATACGGCCTAATGAAATTAGCTGTTACCTTGACGTGATGGTCGTCGGGCTTGCATACTGCAATGATTCAACAAGCTACACTGGCTGGAACTAGTTTTCCTGCAGGTCCTACCATGCCAAGAAGATTGTTAGGATAGCGATTAGACTAAAAGCAGTTACCGACATAGTGTAAGATTTTTTTACACTATGCTGGAGGTTTGTGGACGAAGCTGTGCTGCTGGGGAAGAAGGATGTAATAGCACTCTAGAGATAGGGGACTAGAAAATGTCTACCCCAAAAATTGTACATCCCGACTTACTCTACGGGGGTCCGTAGCCGGCTGTAAGTTACTAATACGGAACCAAACCTAAAAGCTAGTTCAGACAGGCCGTGTATGACCGGCCTCAAGTAGTTGTCCCCTGGGCTCTGCCATCACGTAACACTAATTCCCTTTCTATTTCAGGTACCTCAAGAATAAACCAGTCACTTATTATGTCCATGTCGAAAGCGATTTTAACTTACTTCCAAATGTTACACAACGTCAGTTAATGACAGAAGACTCCAAACTTCATAAACAGGGCTCATAAATCACACTAAAATAGACTATGCCCAGAAAGTTCAAGTTTAAACAAAAGAGTTGCGTAATAAAGTCAATAGGTGAACAAGATGATGAGTAACTGATAAGTTGAGTAACAGGGTGATTGGTGAGTTCAGCTCAAATCAAGGAGACAAGAGACAAGCAGAATTACACTATATCAAAGGAGAGAGGGAGAGAGAGGTTAAACCCGAATATTACGTAAACAAGTGAAGGAGAGAACACAGACACCCAGTTACCAGGTAGGCAAGGAAAGACTGATAACCGCTTCTTTCTAAACACGTAAATCAGGTTCCAGGCGTTTGATAACGATTGTTTCAGCAGACATGGGGAGAGCTGAACCATGATATCTACTGGTAATTTTAAAAGGATTTTGTAATTTCCACCTCATAATTCGTATTGATGAGATTTCTGGTAATAGCACTATTGTGAAGTTTTTTTCCCTTGAGGCGTAGGCTTTTTGGTACATGTTCAGAAAATCGAAGATGTGCTCTTCTTTCTGTTTTCCAAATGTAACTGCTCCCACAAATACATGTAAATTTGCATAAACAGTTGGAGTTAACAATGAGAAGGGCATATGTTTACTTTCGATTGTATCAGAAAGCATGTTGTTCGATAAACGGGAACCAACTTAACTACGGGATTCTGTTTCTGTATTATCATAATTAGGGTACATTTATTTTTAGTTATACAAGCTGAAATCCTAACTTAAATCTATGTGGAAAAATTTATTTGTTTGTATGGGTTTTCTTCTCTCACTGTAATTTTATTTTATTCCACATTTACGATACTTCAGGTCCATTAGGAGAAGAAGGTTCTGAAGGAGATATTGGAGAGAGAGGAGAATATGGACCATCCGGAGAAAAAGGTGATCGAGGTATTCAAGGTGATTCAGGTGAACCAGCTAAAGATTGTCCTGATGGTCAAAAGGGAGTAGAGGGACCAATAGGTCCACCGGGTTTACCAGGACCTCAAGGGCCTACAGGAGACCCAGGTTAGTGTGAGATAGCATTAATAACTTTGAAGTAAATGGCAATTCAGCTTCTTTGGTAAATTAAGTAACGGATTTTCATGCATTTCTATCAATGTTTTTAAAAATTCCAAAATACTGTGAAGCACGGGTTTTAGGCAAGAAAAACTACTTCTCTCACTAGTATATATATATATGTTCATGAAAATATACTTAAGGTGCTTCCTTATAAAGCAGAACCCCTGATGACTGCAAACTGGATGTCGAGAACTCTTTCTGCCTCAATGAATTCAAGCCTTCAGTACTAGTACGACATTCACAACCGAAGCTGTACATTAATATACGTGTAAAACTTGGGCACTGTGGTATTAAGTAATTCCATGTTAGTTTGTTTATTAGATGTATCACACAGTGAAACAGTATTATTTACTGGATGACGTTTCGAACGAAATTCATTGTTCATAATCATATCAATTATAATCACACAACTTTGACACGAGTTTTATAGTTTTCTTTGTTCTCTCCTATTTGTCGTTTGGGTAGTAGAATTTTCCAGATATCGGGGACAGGTGATGAATCATTCCTATTACATGTATTTGTAGTTGATTCGATAAACAAAGCTTCTGTTATCAATCTCTCCCTATACCCTGTGACATTAGATTTTAAAACTATCATCCTATCCCATCCTATTGTGTGGTTGTGTGTAACTGCATGTAGTGCTATAGCTGAACTATTCTCTAGATTTCTTATCTTATTCGGGTCAACCAATCGAGATTTTGCTAGGTTTTTATGTTCAGCTAGTCTGACTGCCCCTGTTCTACTAGTTTGACCTATGTATTTGACCTGACAATCATTACAGGGTATGAGATAAACTAAATTGTTTTGTCTTAAAGGCTCTACAGGATCCTTTAACCGAAAAAGCTCTTTTCTAATTGAGTTCGTGGGTGGTTTGAATGCCATGTCTATTCCTGCCTTGTTAAGAATTCTGCGTAAGGCTTCCGAGGTTCCCTCCTTGTATGGAATTACTACTGATGATTTAGATTCCTTATTATTGGTGTCGTCATTAAGCTGTACATATTTACCATTACGTTAACATAGTTAATGAGGAAATAATTTTGTCTATTCGTGAAATTCTCTTCCGGGAGAAAAAATGAATTGTGTTCACTCAGATTGGGAAAATGATGGTTATAGAAAAAGGAACAAGTTAGCTAACATTATATGAAGGAAGGAAAAGCAAAATTTTCTGTATTGATTTGATGAATATGCCAGCGTATTTATCATTAGATATATAAAGATGTTTTCAGCAGTTATGGTTTTAGTAAATTGTTAGGCTGACTGACTGACTAACTGGTTTCAACATAGAACTTTGCACGGATGTACGGCAGTTCAATTTGGCACAGTCCATGGAGCACACAAAGCAACAGAGAAGAGTAAAGAGAGATTCAAAAGAGAGATCGTAAATCGAAGTGTAAGTGACGGAAAAATAATAATACGGAAGAACAATAGAGTTTTTTTGGATATTATGAATCACAAACAGTGAATGCATCTGCGCCACTGAGCCATATCACCAATTGTCTCCAGCCACTGGTCTTTACCATCCCGAGGACTCCAACCGGACAGACGGTCTACACCCCACTAAGCGACTGGTTGACTGAAACTAACTGTTGTGGATTTCATTGACTGATGAAGCCATGTTTTGGTTTGGCCACCACTAGCTCTTTTCTAACCTCATCATTCCTATGTCACCTAACATTTTTCGTCAAAGAAGTCGGTAGGTAGGCATGCGTAACGCATGTCTTAACCATCATAATCAGTGTAACTTCACAGCCTCGTTGATTGATTTCCCCTCCTTATCTAGCACTCAACCGACAGCTGACCTCAATATTGCTCAGCCTGTTATACTACTTAAAATGAGAAATAGAACGCAGACACCCATGGTCAAAGACAGATACCCTTTTCGTATCATCCACTTTCATTGACCATATCTCACAGTCAAACAGCCATGAAGGAGGACAGAGCAAACTGCTGAGCAGTATACACTCCATTTGGTCAACAGCCAGCCGGATATCACGTCTACGCCTGACATGACGAAAACTGGCATGTACCAAATAAGCCTTCTGTATCCGTGCTGAGATTTCGTCAGATGTAGTCCAGTCCTGTAGCATCATCTAACATTTGACGGGAGCAAACTGTATGCGAAAAATTCGATGATTGCTGCTCAGCTCAAGGTGTTCAGAAGACTCTGCATTTTGTCAGCGTCTTCACCTAGAAACAGGACTATATCATCTGCATATCCTAAGTCAACAAGTTAATCTCTGAGTCTCTGAAGTCAGTTAGAGCTAAGTCAGTTAGTACATCTATTATGTAATTAAACAGAAATGGAGGGTAGTGGAGGGCGTCCATGGCAAATACCACTGGTTGTGAATGTTAGAGGATCATTTACTGTAGTATCACAGTACTAATTCACATTATATTTGATGGAGACACCTACTGATGAAGATGTGTCTTACACGACCGGGGATGGAGGGTGTTTAGGAAAGCCGCCTCACTTTAAGGTTTTAAATGAGTTTGGACTACATTGGACAGTTGTACAAAGTTCTAATTAAACTCTGTATCTTAACTCCTCCAGAAAATTCACATGAGCGAATGAATCATTATACTGAAGTTATTTTGAATTAGACAGAACAGGAAAAATATTTAGAAATGATGGGGGAGAATTTGTATTATTACTGCGATTACGTTCTGTGATCTGGGTGGTTTACTTAAATGTCTATACCGCCTATCTAAACAACGTCTTCACCGCAGACTGCACTGTATATAATATGGAGTATGAAAGATTGTAACTAAGATGTTTCACATAATGTGAAGTGACCAAGTTAAAGTATCACGACCCGGGGATGAGAAGGTACCCGTGACCTTGAATGCGTACTAGTCGTTGGCTAATGAGACTTACCTTATTAATACAGCTCCACTATGAAGGCTATTCACGAATTAAGGTGCAAACTTCACCAGGATCTCGTTTTTAAGTACTGTTTAGATAACAGGCTGATACCACATAGCCGTAAACGTTCTTATGGTGCTTCTATGTACATCCAGAGATGTTGAGAAGCAGGTGGTGGACACGCATTTAGGTGTACACAGTATAGGAAACGAATTAGTTCTCATAGTAGTAAGTTACATCCTCAGTTCATTCTTTTGTAGGAACCTTCTTCTCTAAATCGAAACTGCCACTGACAAATATACTTATCTGCAATTACTGGATATTAAAGACTGAGGTGAGATCAACGGCCGTACAGGCGAAAAGTTCGTTAGTATCTACTATGCGGTGGTACCACCAGTGCAAAGATATCGTGCCCTGGAAGATGAGTACTGTCAATTAGCTGTTGGGAGGAGTTGGTGTTATTGTTCACATAGACGAAACAGTTCTGATAAAGAAGAAATATAACCGTGGTCGCCATTGGGCGAAATTATGAGGGTAATTTGAAATCGTAGTGCAGACACTCTTCTACTTATTGTACAAAGGTTAGTCATTTCTGGCACTACTATTCTTCACACAGACGAATGCGCGGGAGACAGTCACCCATCAGATTTGGGTTTCATCCATCATCGAGTAAACCATTCTGATGATTTCCCCCACTCCCTTACTGGAACCCATGCTAATTCCATCAAGAGCTTCTTGGGAAGACTGGAAAACAGGACAGGAGCAAACAATGGGCCACAAAAAGAACTCACCTTCAATTATCTTAATGAATACATGTAGAGAAACTGGTTCAACCTAGAAATTGATACTCCTCATTATAATCGGGAGATATTTTTAAGTCACATTAGGGAAAAATATCCTGTTTACTGTATTTTCATGTATTTCTGTTGTAAGTAAAGGTCATTCTTATGTAAAAACCACTCGGTTTCCTGATTGGTTTGCTCAAGGTCACTCGTACATTCTCATTCCATTGATCGTTATAATAGTTTAACTTTGCCTTAGATTTGTTGGCATTAGCGACTGTCACATCTATTTCTTTTAAAAGCACAAGCAACTTTGAGGTTTATAGAATTCGGATCCTGTGGAAATCTTGTAGGTAAATGGTAGAGAATGAATAGTTCCCTCTAAATGAGCTAGGAAAAAGATGTTAGATCTACGGATTACACCTTTGTTTAAGCATGATTGAAAGCATTCTTGATGAAAGAAGACCGACTTTCTGTGACTCCTTCCACCCAGTGTTTCACAAAAGCTACCGAACAGATAGAAATAACATAGATATTCATAAGTTAGACAATACATTGTCTAACTCTTACATTTTCCTTGGATGCACTAGTATTCCTTCTAATCATATATACATATATACCATATATATATATATATTATGCAAACCGAAAGATCCAACAGAAAAAGGAGATAAAGTTAATACCATTTACAAAATAAATTGTATGAACTGTAACAAGCATTACATCGGCCAAAGTGGGTGTCCTCTTCGAATTAGAATCCAAGAACACAAATCAGCCGTGAAAAGACACGATATGTATTCTTTAGTATGAATGCATACAGACAATTATGGTTATCAATTTGATAGGGATAATGTCAAAATCTTAGACAGAGGAAACAACAAAAATGCAGTCAGGGAATTCCTAGAAGCCTCGTACTCAGACGAAAATGCAATGAAGAAACACGTTAATATAGACCAAATATACCAACTAATAAAAAGTAAATCAGGTGACCAGAAAGTTTTAAATCCAAGTCAATAGAAAATTTGTAAAGATGGTTACCGGGAGACGCAATTATATAACTCATGAAGGAATTTAAATCATTTCACTTTATCCTAAATATTGCGCTGAAGATGTTGTCCAGTAGGGGGAAGACGAAAGCTCCGCAACTAAACCAACCAGCTCAGAGAACACTATTAATTGCAAATCATCCACCTGAGCTACAAATCTTCTCTATTATTTCAGATATATCGGTTTTTCAAAATATATATATATACTTTCAAAAGTTATCTAGTTTTTCCAGTAATGTCGAGAATTTTTTAACGCAATGTTATTTCTTTAAATTTAAAAAGGATTACCTGGACTACGTGGAAAAGATGGTCCACCAGGAGTTGGAGTAATTGGAGCTCCTGGAGAACCTGGTGATACTGGACACGTTGGCTTACCAGGAGAAGCAGGTATGGAATTATGTTCTTGTTATAATGCTACAGGAATAGGTCTCATAGCTAAATTGATAAACAGCTAGGTTAGTAGTCTAGAGATCGATGGCTCGAATAATGCAGTGATTCGTACTCTTTCTGTCTTTCCAGCAGTCACCACTTGTATAGTCTTGCTTTATTTATTTATGTAAAATGTCAGTAGTAAACAGTTGGATTAAAACCATTTAGATATAATCTCAGGATGCAGTAAATAACAAGTTCTTATGATCCCAACCACGTGTATTTTTTTCTTTCCAAAACTTACTTGCTTACTGTCAGGCTTCCCCGGAAATAATCTCAGTTTACAAAACTAAGCCAGTTAAATAAGCCTTTGAATGAAAGCTTTGCAAATCAGTTATTGATGCTACCCTGAAGGCTATTCATCACTGTGAACCGGTGATTAATCAGTTTAATTTTTGCTACTGATATACAAGTACAAACAGTGGAGCACTCAGGATCATGGTAGCTAAATTCGTCAAAAATTCGACAGCAGTATAATGGTATTAGACAGTGGTAAGTGCAGCAGATTGTAGTAGAATGCTTGTTATCCACGGCAGAAGTCCAGGTTTGATCCCCAGCTGGAACAACATTTAAATCTCGACTAGTTTACTTGGCCGTCGTAAGCCCGGAAAAGATGGAAGTCTACTCAAACCTCCAAAGCTTGAAGCTTTATGTTCTATGTGGAACCTAAAGAATGAAAACAAAACGTAGTCGTGTAATGACATTGTGAGATGAAAACTGAACAGCGAAATTCACTCACGGTCAGCATATTCACAAATGTGTTTACAGGATATTGAAAAACTGAAGAGACTACTTAATACATGAGAGTAAATTCTTCTAAGTAATTTGGTGGGTGATGGCTGACAAGCAGTGGAATCCAGGAACGCGCATTTCGTCCTATTTGGAGCTCGTCGGCTGGAGGCGCCTGTATTCCAAGTGAGTGGAGGTGAGTCTCGAACCCAGTACCCATCGTTTCCAGAGATAGGGCGTTACTCACTAGACTACTTGGGCAACGGGCATCCTTTATTATTCGTTTTTAATTCAATTTGAGTTTGCCGTTGGTTGATTGGACTAAAATGTTCAGCCTCTGTTAACATATCAGAGATTCACTTCAAGTTAATCCTCCAGACGTCGTCGGAGCGTCCGTACACATCAACAGAGGCCCAATCAATCGACAGGAAAATCAAAACTGAACCAAAACTGATAGCGAATTCTTTTGCTTACTAATAAAGCTCTGAGTAATTTTCTGTAGGTGGAATATAAGGCAGTTGAAATAAAAATATATATATCAAGTATGATCGGATTTGTCTTTTAGTGAAAAGTAATAACCGTTGCTATTGAAAGCAAAAAGTTTTTAAAACCTTCAGTGTTACAACACTGAACACTTATTTCTAGATTCTCTGAGTATGTTCAACTGGTTTTCAGTAATCAGGATTGTGAGCAAATTCAAGCACACAGAAGTACTAGTCAGTGGAATCTTGAATACCGATCTATCCCGAAGAAATTTGTCAGCTTTTTTGCCAAATGTTTCCGTATTTACTGGATATTTATTATGGGCAGTACTGAGTTTATCGTGCACAAACTGAGCATCTGAATAAATCTAAGCATCGAATTCACTTATGCATAAAGATAGATAGGTTGATTTTCAAACAGTTTTATGCTTAATCACTGCAATACTGAATGAGAAGTGTTCATTAGTGATGATAGGGAAGATAATTTCTTGCTTACTTTTACTGTAATCATCATTTTAGGTGAACCTGGTGATCAAGGCCCTGAAGGACCTTCTGGTTTAGCTGCACTTACTGGAGAACAAGGAGCTAAAGGAGAAAGAGGATTGCCAGGAGATATTGGAGAACCAGGAGTTGATGGTGTTCAAGGCCCCCCTGGTTATGATGGAGAGAAAGGAGTACAAGGACTACAGGGCAGAGAAGGAGTGGATGGAATAGATGGTATTGTTGGAGAAAAAGGTTTTACTGGGGATCAAGGAGCATTCGGTGAACGTGGACAAGTTGGTGAACAGGGTGAGACAGGTGAAACTGGTATTGAAGGTCCGAAAGGAGTCCCAGGAAAGGCTACCACAGGAGATCTTGGTGAAATGGGTGACCCTGGTGAAGCTGGGGATCTTGGAGACCAGGGTGATCCAGGACTTGATGGAGAAGTAGGCGAAGAAGGAGATGTCGGTGATAAGGGAGAGAAAGGTCAGCCTGGGTTGTTAGAAGGTGAAAGGGGCGAAACAGGAAGTGAGGGAGAACGAGGAGAGATTGGACAAGTAGGACCTCCAGGTGTAGTTGGTGAAGTTGGACCTAAAGGGAAAGATGGTGAAAAGGGACAACCAGGTCAAACAAATTACTCTTCTATACTATTTGCTCGTCATTACCAGACACCATTCGTTGATGAGCTTGCCTGTCCAACAGGTACAAACAAATTGTTCACTGGTTATAGCTACGTTATGGGAGGTGGTGTAGATGATCTAGTCAGCATGGATTTGGGTAAGCTAATTTGATTTAAATAAGTAACAGTTCATTGTGTTTTCTCTGTTAGCACTTTCCTAGGCTACTTTTTTCGTCAGAGAATGAAGTAAGATCCTCACTATATAAACAAAAGAGGACATGAGTTATGTGACTAGAATGCATCTGTCACAAGGTCAACTGTCAGACAGGGATGACCCATTAATTACATCATCTCGGAGAAATTTCGTTACTAAACAGTACTATGGGAAAACACAGTACAACATTATGATAAATTATTATAATGTTATTACTATTGTTATTCCCTTGGGTTCCGAGTGGAACAGCACATTTCGACTTTGTCATATTGTCTGCTGCCATCTTAAGCTGGTCCCACTATTACCCATAGGCTCTCAACTGCTTCTCACTTGTTGTTTCTCATTCGGGTTCTACTCGAGTGGTGGCCTAGTGCACGATGTAATCCAATAGTTTCCTCTCTGTGTGTACCAATCCATCTTCTTAATTTTGGAATATATTTGTTGAACAATGGCTTCATAACTGATGTGTTCCCAGAGTTTCTTGTTGCTAATTCTTTCTGGCTGGCTGGCTTGCCATTTGATCTTCAGTAGGGAGCCAGTGAATTGGGCAGCTATTGATAAAAGTCTGCGGTATCCTGTTCGAAATGCTTTTGATGACGTGTGAGCCACGTTTCTGACTCATATAACAGAAGTGACCGAAAATGTGAATTTATGTTCGGTACTGATGTTAGATTGATGAAGGTGTGCCTTGTCTTTCCGATTCTGGTTCTTTACCATTGACGTCTGTCCGTAGTTGAAACGAAGTTCAGTAGACAGGTGAAGGAAGTGGCCTCTTTCAAATTTTTCTCGTTGATGGTAAAAACCATGTATTTCCCAGCTACTTTCTACTCATTTTATTAATGATTTGATGCAATAAGGAACGAATGGGTTAGTTATTTACTGGTATCCCCTGCAATCTTCCCTCCTGTTTAATGTTTTTCCTCCTAACTCCTACACACAAAAATCGTTTTGTTTTGCCTTTATCTTTATTATTATTATTAGATGATTATCTCATTTAATTCCTAGAGGAACATAGGGCTTCAGCCGCACGTCTGCATTGTGTTCGATTCTCCGCCAACGTTTTCACCTAGCTCCACGTCTGCCCACATGCTTTCATCTCCTCTTCACACGACCTCCTTCATGTCACCCTTGCACTGACGAACAACCCGCCGCTTCCTATTTGGATTCCACTCGAGCGATGGCCTGGTGTGTGATTTCATCCACCTGATGGTTTTTTCTCAGAGTATGGCCAATACACCTCCATTTCTTCCTGCTTATTTCTGGCACAGTTGGTTCCTGCTGGCTTGGTTCGGTCATTGCCAGAGATCCCTCCCTATTGCAGGTCTTTTCTGGCAATCTGATCTTGAGTGGTTTTGAGCGAAGACAGCTGTTGATGAAGGTCTGTAGTTTGTTCGAAGTACCTTTCGTAACACGTCAAGTCTCTGATCCATCCGTAAAGTAACACTGACTTCACATTTGAGTTGGAAATCCGGATCTTATTTTTCATGTTGTGTACTGTCGATCTCCACACATACTTGAGAGTAATGAAAGCTTGCCTTGCTTTCCCGATCCTCACTTTGATATCCTCACCAGTTCCGCCGCCTGTATGTGAAGCGATGGTTCCCAGGTAGGTGGGTAAGTAGAAGAGGTTGCTTCTTTCAGATTTCTCCCATTTATGCTGGCTGATTGTTGTCTGTTGTTGTTGCTGTTTCTGTTGGCCAGGAATCTTCATCACCTCTTTTTCCTCTATGTTCACCTGAAGTCTCTCCTATCTTTGATACTTCTTCTGCCAATTTGTTGCTTTTCACTTGTATACCTTCCAGTTTGTGGGAAATCAGACATATATCATCGACGAAATCCAGATCCTCCAAGTTTTTTGTATGGATCCATTTTATCCCTGTCTCCTCGTTGCCCGCTGTCTGTCGCATTATCCAGTCTGCCACAATCAGGAAAATCATTGGAGATAGTAGGCAGCCAGCTTGTCTTACTCCCGTCTTCACTTCGAAGGATTCCGTGAGTTCCCCGTTGTGGATTACTTGGCACGCAGCATTGTCGTTCAACTGTTGGGTGAGGTGTAAAATTAATTGTTAACGACACCCCATAGTAGTGAAGTAGTTTTCAAATCACCTCTCAATCGACACTGTCTGCTGAAGGCCTTTTTAAAGTCTATGAAGTTGACTAAGGCAGATAGCTGACTGCCATTCCAAGCTCTGTTCAATGATGATCCGTAGTGTTGCGATTTGATCGATGCATGATTTGTTTCTTTATGTTTGGATAACGTACATTTAACGTCAGTAAAAAGTTTGACTATTGTGGAATAGATCAAATAAAGTATACTTATATTCCAATAGTTTACACACAATCATAAGTTTTGTTATTGGCGATATTTCGAGCCAAATTACTTACTGCCCGTGTTCACACCACTCTGTTGGAATTGTTTTGTTCACACATTTATGATTTGTACTCATATATAAATAGTTCAATTTTTGTTCATTCATTTTTTTGTATTCAGAATTATATTCCAAGTTGTTGACAGTTGTACTGAGTCACCCTTGTTACATGTATCCGGTGTGACCTTAATGAATATAGATTCTGTTATAAGTCTCTCTTTCCATTTGTTCATATTAGTTTTTAGAATACACACATTGTTCCAATCGATATTGTGGTTTTTGTCCCATGCATGTGCAGCTATCGATGAATTTTTTTCTAAATTCTTGTAAGCTTGTGTTCCTGTTGGTTGACCTTTAGTTAGCAGGCGTTTATGTTCATTCACTCTTATTTTGAGTGATCTGGACGTTTGCCCCACATATTTAGTCGGACAGTCAGCACAAAATATTTTGTAAATCAAATTGTTTTTATCCATCATTTTTATGGGATCTTTCAGTTGATTTATTTTATTTTTGATTAGATTCGTCGGTTTAAACGTTGTGCGAATACCGATATTTTTGAGGTTTCTTCGAATTGCCTCTGATGTACCATTTTTATATGGTATTGTGACTGTTTTTTGCATTCTTCCATCTTGTCATTCTCCGGTTTTACCCTCTTTTTTCTCTTTTTTATATTATTTTTTTTATTTTTTTTATTTTGATTACAGCTTGATGCCACACTGTATTTTCAGTACAAGTATGAAATTTTAAGCATGGATATCGGTAGCCCAAATTTTGCAGGCCGACCATAGATATCAGGTGTGCGTCGGCAGAGGATCGAACCCCGGACCATGTGCATGGTCGGCGAGAGTCCTAACCATTGTGCCACCGACACACTAAAGTTAACCGCTGAGCACAGGCCAGTTCCTCCATACCGAATGGGAGTGGTGACGCTTTCGCGCACCCTCCTCAGTCCGGCTGGACGATCGAAGAAGGAGGCGGCCGAGTCCGCACTTACTGACGCCATAAGCAGCCAACCAGATGGACAGGCACACACCCGCTTCACGCTCGGGACTAGGCCGCACTGATCATCATCGCGGTTGGTTAGCCAGGGTCAAGTTTGTCTGACGTCCTGGTGATACGTACTATAGGACTGATCCCTAGAAGTACGATCTTGTATAAATTCTTTTGAGTAGTTGTTGTAGAATAGCATTTTGAATAGGACATTTATTTCTTTACGCTGGTCCTGTGGTGTTTTTGTCAGTCTGCGTGTTCTATCTGCAAGACCTTGTATTAATCCTCGTTTTACCGTGAGTGGATGAGCTGATTGATAATCAAGGAATCTTCCAGAGTGTGTGGTTTTTCTATGCAAGCGTCGTTTTTATGCTGCCGTCTGTTATTCTGAATACAAAAACATGAATGAACAAAATATGCACTATATATATGAGTACAAATCATAAATGTGTGAACAAAACAATTCCAACAGTGGTGTGAACACGGGCAGTAATTTTGCTCGAAATATTACCAATAACAAAGCTTATGATTGTGTGTTAACTATTGAAATATAATTATACTTTATTAAAGTATATTTTTAAGTATTGGATTTGTAGGGATTTTGTTTGATTGGATGGAGGATTTCATCATGAGCTGACATCAGTTAGAGAACCACTGGAAAACCTGCACGGAGTACTGGGCAGCTGAATCATCCTAGTTTGAGACTCTTCAGCAGTACGCACCCACCAGAAGGGTTCGAACCCACGACCTTCTGGTTTCAAGACGAGCTCGTATACCATTGAGCCACTGCCACCCGATCCAATGGCCCATGAATTCTAACTTCTGCCAATTCACGACATAGCGCGTCTATTTCGCAATGTCTTCTTCGATGAGTTACTGCCACATCTTCAACCTGCTGTACTCTACTGGTCACGGCTTCCCACTAGAACTCCAGGTTAACTGCCTGAATAGGGCCAGTGGCTAGTGAGCATCAAAATAATTTTCAAGTATTGGTGGCGCTATGTCATGAAATGGCAGAATCTGGGCTGGCCATTGGATCGGGTCGCAGTCGCTCAATGGTCTACGAGCTCGCCTTGTAACCAAAAGGTCGTGGGTTCGAACCCTGGCTTTGGGTGTCTCAAACTAGGATGAAACAGCTGTCTAGTACTCCGTGCAGGTTTTCCAGTGGTTCTCTAACTGATGTCAGCTCATGATGAAATCCTCCATGCAATTAAAGTATATTTATTTGTAAAATTTAAAAAAAAAAGAACTAAAATTATTTATTTTGTAATTTAAAAAAATTATTTCATTTTAAGAGAGGGTTATATTTTGTTTCCACTAAATATACACTACAAAATTGCAGTGTAGTGTAGTGTGGTGTAGTGTGTAACTAACTATCTCACATCTTTGACCAAGGGGAAATATGTTTCAAATTAGATCACATGTTTATTTGTCCAACAGAGTTGATCCAGGTTTCACAAAATGGTATGTGAATATTTATATATATGAACTAGTTTATCTCCTACTGTGTCGAATAACTAGGTCTAAATACTTGAAATGTAACAGAAATAATCTAATCCAATCTAATCTATAGGGCATTTTCATAGATTATAGTGTAACATAGGCTTACTTATTTATAAACCTAATCCTTCCTTCCTTCCTTCCTTACCACATATTTAGGTACACCAAGTTCATGTTTATCCAAATTCAGTTCACTTCCTATGACCCAATGTGAAAGAGATACCACATGTCAATCGAGTATGCGACATGAAAGATCCTATTGGTTGGCTACATTAGTACCACGTTCAGAACAACCAATTCCAGTAGATCAGACAGCTGATCAAATCGCTAGATGTGTAGTCTGTGAAGCTCCTGCGCATGTATTTGCTTTTCACAGTCAAGGTGAAACTTTACAACCATGTCCAAGCACCTGGACTGAATTATGGACTGGAGTTAGTTTAATACTTGTAAGTCTATTTATTTAATGTATCAAAGTTTAATTAGTTCCATATTACCCTGTTTATCATATGTATCACACAGTCAGTGAAACAGTATTATTTACTGAATGAAGAGGTTTTGAACAAAATTTATTATTTTTCATAATCATTTCATCAATTATAATCACACAACTTCGAAACTTGAGTTTTATAGTTTTCTTTGTTTTCTCCTATTTGTCGTCGTAGAGGTAGTAGAATTTTCCAGATATCTGGGACAGGTGTTGAATTATTCCTATTACACGTATTTGCAGTTGGTTCGATAAACAAAGCTTCTGTTATCAATCTCTCCATCCACCCAGCTGTTACATTAAATTATAAAACTGTCATCTTATCCTATCCATCCTATTGTATGGTTGTGTGTAAGTGCATGTAGTGAGTGATATAGCTGAAATATTCTCCAGATTTCTTATTTTATTCGGCTGAACCAATCTAGATTTTGCTAAGTTTTTATGTTCGGCTAGTCTGACTGACTGCCCTTGTTCTACTACTTTGACCTATGTATTTGATCTAACAATCATTGCAGGCAGGGTGTTAGATAAACTAAATTGTTTTGTTTTAAAGATTCCACAGGATTGATCCTTTAACCGACAAAGCTTGTTTCTAATTGAGTTTGTGGGTGGTTTGAATGCCAGTCACTTTTATTACTGCATTGTTAAGAATTCTCCACCATAAGGTTTCTGAGGTTCCTTCTTTGTATAGAATTACAACTGATGATTTAGACTGCTTATTGTTGGTGCTGTCATTATCTTACGCATGTTTGACATGCATGTCGTCATTAATATTATTATTATTATCCCTATCACTACTATCATTATTTATTTTATTTCTATTTTTACATTTCCCTACATGCTTTCTGATTAATTTATCAGGGTAATTATTAAGTTTCAAGGCTTCTCTTATATGTATCACTTGCTGTCTTAAATTTTCCTTCGTACTACTTAGTTTTTGTGCTCTGTTCAGATAAACTCTCCCCCAGGTGGTGTCTTTTGTGTGGATATACCTTACTATTTTACCGTCTATATCACGTCCAATACGAAGGTCAAGAAAATGAGACTTGTAAAATTTATATTAACATATGTACTAATCAGCACGTTTAATATTTCAGATGAATCATTAAAATAATTACAGAAGACAAAAGTTTCGTCTACATTCCTGGCACAGAAGTTTGTCTAACTGACTGCGGACTTCATTTACGTTTGTTTGACTATTATTCACACATCTGTCAACTGCAGTTTCACAAAACATTCTTGTAGTTCACACGCTAAGAAATAACTAATATAGTTCAAAAAAATTTTATAACATAACCTTTGGTCAGCAGTGTTCGTTAATACATTTATTTCCTGATACCGTTATCTGACAAACTGAAATGCTTCTAGTGTAACGACAGAAGACAAGGGCCACGCAACAGACTGTTTATTGAGAAAATCAAGAAATATTTATAGATTTTCATATGGATTATTGTCAAAGGAGAGGCGATGTCTTCTGATTGGTTGTTTTCTTGCTCAAGGTTATTCTGTCCTCTTTGTGGCCGCTTCTCAGAAAGTTAAGCCATATGTCTGCGAATCGTATTTGCACACGTTAATTCTGCTGTGGTTGGTTGGTGAGTTCCTCAAGGTTGGGCTTTTTTATTGCTTTTCTTATGACCCTGATTCGGGACGTGAACATTGACGTAAACTATTGTCTACAATTTTGGCTTGCACATCTCGTCTTGATATAAGCAAAGAACTTGAACATTGTGGTAGAGTAAAATTTCATTATAGATACAATTTATTTTCATAAAGTTTCACAGTGTTATACGGTTGTAATCGCTAATGGCGTTTCGAGTACAATTTATTGCTGCTCATAATGATATCACGTTACTCACACAACTTTCTAAATTTTTTAAAAATAAAATTCCATTATTTCTCATCTCGTTATTTGATTTTCCATATCTGTGGTATTAGTACTGAGTCATTTTTATTACATGTGTTGGGTGGGTAGGATTCTTAATAAAACAGGAATTAAGGTGGCATTTAGACCTACAAACTTACTCAGGAACAAGCTATGTAGGTTAAAAGGACACTATTGACCCAATCAGACAAAGTAACTTGCAGTGACTGTGAGTTAGGTCAAATACATAGGTCAATCTAGTAGATCAGGAGTAGTCACAGTGTCAGAACATAAGAATTTAGCTAGGTGTAGAACTATTGACCCTGGGAAAATTAGTAATTTAGAAAAACAAGCTAGCAATTGCAGTGCATGTAATAACACACAACCACACCACGGGTTGGGACAGAGTTACAACTCTAAAAAGTAGTGTAGATGGAATGAGACGGAGAGAAAGAAAGTTTGATTCTTGAATCTTTGTTCATCGAATCTACGCCTGAAATATCCGACAGAAATTACTCAACACCAATACCACAGATATGGAAAGTATTACTACCAATCAAATCAAGAGATGAAAAATAGTGGAAACAGATAAACGAAGCAAGAAAGCTGTGTGAGTACTGTCTTGATATGATTATGAGCAGCAATAAATTGTGCTCGAAATGTGGTCATCAGTAAATATTACTGCATAACAACACTGTGAGACTTTATCAAAATAAAAAGTTTCATCCATAATGAAGCACAGCTGGTCTGTTTAAATTTCACCAGAAAATCGAACTTATTCGGTGGACTGTTTTCATTTTAATCCACAGAAATTCATAATGAAAGTGCCTTCAAAATTAATAATATTATTCCTAATATTTTCTCTCTCTCTCTCCCTCCCTCCCTCTCTACATTCACATCCCATCTAGCATACCTCTGGAGCTCATGGTGGTGGTCAACAGTTATCCTCACCGGGTAGTTGTATGGAGCATTTCCGTTACTCACCAGTTATTGAATGCAACAATAATGTAGGCATGTGCCACTATTGGTCAGATGCTAAAGTATACTATCTAAGAGCTTTAAATCCAAATATTACACAATTTGAAAAACCAGTAGGTTTTGTTATGAAAGCCGCTGAAGGACCTGTGTTGAATAATGTTAGTAAGTGTAGAGTTTGCATGAAAATTCCTGCTTAGCTGATAAAAGAACGAAAATACGTGTGTATTTGCAAATATATAAGCCAAAGACATATATTTATATATATTTAAAATACATATAAAACCTTTTATGAGCTGAATGATGAAGAGATCAATACAAACTCCTCAGTGTGCTCATTTCAACGCCTTTATATATGCACACATTCTGTTTCCTTGTCAATTCTTTGTTTTAATCTTTACGAATTTGTTTCCCGCCAAATTTCTGTTTGTTCGTTTGTTTTTAAACAAACGAATTTCCTTTTTATAATTTATTGTTTAACTAGGCAGATTTATCCTTGAATTTCTGCAAATTTAATGTTGTTTTTAATTGCCAAAAGACACTTTCTTAATCTTTATTATTATTATTCTGTTTGCTTTTATTTTGCTTAATAATTTTGAAAATGTTTCAAAGCGCCATATTCAATCTAGCCAGAATAAGCACCATTTATGCTGGGAAAAAGGTAATACTACTACTACTACTAATACTGATAATAAAAATAATAGTAAAAATATAAGAGCTAAGAAATCTTTCGATCTTTTCTGAAGAATTTCTACATATTCTACCTACAGATTCTTTATATTATGAAAGATGTGTAACGAATCAGTGTTTTCTTTTTCAAAAAATACAATAAAAAATGTTTCTATGCAAGTTAATGACTTTTTCCTGGTAAATATTTGATGAATGTAATGAATGTATGTGAGTTGTAGTCATATATGCTTGATTTTCTTTTTTACAAATCTAACTTTATAACATAAATTTATTAGAAATACAATTTTTACTAGTTTCTGATTCTTGAAAATAATTTTTTATCAAAATAATATCTTCTAAGTTAGTTGGCGGATGGTGACTAGTAGTGGAATCCAGGATGCGCATTTCGCCCTATTTGGGACTCTTCTTCTGGATGTACCTACGGAATGCAGGATTCTACTGCTTGTCACCATCCACCAATTACATGCCCAGACATCGTCGAAGCATCTGCACAAGAAGCCGACATATCAACCTGAGACTAAGCACTTCGGTCCAATCAATCGACGGTAAAATCTAAAAGTGAATTAAATAAAAGGTATCTTCAGCTGAAGTTATCAAAACTTCAGTGAAATAGCATTTTCTTCCATCCTACTGACTACTCTGTTGGTGACTGCCTCATAAATGGCAGCCAGTCATGCCAAACCAGGCATTTATTTCAATGGAAATCGTCAGCATGGTTCTTGGTATTGTTTTATACTAACTTAAGTAGTTAAAATGAACTTATGTCAAATGGTGGTACTTCCAAGTCATATCGTGGTGTTCTAAACACCGTATAGCTGTTTCAATTAATGGGATTAAACACATCAACTGTATTTCCAGATTTATTCATCCTGAAAAGTCGGATCAGTTCAATCCACTGACCTAGTGACACATACAATGTAAATAGAAGTTTTCATTGAAGATGGTTTCAGTTGAAAATTTACCAGTTTGGTTCGGAAACTTAAAGCTTTCAGATCAAATATTGTGACCAGCTTATCATCCTGCCTACTATCACCGATGATAATCCTAATTCTGGTGAACTGGACTATGCGAAACACCATACATGGAGCAGTGAGAAGACAGCAGTACGTTGGACCGACAAGAAGAGTCCAAACGATCTCCACTTCTCAGAGGATTTATGTCTCGCGTCAAAAAGAACTTGAAGACTTATAGGCGAAGATCAGCAACTCAGAAGAAGAAGAAGAAGCAGCTAGGACAGGACTTCAAGGGAACATAGAGAAGATGGCAGTGATGAAGATAACCAACCAAATACCACAACAAGCACCAAACACTGTCAACGGAATAAATTTGAAAGAAGTCACCTCCTTCACTTATCTAGACAGCTTCTTTCTAACTACAGGCGAGCAGTTGGAGATTTCAAGACTGGAATCGGAAAGACAACAGTTTACACCTACAACAATGTGAAATCAATTTGGAAATCTATTCCACTCACCATAAACAAAAAGATGTAGACCCTCAACACCAATGTTAAGACAATCAGTTCTACTATATTGGTCAGAAACATGATCAGTGTGTCAAGAAAATCATTTCCAAAAGGCCAATGAAGACGCTTATTAACTGCTACCCACTGGAGATTGATTGGACACACGCTGAGGAGACCATCAAGTGACGCCATACTCAATGTAAGCCATAGATCAAGTAGAAGGTGGATGAGATGCACGACGAGTTGTGAGTGAGTCAGAGGATGACATAGTGGAGATCGTGTGACGAGGATATGAAAGCTCGCGGAGAATCGTGGAGACAGCTAAAGAGGATTGCAGAGAACAGGGCAAAGTGGAGATGTTCCTCTGAAGCCGTATATTCCCGTGGGAACCCGTGGAAATAATAATGTAATATCTAAGCAAAACCCCAAAACTATATATCACTGATTGATGTGTATAGTTGTAAAAGGACCACAGCAACCGGCAATAGTTGCCATTCAGGTCAGTTTGGTCTGATACAAACAAATGAATGAGCAAATTTCATGTTACCCTAAAACTGAAGATGAAATATGAACGCATTTAAACTACTGCCTGTCACTAAGACCTGTTAGATTCAAAAATTAGCCACTTATTACAACTGATTTGTTTCATGACAGCCCATAGCTATGAAAACGTCATACTAACTTCATCTTGTCAACTTTACCCGTAATTGTTTGGTATTCTTCAAAATCTGAGCTATACTCAATGGTGTTTATGCTATACAGATAATCTTTATTGCTTAAATTAGGTAAGCAATGTAAAATGCTTCCTGCCATTACTGCTTCGGTACCAATGCTTACGTATTTCAGCGTCTAGAAAAGGTTCAGGTATTCCCTATGAGTAGGTCTTCATGAAACATAACTGTCTCGAAGTATTCTCACACTGTATTATTATTATAACCATATTATCTTTATTTTCCTTTTATTCTTAGAATATCAAATATTTAATAATTACCAATGTATATACTATTGCTGCCTGGAAGAAAGCAGGCAGACAATAATGGCAATCAATATTTTCGAATTCAAAAACTGGGTACATTTTTGTAAGTCTATGTATTCACATCATTATCGACATTTTTTTATTGACAACAGGATTTCAGCACTACTTATCCTCTTTATTATATTCACTGGTATTCCTCAGGCAGAATCGGTATGTCTTCCTTTTTAGTGAAAAAATAGTGATTGCTTTTCTTCTTTCAGCAATTCCGTAGAGATATCGATTGTTCAGTTAGATGTGATTATAATTTCTGTAGATGTTTTGGACCCCAAGGACCGATGGTAAGTAAAATTAACAATTTATATTGGTTTGACTTGATTTATTATTAACATGTATTTTTAAAAAATATGTGTATACTCTTTGTATTTTTTTTGTTTCTAGGGTGATCCAGGTCCTCGGGGACCACCTGGGTCTATTGGTCCTAAAGGTTATCCTGGTGAACAAGGACCACCAGGACCTAGAGGTATGAAAGGTGAACCTGGACGTGATGGAGCTGATGGTCCTGTTGGAGATAGGGTAAGTATTCACAGCACAATATATCTGTGGTATACTGGTTTATTTAAGTTTGAGCGCGATGAACAAGTCAACAAAATATTTAAACTTTAAGTTGTTTGAATTTAGGTAGAGCATTAGTAAATTGTGGAAAATACCCATCAGGACATTAGAGAGAAAACAAACAAGAAGTTCAGCAGCACAGATATCTTCTCTGCGATTTCATCCGCAAAAGCTGTAGTTACGCAATATGTAAAGTAGCTTATACCGAAGATAGGTGTGAACGGGATGAGCATGGAGAAAAACTGAAATAATGACTGTTTTATAACTGAAAATGAAAAAACACAGGTGTATGGAATGAAAAAGAATATCAATGAGATGCTCACTATCGACTTGCCCTATTCAGGTAGGTAATTAGTTACCTGGGATTCTAGTGAGAAGTCGTGACCAGTAGGGTGGAGCAGGTCGTGTGTGAGGGCAAATATTCGCCGAAGACTTTGGCTAGCGGTCGCGCTATGTCGTGAATTGGCAGAAGTTAGAATTCATAGGCTGGACATTGGATTGGGTCGCAGTGGCCTAATGGTCTACGAGCTCGCCTTGTAGCCAGAAGGTCCTGGGTTCGAATCCCAGTGAGTGCATACTGATAAAGAGTGCCAAGCCAGGACGAAACAGCTGTCCAGTACTCCCAGGTTTTCCAATGGTTCTCTAACTAATGGCAGCTCATGATGAAAACTCTGTAACCGTTCAAATCCCTACAAACCAACACTTGAAAGCTAATGAGTCAAACAGAACTAGATCCATGGTAAATGTAAAGGCTGCGGACTAGTTTCTTTTGAACACACAGCTCCGGTTATTTGATGCATATATGTTGAGGGCTGCTGCAGTAAACAGAAGTTACATATACCCAGTTCCTCAGGAACAGATGAATTGATATATGCACACTGCAGTGGTCATATGAGGGAGTCTGTCATTCATATTGCTTAGAAGCAGTGGATGGCTGGAGAATATCATTCTTAGTGTTGTTACAGATAAGGTCTTCTTTAGGGAACTAGAGATTTTCTGCTTTAGGAGTCCAGATTTATATACAATATTTTCGTTGGTGGTGAGGCGCATTCTTCTCTTTTTGGCTTCGGTTTCATATTGATATAAGAATAAGACTTGTGCACTATGGTGTAGAGTGTAATTCCATTATGGGTAAATTTTGTTTTGATGAAGTCTCACAGTGTTATACAGTAATGTTTACTGATGACCACGTTTCGAGCACAATTTATTGCTCATTATCATATAAAGGTAATCACACGACTTCCTAAATTCATTTATATAGTTCCATTGTTTTTCACTTGATTTTCACTTGATTTGATTGGTAGCAATATTTTTCATATTTCGGGTATGAGTAATGAATTATTCCTATTGCATGTGTTGGGTGTAGACTCGATGAACAAGGATTCCTTAATCAATCTCTCTCTCCACCTACCTAGATTACTTCTTCGAATTTCAACCCTCTCCCACCAGCCCTATTGTGTGGTTGTGTGCTTATGCATGCGTTGCAATTGCTGAGGTAAGAATGGTTGACCCTGAGAAGATAAGTAATTTAGAAAAAAGCCCAGCAGTTGCACTGCATGCATTAACGTACAACCACACAATAGGGCTGGTGGGAGAGGGTTGAAATTCGAAGAAGTAATCTAGGTAGGTGGAGAGAGAGATTGATTAAGGAATCCTTGTTCATCGAGTCTACACCCAACACATGCAATAGGAATAATTCATTACTCATACCCGAAATATGAAAAATATTGCTACCAATCAAATCAAGTGAAAATCAAGTGAAAAACAATGGAACTATATAAATGAATTTAGGAAGTCGTGTGATTACCTTGATATGATTATGAGCAGCAATGAATTGTGCTCGAAACGTCATCAGTAAATATTACTGTATAACACTGTGTGACTTTATCAAAACAAAATTTACCCATAATGGAATCGGTTTCATATTCTTCTGCACGAAACATGCTGGGTATCCATTCTGGATGCTTTTAAATATTACGCAACTATCTTTTTAATCCTATATAATTTTGTTTCTAGCCCTCTTGTAATGTAAATTTACATCACCGAATTTTCATATCAAATTCAAGTTTTGGAATTAAATAATAGCTGTAATGTGGTAAATGTTTTGAACGTCATCAATAACGATGATTATAGTGATGAAAAAATAATGGTAATAAGGTTTATGCACGTGGCGATAAGAATAACGAAGGTAGTAATATGTATACGTGTATGTAGACAATTCAATATTTAAATGAGGTCAAATAGTAAAAGTTGCGTAATACGAAAGGTGAAGTGGACAGATAATCAGAGTTTAAATAAATATCATAAAAGTACGAAGGAAATGGAAAATGAGAAAGGCTGGGAGGCAATTCACCTAGGTAAGCAAGGGGGAGACAAAGGTAGAACAAACTTCTTTTGCTGTATGCAAAGACTAGGATTGTTCTCTCGAATTAATTCCCATAGCTTTGCCTATGTGTAAAAGGCGGGAGGGGTCGAATTTCGTTCGGAAGGCTCGATGGAATGCGATAGATAACTTTGAAGGTTCTATTTCTGTCCAGTTGGTGACTGCTATCAATCAAATGAGCCAAAATAGAACTTCTTGTAGATTTTAATTGAACTTGAAGGAAGATGCTCATTAATGCATTTGTTGAGCTTTCTGGTTGTTCGCCCTATATAGCCAGCCCTTTCCACAGGGGCAACTAAGTTTCTACATACACATAGAAGTGGCAGAGCTAGGTAGCTTGTCTTTCACTTGAGCAATCATAATTGGTCGGCTGGAAAATGACAAACAAAGGGTGGCGGCAGTATAAGTCCATTCTAGCCACGTCCTCATTAAATTAAATAGGGAAATGGTTAGGAAAAACTTCTAGTTAAAAAAAAACAATTTCACACAAACATACATGATGATAAACAACAAGAAGAAAAGTTGTCAAATGAGCTTACGTAACTTTTAAGATTTGACCCCATTTATATATTGAATTATTTAATTGAATTTCAGATTTTTCCGTCGATTGATTGGACCGAAGTGCTCAGTTTCAGGTTGACATATCGGCTTATTGTGCAGATGCTTTGACGATGTCTGAGCGTGTAATTAGAAGTTAATTGGTGTATAGTGACTAGCAGTGGAATCCAGGATGGGCGTTTCGTCCTGTTTGGGACTCGTCATCTGGTACATCCGACTGACTTATGTATTTAAATGAGATTGTACAGCCGCTTTTAAGAATGAAATTGCCGAAAAGGTATCTTTGCTCTGAACTTCTTGTTCTTTTCTGTCTACAAGAGTATAAGTGAAATGTAATAATGTCCAATTGTGAGACTTATGGTGACGTAATCAAACAGATTATGCCTTAATTTCACATAGAATGTAATAAATTCTAGCAGTTATTACAGCTGTATCGTTCATAGTCATTAGAATAGTAACTTAGGCTCATTCATGCCATACGGTCAGATTTATCTATCTATCTATCAGTTCTATCTTACTTGAATTTCCTCTAAACACACTAATTACATCAATGCACTCAATTATTCTGTCCTAATTTGAAGAACAAGCAGGCGCGTAACCTTATCTTCAAACTTCCTCTGCAATTACTCATCATTCTTACAGCATCTTAATTTCTTTCATGTACTGTCGCGGGTCGATATCAGTTAGAGAACCGCTGGAAACTAGGAAGTACAGGACAGACTTTTAGTCCTACCGCTTGGAACTTACTCATCGTCAGCACGCACCCAATTGGTTTCGAACCCACGACCTTATGGTTACTGGTGACTGACTGCAAGACGAAATTGCATGGAGTCCTAGTGAGAAGTGGTGACCAGTGTGATCCACTATCCGGTTTGGATAGTGGTCGTGCTAAAATCACGAATTGGTGAAAGCTGGAATTCATGCTGTGGCTATTGGGTCGGATCCCAATGACCATGGCTTCTAACCCCGGTAGGTGGGTGCGTACTGATGATGAGCCCCAAGCACTTGGACGAAACAACTGTCCAATACTCCGTGGTTACATACAATGGTTCTCTAATGTTTCTCAATCCGCGATCAAACTTGAAGCAAATCAAATCCCTACAGCTTGTGATTTGAGAGTGTGTCAGCCGGAGATCGAACCCCGGACCACATCTGTGTTTGGCAAGCATTCTACCTCTGTGCCACCAACCCTCGTCTTAGTTTTAGATTCTTCATCAATACTTACTCACTGGGTTTTGGACCCAGGATCTTCTGGTTACAAAGCAAGCTCGTAGAGCGTTCAACCATCAAGATCCTTTCGTCCATGAGTTCTAACTTCCATTAATCCACGATTTCAGCGCAACTGGCACAAGCCAATGTTATCGGCGAGTATTGGTCCTCATGCCCGAGTTGGTGGATCCCATTGACGAAGAGTCCCAAACCAGGACGAAATAACGGTCCGGCACTCCATGGTAGTCTTCCAGTGGTTCTCTAACTGGTATCAGCTTGTAATCAAACTTGGAATAAAACGAGTCCCTACAAACTAGCTCTTTAAGATGACTCTGACTTCTTCATAATCATTGCTGAAATAAATTTCTTCGCCTTGAATAACTTCATAATATTACTTGATTAAAATTAATTAATTCATGATCAATTCCCATTCCAACATTAATAGACAGAAGACCAGTAGTAGTTCAGCGAAGAGTCTCTTTTCGGTGGCGAATTCATTTTCATAGCTGTACAATCGCAGATATATATGTTTGTTATGTATGTGCGTGTACATTGAATTTGCCAAACGAAAATACAGTTAGTAAGTTCAGATGAACTGGATGTTGATATAAAAGGGTAGTAACAAAAGTGATGAGTTGTCACAAACGATTGTTAAAGAAGAGTTACGTAATAACATGAATAGTTTGATCAAAGAGTTGTACTCAGGGTGTACATGGAAACAAAATAACCTACGGAATTACGCAAGAGTTTTAAGTAGTTAGAAAAATAAGCATACAAACAAAAGTCAGGTCAAATCAACAGAGTTGTTACCATCATAGTAGGAGTGGTTGAATAATTTCCTTTTGTATGTATAGTCCTGGTTCTTCCAACTGAATGGCTACGGCTTCTGCGATGCAAAGAAGACGGAAACGTATTGTCTTTCGCAAGTTATTCTTCACTTTGTAGATTACTTTGAAGGAGGAGGCATTTGTTGAGATGGAATGACCAGTGTTGATGAGATGTTCGATTATTGCACTCCTTATACTGCCACTAATTCCTTTCTGCAGCCATGCTGGATAGTGTTCTTTGACCCTTTTTCACAGGATGCGCGTCGAACGACCGATGTACCTGGCTCCACAGCAACAGGTGAACCGATATATACACACACATAGAAGTGGGCAGGTGTGAGATCTTTTCCTTACATTCTTTTGGTATAGAATTCACATATATTTGCTGACAGAAAGATTAATTCAAGAATTCAATTAATTTTATTCGAAATTCAATTTGTGTTCACCAAGAATAGACTTTAAATTATTTATAGCTTTTGTTAATTTATGCGAATGTGCACAACATTGACAAGTGAATGTTGTTTTAATAATATTTATAGAGGTGGAATTCCTAACTACATTTATAACCATTTTGAACACCAGATTAATAAAGCAAATGCTGAATGTGTTGCATATACGCATGAAACTAAATACTAGTAATTGGTTGAGATGAGTAGCTGAATATCACTCATATCAACCAGTAGTGCTTGCTAGCCAGAGTGAAACTATCTAAACACCTGTAAGCCATTCTGCTCGTTTTTGGGTCAAGTTCATCAGCAGTGTAACCGGTTTGGTTCCGCCCAGAGAGCCGAATCAGTTCAGACTACGAAGCTATTTCCGACTAGCTACTTGGGCGAACTAGTAATATGTTAAATCTAATTCGCAATTTGCAAGCACTACTGGTTGATATGAGTGATTGGTATACAACTACTCATCTCAATCAATCAGTAGTATATATTTTTTCATGTAAATTTGTTTGCTTACTTGGTTACCATTTATAGTATGCAGTAGATAACAGTATACGATCTGAAAAGCAAAAGTAGTTAACTTTAAATTTAGATATGATGGAGAAGATTTGTAGCTCAGGTGGATGATTTTGATGTGGTTGTGTTCTCTGAGCTAGCTGCATAGTTAATTTGTGAAGCTTTCATCACTCTACTAAGTGAAATCTTCAGCGCATACTTCAATTTCAATTGAAGTGAGCTTTTAGATTTCTCTACGAGTTTATTAATCATCTCTCCCGGTGGGGGACCTTGGACGTGATTGGTTGTTTTCGTGTTTTCTCACACCCTCTAGGGGGCTACTTGTATTGGACTGATTGTTTCCTTGACTTGAACTTTAACCCTTTGTGTGTGAGATTTCCTTCTTATCGATTGGTAAATTTTATCTATCTCGATGTGTCTATTGACTGACGATTCACTGGAATACCAGGCGGGCTTCTAAAAATTCCCAGGCGTTCTCAGTGTTTCCTCTGGCTAATATTTGAACGCTGGTTGTGTCGGTCAAAATGATGTCCGTGGTTGTCTGTATGCAGCGTATGTGCGATGGAATGGATGTCATGTCTTCTGACGGCTAACTTATATTCGTGGATACGAAGACGAATGGGACGTCCACTTTGGCCAATGTAGTGTTCTTCGCAGTTGTAGATGACGTTGGTTTTATCTTCTTTCGTTGTTGAGTCTTTTGGTTGACACAGAACTGAGTGAAGTGATTCTGTAGGTTTGTGTGCGACGTCAATTCCTAAAGGTTTGAAAAGTGTTGCAGTGATTCCCGAGATGTCCTTTATATATGGTAGGGCGATTTTCTTCGTACTTTCCTTGGAGGCTTTTGGTTTGATAGGTTGGCTTGGGGATATATGTCTCTTGATAAAGTTCCATGGATATCCATTCTTTACTTTACATTTATTTGTTACTTCATAAATCTGAATATTTAGAAAGATGATTATGCAAGAAAAAGATCTTGTCGTGAATGCTTCTTCCTTTTGTACAGAAATTTAGAAATTCTACTTCGATAATCTGCTGTCAGTATATGTACTTATGTAACTTTTCTTAATTTACTGTCTTTCATTTATAGGGTCCTCCAGGAGACTTTGGACCACCAGGAATGCACGGAGAACATGTAAGTATCCGACTGCAAAACAAATATGTTTGCTTATTTAATATATGTATTCCATTTGTTCACAGTATACTTAAATCACTTTCTTCTTTACTTTAGGGTGAAAGTGGTGAGACTGGTGAGAAAGGAGCTAAAGGTATAGCTGGCTGTCCTGGAGGAAAAGTAAGTTTCCACACACACACGCACATACACTCACATTTATTAGGAAATTATTTTCAGCACATCTTTCCCTGTGTTAAATAACTTTAGATACAGTACTCACTGAAATCAGTGTGCTTTCGAATTGATTAAATGTGAACACTGCAACTGAAATTACTATTGTTTTATTTCTCTGTGTGTCTGTGTTTAGGGAGATCCAGGAGAGAAAGGTGAACCAGGAAGACAAGGTATGGATGGTGAGAGAGGACCACCTGGACTTGATGGGGAGAGAGGTGATCCTGGTGAATCCGGGCTAGGAACTCGAGGGCCACCTGTAAGTTTTCCTTCTTCAAGAATGTTTTCTTACACAGTAAATCTCTATTTTTTTGTTACTGTAATTGCATGCTTTAAAAGAATTATGGATTATCTACAATGAAAATATAAGCGGTACACATATGCATACACATAGTTAACGATTTTATAACCAATAACCTTAATAATCTTTGAAATTCCATTGAATGACTTCAAGAAGCCCATTCAGTATTCCATTCTCTATGCTCTAGAATTCCGAAAGTCTATTTATCGACATCATACCCCGAATATTCATCAACCTTATTCAACAGCTGTACGACAACGGCACATGTCAAGTCATCCACAACGGAAAACTCAGCCAGGCGTTTGGAGTAAACACAGGAGTCAGACAAGGGCGCTTATCATCGCCAATGATGTTCCTAATTGTGGTGGATTGGATTATGCGTCAGACAGTGGGAAACGAGAAGACAGGGATATCCTGGACCGACATGAAGAACCTAGAAGACCTGGATTTCGCGCGTGGATAATTTATGTTTGATGTCACACAAAATCGAAGACTTACAAGAGAAAACCGACAAACTGGTCGAAGAAGCAGGTATTGAAGACAGGACTCCAGGTGAACATAGACAAGATGGAGGTTATGAAAATAACCAACCAACAACAACAACAGCAACATCCAGCGCCAATCGCCATCAACGCGAGGGATTTGAAAGAGGTTACTTCATTCACTTATCTAGGGAGCATTGTCTCAACTACAGGAGGAACAAACGAGGATGTCAAATCGAGAATCGGGAAGGCGAGAAACACATTCATCCACCTGAAACCAATCTGGAAATCTTCGTCACTCAACTCAGCTTCATCAACAACAAAATTCCGATTTTCAATACAAACGACGTCAAGTCGGTCAGTTCTTCTATACGGATCAGAAACTTGGCCAGTGTGTCACAAAGAATATTTCCAACAACCTGTTGCAGACCTTTATCAACAACTAACTGTCTTCGCTCTATACTGAAGATCAGATGGCCGGAAAGAATCACCAACAAGAAACTATGGGAACAAACAAAACAAGAACCAATCGCCGAACAAATATGCAGGAGAAAGTGGAGATGGATTGGACACTCGCTGAATTGTGGAGGCCGCTGGGTGACATCGCGCATCAGGCCATAGCTCGAGTGGGACGTCCAAGGGTGACATGGAGGAGATCGTGTGAAGAGGAGCTGAAACAGTATGGACTAACATGGATGCATGTAGAAAGTATAGCAGAAGACAGAAGCAAGTGGAGACGTGTAGTTGAAGCCCTATGTTCCACTAGGAACCCAAGGGAACAATAATAATAACAGTAATTTTATCGACACAGTAGATGTCGAAATAGAAAACCTTCACACAACTATCTTAAGTAATGAATATCCTAGAAGGTTTATTGAAAGAAACATCAAAAAAGCAAATGTCAATTGTCCAGATCTCAAAGATCCTGGACTTATAGCTGGTTTCAGATGACTAAGCCTAATACGCAGAGTACTATGCACTATAACCGATGTGGAATAACAGAAAACGGTTTGGCAATACAATTTTTTATTCTTCAACCGATAACGAAACAGATTTACAATTGTTACTCAGTATCGAAGTCTGTAAATAAACATTAATATAATGTACAACAATACTTCTGACCGTATTTCTCCAGTCTTCTGCCAACGAGTATACGATTAAGCAGTGATAGCCTTCTTGTCTCCCACGAGATGGAAACCAGTTCGAATAAACAAACGATTTACTTTTGACCGGCATTAACAGAAACCGTGCTCAGTCAAATCACTGTGCTAAAGAAGACACTGTTTATGAGGTTGGCATTCAGAAGTGACACTACTTCTGAAGTGATTAAAAGTCGTTTATCTAAATGTATTAAATGCTGTTTTTATGCAGCTGACTTGCATTTAGTATTCATCAGTCGAAATATGATTCGACAACTCGTCAAGGATAAACTACCGCTTATGTCCACCTCTATGTTTATACACCCTTTCACATGCTCGTGTGGAGCTGATTACATTAGACGTTGTAAGAGTGTTCTCCGTAAACGCGTAGCTGAACACTTCCACCCGGTTTGGTTAATGAAAGGTGAGCGAATGACGACAAAGTTTTCAATTTGTGAACACCTTGTGGAAAAGTAAGGTCATTCCACCCCTCACACGTGATTTATCCTTTAAAGTTATCTACAGGACCAAATCCAACCACTTCAAAAGCTTACGTTTTCTTCACTTATGCCCAACCAAAGCTCTAGTCATACATAGACAGAAACCTAAATTATGTGTTCAAGAACGTTTCGTTAAACCGCTTTCTTTATCTTGGTCATAGTAATGTTCTTTTCATTTTACTCTATTTTACCACTTGAATTCATTCCACTTCACTTCACCTTCATCGCTTTTATTGTTATCACCATTGCACTCTTAGTTTTTTTAGACAACACTTGACCTACTATTTTGAAATCTTCATACCAGTTCACTTATTTAATAATCTTTAAAAGTTTTGTAATTCATCCACTTCAACTCTACCTCCTTAATAAATCATTTTAATTATCTTTAATTTTATATGTATACTAACTGATCAACTTCTGATGTCACTTAATGCCTTTTCCCACAATATAAATACGACTGTACATATAGACAATTATGGACATCAATTTGATTGGGATAATGTCGAAATCTTAGACAGAGGAAACACGAAAAGTGCAGTCAAGGAATTCCTAGAAGCCTGGTACTTAAACGAAAATGCAGTTAACAAACACGTTAACATATAGACCACAAATATACCAACTAATAAAAAGTAAATCAGGTGACCAGAAAGTTTAAAATCCAAGTCAATAGAAAATGGTCAATACATATGTAAAGATGGTTACCGGGAGACGCAATTATATCACTCATGAAGAAATTTAAATCATTTCACTTTTATATTGCGCTGAAGATGTTGTCCAGCAGGGGGACGAGGAAAGCTCCGCAAACAAACCAACCAGCTCAGAGAACACTATTAATTGCAAATCATCCACCTGAGCTACAAATCTTCTCTATTATTTCATACGACTGTACAGTTTGAAAATGAAGTCATTGAAAAGAAATACATTTCTTCGCTGGACGAAACTTACCAATTAATGAGTATATATCAGATGGTTGGAGGTAATCGGCAGGAAGCCCTAGCTCGACCTAGGTTTCGTGCTAGTTGGCACTCACAATTCAGAAAGGCGTATCTGCAACCTCGAAGGAAGTCATGTCCCTACTGATATTCGAACCCGCGTGACGCAGTCAGGGATGTTACCTTGAGCTGTTCGGGCTCGCGATTGACCTCCTGTAGGACTGTATTGGATACTTTGATTTGACACTAGTAACTAGTGTAATGTGTCTAGTCCTTTCTTTTGTGCAGACTGAATTCTTGCAGTCAGGTTTGTAATGTGGCCACCATTCTAGGTAGCTCGCCATCACGGTGAACATTGATTTGATGATATTAGATGGTTGGAGGCAATCGGCCACAGGAAGCCGATAATAGCAAATATGCTAGGATAAGGTATTATTTGATGCGTAAAACTCCACAAAATGCTATCATAACTGTTTTTATCTCTGATATCTTTTTTTCTCTAGGGTCCTAAAGGAGATACTGGTGACATCGGACCAAAAGTGAGTCATCTATGCATTACTCTTCTAGTTTTATGAATACATGTTTTTGATGAACATTTCTTTGACCAATAAAAATGCTGGAATATACTTTGAGATAAATTATGCTAATTACTGAATCTCATGCTCACTAGCAGTCAGCCCGTTCGATTTTAATTTGTAGCCTGCATGACATGTGCTCTGTAGCCTTAACATACAGAGACCGATTGATTCTCCTTATGTACCCTGGACTACATGTAAATATGAAGCCGTATTGGGACGTGACACCATCGTTAAAATGCTATCAGTTCCTAGCTGAACATAGATTTCGTTTTTCTCCTATTGTCAGTACAAATGAATACCTGGTACAATGGTTTCCTATTTTCTAAATTTTTTTACTGTCAATTTTTTAGGGTGATGATGGAATTCAAGGAGAACGTGGAGACACTGGTCTGCCTGGACTTGAAGGCGACAGAGTAAGAATTATTTCAATAAATACATTTTACAAAGCCGAATTGGAAAAAATATATAATACATCAGTGATATTTCATTTTGTTTATTTTATTATTTCATCTAGCGTACACCTATTGAACATTTAACAAAATGACGTAAAACAAATAGCAGTACCGCCATTTTCAAAACATTTACTAATGAATTAAATACGCGGTATTTACAAGCGCTAGATTTACGGATGAAACATAAGCAAAACGTTTCAAATTTAGACTTTAAGTAATGCAGAAAAATGATCTTGCTTAGAAAGTGAAAAAAATGTTGAGATAAAATACAGGAGCAATAGCTGAATTAACTCTTTTTCTCCTCTGTGTAATAAAGGTACTACTTGATTACAGTCTATGAATTTTGACATTATATTACCTGACATTTAGTCGTTAGAGAACCTACAAAAAACGACTTGGTTGATTGCTGGTGAAATCTCAGAATGGATACAGAAGGCTAGTTTCGCATATGCCAGTTTACGCCGTCTCTGGCGTAGATGTGATATCCGGCCTGCTATCGACCAAAGGACGTGTATACTGCTCAGCAGTTCGCTCCATCCTCATTTATGGCTGTGAAACATGGCCATTAAGAGTGGAAGACATGAAAAGGCTGGCTAGCTGTTTTTGATCATAGGTGTCTGCGTTCTATCTCCCGTGTTAGGTGGCATAATAGGATGAGCAATATTGAGTTTAGGTGTCGGTCGAGTGCTACGCAAGGAGGGAGTCATTCGATGAGGTTACGAAGCTACATCGACTGAGGTGGTTAAGACATGTGTCATGCATGCCTAGCTATCGCTTTCCTCGACCGACAGTCAATGTTAGCTGATATAGGATGAGGTTGAAAAATGGCTAGTAGTGGTCAGACCTGTCTACCTGTAACTAAAACGATTTTGCCTAGATAAATGAAGGAATTGACCTCTCTCAAGTCGGTTCTGTTGATGGTGCTTGCTGTTGTTGTTGTTGGAGGCTGCTTATCTTCTTCACCATTACAATATTCAAGTATGCGTGTAAAACATTTTGCTCATGGACAAACATTTATGGGTATTCTGTACATTTATAATAACCTATAGTTAGTGTATTTGAATAGCTGAACTTTTCTGGATGGAAAAGATGATGGACGTCTAACACTGAATACTCTTAGTTCCAGAAAAAATCAGGTCAACTTCCACGAAGCTACAATTCTCCATTAGTTGTTATAATTTCTAAATCACATGAATCACCAAAATAAATAAAAATCCACTTTTGTGTTTAATATTCTTTCCATTATTTAAGGGTGAAGACGGCGATCAAGGTATAATGGGTGAACCAGGTGAACCAGGAGAAACTATTATTGATGCATATACCCCAGTTAAAGGTGCTCGAGGTGCACCTGGAGATCCTGGTGATCCAGGAAGAAATTGTTCAGTCTCTTCACTGGAACAAGGTCGTCAAGCACTTATTGGACCAGCTGGTGATCGGGTAAATTTTTGTGAAATATAAACGTAATTTGATCAGGTGCTTAGCATTTAGAACTATGTCCATTTGTTCCGAAGACTGTGTAAAGAAATAACTCTAGGTCAGATATCCAGATAAGTTCACTAAAGCCAACACAGGTTACAATAGTCGTAAAAATGAACTGGCAACAGTGGAGAAAAAGCCTCTGTTTTTACATCTACAATTTAAGGGAGACACTCCTGCAAAGATTCTATCGCAGATAACTCTCTACTCTGAACATCTGTTCCTATCCTTCATTAGCCGTCCAATGTTCACCCAGCAACTCAAAGACATCTTACCTAACCTTAGCTCTTCTTCATGCATATACCATTTCAACTGTTCCTGTGGTTCCAATTTTATAGGACGCACGATTAGGCAGGTTCATCTACAGGTCGAGAACATTCACCAGCTTGGTTCAGCAAGGGGGAAAATTAAGTGCATAAAAAGCTCGATCCTATCACACTTGGTCGATAATGAACATTACATCGACGCCAACACAGCTTTCAGGGTTATATACTGAATTCTGAAGTCGTTGTCGCGTACAGTTCGCTTACGTCTCCTACACATAGCTGAAGTTATTGCAATAAGATTGACTAAACCTGAACTTTGTCTCCAAAAAGAACACGTCCAGACGCTGTTCCTACCGTGGTCAAACTTGGATTGATGATTCTTCCTCTCACCACGAATGCCTCTTAACCTTGACCCTCTTGGCTTTTTTCATTTGATTATTATTACAAATATTATTATTACAATTATTATTATTATTCGTCATAATTTATGCCCTTCATGTAAACATTCTCTCAATACTATCGAATTTTTCGTTTATACTATCCGGACTTATTATTAGTGATATTATCTCTTTTCTCAACATGTTTCATTTCACATATTCGTTATCTCATTATGAACCTCTCATTGCAGTCTTACTATCTCCTGTTTAATACAGACCACTTTGTACTAGCCACTCACTCACCTGACACCTTTTATAACCTTGAACTGACTTGTCAATTTTCCTACCCCACATTATGACCAATCAACACCACTGTCTCCCATTTCGCCGAAATATTTTGTAATCGATTTCAACCTAGCACGACGTTTGTCACACAAATACGACTATTTATTTTGACACCCCATAACTAATCTGTTATTCTACTTAAAAAAATGTATCCGCCGCATAACTGGCCATTATTGTAACGACAACAAATATTATATCTTACAATTGTAAGAACCTGAAGAGAAATTATTGAAAAGAATATTCTTCGTTCAGATTGACTTTTAATTCATGATATAGGTATATTTCACACAATTAAATCTTATAACTAATAATAAATATTGATAACTTCATTCCGAATAATGTTTATATAAATGTAAAGAATTTCCAGCGGAAATTATTGCTAATAATAGTTTCTATTTGTCCAGCATTTTCAAGTAAAATAGTCACTGACTGTAAATCGCCTGAAAATATTCCTGTCTGACCTGAAGCGAATCACCAATCTCTTATGATATTTCTTCTTCGCCTCCCTTCTTCTACAAGTGTACAATATTTGGTTGAAAGCCAATTAAAAGCGATGTAGGAGTACATTTTGTTGACCCAAAGACATAGTAATAATAGCTGAATAACTGAAAACTGCAGGTGATCCTTTTCATTTCTTAGACAGTGGCAGTTTGTACTTAAAATATCAGGAACAGTTATTTCATGTACTGGAATAAGTTATCACCAGCTGTTCTGCTTTTTCTTAAGTATAAACTTCCAAATCAGCAGACTGTAGACATTTTAAATATTTGCGGGAGTAGAAAACACCATTAGAGGTCATACTGTAATCGATTAAAACAAAGTGGACAAAGGAAATTATATGCAATGCGATAATGGAGTATTTTGGTAGCCCGTGTTTTAAACAGACCGCTTATAACTGCTACATTCTATTCTATAGAAAAACTTATTTTTCTCTTTTTTAGGGTGATACAGGTCCTAAAGGATATCCAGGACCGAAAGGAGCAAAAGGAATGAGAGTAAGTCAAAAGTGATCTTAATTTTTTCTTGTCATGTCTCTGCTTGGATCGTATACCGAAGATTTCTACAAGTTAGCTTGAATTTTAAAAACCCCAATTCACACAGTACTACACTGAACAGTTTCGTTCTGTTTACCCTAGTTAGATAGATGCGCTAAAAATACAGTCTTTATGAATCAGTGGCCAATTTAAACAATGGCGACCAAAAAGTACGAGCGCACCGGTGACCTTGAACGCATGTTATTCATTGGATTACAGAGTTTGACATTATTGGATCGCAAGTTTTAACGCTGTGCACCAGTCGGGGTGTAAATTTTATCCTGATCTTGTTTTTAAGCACTGTTGAGCAATGATTAGACAGCACGTTAGGGTTAGGATTAGAGTTAGGGTGTTTTATTATTATTACCTGTAATTTCGTTTTAAGCAAATAATTAGGTTGAGAGGTGATTGCCATATATACAGATGATACCGTTTTGATAAGGAAGAAATTCGAAAACTGATACCCCTCATTGTAATTAGGAAGTGTTTTTGAGTTACCTCAGTGATAATATCGTCTTAAATATTTTATTATTATTATTATTATTGTGAGTATGTTTCATGAAAAATGAACGGTTTCTTTAAGTAAAACACACTGCATGTCCTCATTGGTCACCTAAAGGTCACTGATGCCTTCGCGCTCATTGGTCGATATTTTTTTAAGCTTGTCGAATCAGTTTAGGTTTTTTATAATCCTTTTTATAATCCTTTATGTTTTTTATAATCCTTTATGTAGAGTATCATTTATGAATTTGACTCACATATAATTCAGGCACGAGTGTATAATAAACTTAACAGCCGAACTCACTGTCAACTTTTAGCAAAATATGAATGTGTCTTGTTGAGCTGTTATCGTCTAGTCATCGAAAGTGAAATATCACAGCACGAAGAGCAAATAGCTTTTTTTTTTAATTGTATTTGCCCTGCTATATTGTGAAAAAATATTAACAAGTCCTCTTTTTTTATCCAAACAGGGTATAGATGGAACTATCGGTCAGCCTGGTGCGAAAGGACAGCCAGGTCCAGATGGTCCCCCGGTAAGTGTAATGAAGGAAAATCAAGCGCCTTCTCTTGACTGCTTTTGTTTTTGTTTGAGAGTAAGGATCCAAATAGTAGGTGAGAGGGAATAGCAGTTAATGCTGACTTCTTTTCACATCACTTGCTTTCCAAAAAGAACATAGGGAGGGCTTCAAGCTGTGTAGTTTCAGTAATAGTGGCGTGCTGTGTTTATCGGATGGGTTACTAGCCTCAAGCCTAACCTTCCCACTTTTCGTGGCTTTAAAGGAGCTTCAGAAAACTCTTGTACAGCATCTATGTGGAGATGAACTACGTATTCATGACTGTTTGAATTTCTTCTTAATCCCTTTTTCTAACATTTCACATATTTGAGTGCTAGAGAAAAAAGCATATCCACCAGTAAACGAAAACAATTTTCAGATGTTTCTATGTAAAATAACAAAAACATTAAACTCACTTAGTAAAATCTTCTTCCAACATCCAGCCTTACAAAAAAATTATACAACTAGAATGTATGTGATTATTCAAGGATGAAATAGGGAAACACTTGTTCATAAGGTTAGCTTATACCACTGAGTTCACTTTTTTCTGAGATGTGATCAAGATTTGAACGAATATTTCCTTAATAATTGGACTGAGAGGGGGAAATTCGTGTTTTAAACTTATACTACTTATTATTTATAAGTAGTGCAATGAAATGTTAATTTTTCAAAACGTTGTATTTATTCACAGGGTCCGAAAGGTATCAAAGGAAGCGCTGGTCAACCAGGTGCTAAAGTAAGTCAAACTAATGAAATTGCTAGTTTTATTTCATTAAAGATTATTAATTTAATAAATAAGAAATTAGTGGAGCTGGGAGTAACTGTCACATTTTAAAGTTGAAAGGAATCACACTCTATGCCAACGCAGCCACTTTTCATGTGCATTCTTCCCACTTTTTATCTACAAATCAATTTCTGAAGTAAATGATCCTCGCTAAGGTTTAGTAAGTTTAAACCAGGGCTATTTCAAGATGATCTAGACATCTTGGATAGTTCGTGTCAGATATGTGGCAGTGAATAAATATCCTTGTTTTCACATTTACAATTCAGGTGGGACGTTTGTAGTACAATTTTTACAACTGTTTCTAAATAACTCATATTAGATGGTTGGAGTCAATCAATCAGCAAGATGCCCTCGACCTAGGTTTTGTGCTTGTAGGCACTCATCAGTCAACAAGGTATATCTGCAATCTTGAAGAAACCCATGTCCATTCTGAGATTCGAACCCGTGTCCTCCAGTACTACAGTCAGAGGCATTACCACCGAAGTATTCGGGCTCGGGGTTATCCTCCTGTAGGACTGTTTTGGATACTTTGATTGGACACTAGTAACTAGTGCGTTGTGCCTAGTCCTTTGTTTGGTGAAGATCTAGTATGTACTTGTAGACTGCGCAGACGAAACGTCTACGTTTGATGTAATATAGAAACTTATAAAATTATTAATTCACGTATGTTTTGCTGTAATATTGCGTAAGGTTAACTATTCGTTATATAATTTCAATGCTAAGCAGTCTGAACACTTCAATTTGCATTTGCACATTTGACTGCTCGTGTGAAAAGAGTCACATATAGTTACAAGGATTTGGAAAGCCCATTGACGCTTTCTTGAATACTATCCAAAGTGATCTTACTCAACATATGAGATAAGTTGAGTAAGTATGTGGGTGCAGGTGACATTACTTTCGATGGTTCATTTTAAACACATTTGCCATACACTTAGTTTTTATGAACATGATTATTATCACTGTAGAATCTGAAGAGACTTTAACAAAAAGAATATTCTTTATCCAAAAAGGGACTTACTATTGAAGCCAATTAGTGGATGGTGACTATCAGTGTAATCCAGGGTGCACACTTCACCCCACTTAGGACTCGTTTCTGCATTACCCAGCGAGTGATGGTGCTTCCATCAAGGCTGTAACCCACTCCAGCAGTTTCAAACGCCAGAGTATTATCCACTGGACCATTTGGGCCACTAGAGTCATCTCTTGTGCAGTCATTAAACTTACAGTGAACCTGACCTATTTCAACATCGAATGAGTAATTTTTGTTTCATCTTTTTCTTGCTTGTTTGGTTCTTAATTGGATTATTTTCTTCCCTCGCCCCTTATGAGACCGAGCACTTCGGTCCAATCAATCGACGGGAAAATCTAAATTGAATTAAATAATTAATAAGGCCCGTTGCACAAGAGGTGACATCAAACTGACGAGTCCAAAATAGGACGAAATGTCGTTAGGCAGCTATGCAGATCGAATTAGTTTTCAAGTACAAAACACGTTAACCAAAATTCAACTGCAAAAAGTACCTGAGAATAATAATAATAGTTTGCTTTATTCCAAAACAGTACTTGTGATACAGAATGGAATTCTCAGCATTTTTACTACAGTATTGCATCCAGTTAGTGCATTAACAATAAATAGAATTCTACATAGATTAAGGAAATCACAGTTCATTATTACATCAACACACTGGCACGTCGGTAGCAAAGGAAAAGCTGAAACAGTGTTTGAAGGTGTTAGAAAAGTAGGAGCTGTCATATTTACTGGCGTAAGCGGAAGAAAGAAACAAAGCAGCACATAACGGAAAAAACGAGAGAGAGAGAAAAGGAAAAGAAAGAAAGAAAATGTTGTACCTATAAATGATATGAGTTGGAAAGACGAGATCCAATTGTTCTACTGACTATTTAATAAATAAGTTATAAGTTTCACGCCTAATGCTTTCTTTATCGCACAGAACACGAGCCAAGTAGGGTATGGTTGAGTTTTTGTACTTGCTGGTGCGAGCATATAGTTTTCTATATAGGCTTCTGGTTTTGCCTGATGAGACAAAGGGAAGCATTAAAATTAGAGAATAGGCAGGAACGTAGGCAAAAGCTACAAGGACTAAGTCGAAAATATGATCTGCAAACATTAGGAAAAAAGAGGAAAACAACTACAAAGTTCCAAACAGCCGGTTCCCTTTATCAGCTTGAATAGATAAAGAACAAATATATTTGCAGGATATTACAAGGTAGTTTTTCCAACTGCTTACATCCTAAACAGTATCAAAATATGACTTACAACCTTTCCAAAAACCCATTTTTTCCAAGTGACGCGGAGTTACAGAAAAAAGTATGTTCAGAGATTCTGTGACTCATATTTTCATACTGTTTGTAGGCAGTTGAAAAATGTAGGCGAAATAAAACGAGCTTGTATTATCCTGCAAATATGAAGGAAGAAAATCGATACTAATTTTAAAAAAATAGAGGATTACAATTATCTTTTCTGTAAGGTAAAGATATGATAAATGTTTTGAATGTCAATATGATTAGCAGTTTTTTTCTTCTTAATTTCTTATTTTCTTTCAGGGTGGTCAAGGACGTGATGGTTTAATTGGTGATCGTGGTGTACCCGGACCTAAAGGTTTACCTGGAGATCCTGGAGCGGATGGATTACGTGGACTTATCGGTGACCCCGGTGAACCTGGTGTATGTGAAAAAACTTCTGTTTTTTGAAATTTCGATGAGTAAAATAGAGTTTTATTGTTTTGTTAACAGGTGTAGAATATGAGGCCCCAGAACACAGGACATAGATTTTTCGAACACATTAACTCAAAGGTGGAGGCAATTCAATTCACTTATGAATTGGAAAGTCACGAAGGGGAGCTTTTAATGTTAGATTGCAGAGTAAAAAGGAAAGAAGATGTGAAGTTAAAGACTAGTGTTTACAGGAAACCTACAGATTCAAACTGATATTTGAACTACCAATCATCCCATTCTATGTCAGTATTAATAGGATTGGTGAAATGTTTAAGTGACAGAGCACAAAAACTAAGTAGTACCAAAGAAAATCTAAAACAGGAACTGATACACATAAAAGAAGCCTTGAAACTTAATAATTACCCTGATTGATTAGTCAGAAAACATGTAGGGAAATGTAAAAATAAAATAAATAATGATAGTAGTGATAGTGATAATAATAATATTAATGACGACATGCATGTCAGACATGCACAGGATAATGACAACACCAACAATAAGGAATCTAAATCATCAGTAATAATTCCATACAAGTGAGGAACCTCTGAAACCTTATGCAGGAATAAAAGTCGTTGTCATTCAAACCAGCCACAAACTCAATTAGAAACAAGTTTTGTCCTTTAAAGGATCAGTCCTGTGGAGCCAACTAAACAAAACAATTTAGTTTATCTAACGCCCTGCTGCAATGATTGTCAGATCAAACTAGTAGAATAGGTCAGACTAGCCGAACATAAAAACCTAACAAAATCTAGATTGGTTGACCCGAATAAGTTAAGAAATCTAGAGAATATTTCAGCTATAGCACTCACTACATGCAATTACGCACACACAACCATACAATAGGATGGATGGGATAAGATGACAGTTTTAAAATCTAATGTCACATGGCGGAGGGAGAGATTGATAGCTGACTGAGGCTTTGCTTATCAAGTCAACTGCAAACATGTGTAATAGGAATGACTTAACACCTGTCCAGCCGGACATCTGGAAAATTATACGATGACAAATAGGAGAGAAGAAAGAAAACTATAAAACTCAAACTTCGAAGTCGTGGGATTATAATTGATGAAATGATTATGAGCAGCAATAAATTTTATTCGAAACGTCATCCAGTTAATAATACTGTTTCACTGTGTGATACATCTAATAAACAAACTAATATGGAATTACTTACTACCACAGTGCCCAAGTTTTGCACATATATTAATAGGCCTTTATTACGACTTCTATTAATAATAATAATATTTATCTGCTTTATTCCAAAAACAGTACTTATAATACAGCATGAAATTTTCAGCATTTGTCACAATACTGCATCTAATCTACTCAAAATATAAATAAAAAACTGACCAAAAGAACGCTTCCACACTAACAGTAGTGTAGTGAGTGCTACTTATAATCAGATATAAGTAGTATATCAGCAAACGAATTTAGAAAAGTAACAATATTTGTTTTGGACACTAGAAAAAGGTAATCAACGAAGAGAAATTGCTTGAAGAATGTTACCAACACTGTGCAGAATCCAAGAAGCTATCGAATGTGTTGACATTCGACAAATTTGCATATGGTGTGCAAATAAAGCATTGAAGATAAAATAAAGTATAATCTAATCAAAAATAAAATAAATCGATTGAAAGATCCCACAAAAATGATGTATAAAAACAAAGTGATTTATAAAATATCTTGTGCTGACTGTCCGACTAAATATGTAGGGCAAATGTCCAGATCACTTAAAATAAGAGTGGATGAGCATAAACGCCTGCCTAACTAAAGGTCAACCAACAGGAACACAAGCTTACAAGAATCTTGAAAAAAATTCATCAATAGCTGCACATGCATGGAAAAAAACCACAATATCGATTGGGACAATGTGTGTATTCTAAAAACTAATTTTAAAAAATGGAAAGAGAGACTTATAATAGAACAAGACATATAAGCGAACAATATTGTTTTCAATTAGATCTTCTTCAGGCTTTACTCTAATTTACATAGATTTATATATAAAATTTTAACCAATGACGGTGATTTTGGGAATCAAATAATAATCTTAATAGTCTTAATAATAATCATAATAATAATAATAATAATGTGGTAAATGTTTTGAACATAGTTAATAACGATGATTATAATGATAACAAAATATTGATAATAAGGCTTATGCAGATAATAAGAATAACAAAGATAGTATATGTATATAAGTGTATAAATAAATTGGGTCAAATCTTAAAAGGTGAAGTGGAACGATAATCAGAGTTTAAATAAATATTATAAAAGTACAAAGGAGGTGGAAAATAAGAAAGGGTGGGAGGGTTTTGAATACAGTTCACCTAGGCCAAGGGAGAGACAAAGGTAGAACAAACTTCTTTTGTATGCAAAGACTAGGATTGTTCTCTCGAATTCCCATAGCTTCGGCTAGGTGTAAAAGACGAAGCTATGGGAATTCGAGAGAACAATCCTAGTCTTTGCATACAAAAGAAGTTTGTTCTACCTTTGTCTCTCCCTTGGCCTAGGTGAACTGTATTCAAAACCCTCCCACCCTTTCTTATTTTCCACCTCCTTTGTACTTTTATAATATTTATTTAAACTCTGATTATCGTTCCACTTCACCTTTTAAGATTTGACCCAATTTATTTATACACTTATATACATATACTATCTTTGTTATTCTTATCATCTGCATAAGCCTTATTATCAATATTTTGTTATCATTATAATCATCGTTATTAACTATGTTCAAAACATTTACCACATTATTATTATTATTATTATGATTATTATTAAGACTATTAAGATTATTATTTGATTCCCAAAATCACCGTCATTGGTTAAAATTTTATATATAAATCTATGTAAATTAGAGTAAAGCCTGAAGAAGATCTAATTGAAAACAATATTGTTCGCTTATATGTCTTGTTCTAATATTTTAAATGGGAATATTTGAAGACTCATAATAGAATCTATATTCATTAAGGTCACACCGGATACATGTAACAAGGGTGACTCAGTACAAATGTCAACAACTTGGAATATAATTCTAAATACAAAAAAATGAATGAACAAAAAATGAACTATGTATATGAGTACAAATCATAAATGTATGAATTAAAAAACAAAACAATTCCAACAGTTGGTATGATGATGAGGGGCAGCAGTTTTGCTCGAAATATTACCAAAGCACAAAAACTTATCATTGTGTGTAAATCATTGAAATATAATTATAGTTTATTTAGTCTAATCCACAATGCTAAAACTTCTTACTGACATTGAAGATAAGGTGGCAAATTTAAAATTCATTTGTTCTAATAAACATTCCTTCGAGCGTTATTGGTATTTTCCTTTTGTTTAACTGTAGGAATAATGTCAAAAATATGCTAAGTATAAAGTGAATACTAAGACTGCCAATTAAGACTGCTCTCTTTTAAAATATGTTTCATTACGGAAATATTTAAATATTCTAGAATGATCACTGCCTTTGTGAATTTTCAAGAAAAGGTTGACTTCTTTCACAGATGACAGAAGTGGTGTCAAATGCACTCATGAATTAGGAATACTTGGGGTCCTCTTAGTTTCAGAGGAAGAGTGTGAATGCACATCTTATCTCACCTTTTCAGACTTAATTAGCTTCATTTATAGAATAAGAAGTTTCTAAAACATTTCCAACAGGTATTCTTTGGTTGATACATATATCAAAACTTCATTCGTAATAGTTTTTTCGCTACTTTTGTGCATTAATTTCAACTCTATGCATTTATTCCCCTTGATGAATTTGAATAAAGCAAGAACAGTGGTGGTTTGTGCAGAATAATATGGTACCATCATTCACTTGATTTCGTTGGCTTCTTATCAGCTCAGCTGCTTACAGCCTAAGTAGATTATGAGGTTTATGAACAGAAAAGTTTTAACATACTTGTAAAATTTTACATGGTGTCAGTTGACAGAAGGTTTAGTCCGTAATTAGTGAACAGTGCTCAGAAAATTGCGCTCATATAGATTTCACAAAGGCAGTTCAAGTTTAAGCAAAATAAGTGTAAGCATACAATGGTAAGGGTGTTAAGTAATAAAGACGAGAGATGCATAAGATGCTGAGTGACTAACAAATTAGGTAACAGTGTACTGAGTTCAACTCAAATGATAGAAACAAGAGACAAGGAAAAGTACACTACATCGAAGGCGGGCGATGTTAAAGCCAAAGGTTACATAATCAAATGAAAGAGAGAATAAAGACGTCCAGTTACCAGGTGGGCGAGCGTCTCAAGTTTGCCGAAGCAATTTCTGTCAAAGGATTGAAACTCGATTTATGGGTTCAGAAAGAAGCAGTTATCAGTCTTTCCTTGCACACCTGGTAACTAGATATCTTTACTCTCTATTTCATTTGATTACACTATCTTCAGCTTTAACCGCACCCCTTTGACATACTGTAATTTTACTTGTTTTTTGTTTATATGACTTGAGTCGAACTCAGAACATTGTTACCTAATTTATTAGTCACTCAGCATCTTATGCATCTCTCGTCTTTATTACGTAACTCCTCTACCATTGTATGCTTACATTTATTTTGTTTAAACTTGAACTGCCTCTGTAAAAATTATATAAGTGTAATTTTCTGAGCACTGTTCATTAATTACGGACGTAACCTTCTGTCGACTGACATCATGTAAAATTTGCAAGTATGTTAAATCTTTTCTGTACATAAACCTCATAGTTTATTTAGTCTGTAAGCAGGTGAGCTGATGAGAAACCAACGAAATAAACAAAATAAATGATGGTACCATATTATTCTGCATAAACGACCACTGTTCTTACCTAATTTATATTTCAACTTTATCAATCATTCTTCACTATTGTCAACATAAAAATATTCTAGGGAACAGCAGAGTGTACTGGAGTTTTACCTGGACGACCTGGACAACGTGGTATACCTGGAGAGCCTGGAGATAAAGGGATAGCTGGAATTCCTGGGTCAGTAGGCGATCGAGGATTGAAAGGTTTACTTGGACCACAAGGACCAGTTGGTGATCCTGGACCTGATTGTCCTATTGGACCACCTGGTTTACCAGGACCTAAAGGATCACCGGGTAATTACAAAAAAGTTTTTTTCTAACTTTCTCCTCATATCTCCTGTTTTTCGAGTACAACGTTAATTATGTATAATATAAAACAGACAATTTTGTAAATATAATTTACGGATGGTGACTAGTAGTGGAATCCAGGATGCGCATTTCGTCATATTTGGGACTCGTCATCTGGATGTACCTGCATTTCCCAGTGAGCGATGATGTTCCCACCGAGGCTCGAACCCAGTGACCTATTAATAGTTGACGATGTACACTGTTACTATTGCATAATGAATGCGTATAAAATGTGGACTAACATTCTTTCTGTCAAAGATACTATATAAAACTTGTTATGAATACTTTTAGACCTTGTTAAATCTGTCATTACAAACTGACTTTCCCAGATGCCTTTGTCGTAGTGAATAAGTGTGTTTAAAAGGGCTCCTTACAATAACACCATTCCACTGCTAATAGTGATAGTAGTTATATGACAGAATGAATAGAACCTTGGATAATTATCATAGTGATTTGCTTTATTCCAAAACAGTACTTATGATGTAGTAGGGAATTCTCAACATTTGGTACAATATTATTATTATTACTGCCCCCGATTCCGATTGGAACATAGGGCTTCAACAACACATCTCCACTTAGTTCTATTTTCTGCTGTCCCCTTCACCTGGGTCCACGATTGACCATAATCTCTCATCTCCTCTTCCGACTCACACGACCTCTTCCATGTCACTCTCACACCGAAGACCCACTGGATGGCCTGCATTGTGCGTGATGTCATTCGATGGCCTCCTCAACATATGCCCGATCTATCCATCTCCATCTTTTTTCGCCTACATATCTGTTGAGCAATCAGCTCCTGATTGGTTGGTTTGTTTCTAGCTGGCCAGAGTTTCTTGTTGCTAATTCTTCTTTCTGGCCGGCCAGCCGGCCATTTGATCTTCAGTAGGGAGCCAGCGAAGTGGGAAGCTGTTGAGGAAAGTCTGTAAGAAGCTGTTTGAAATCCTTTCCGTAACGTGTCAGCGAAGTTTCTGACTCGTATAGAAGAACTGGCTGACTGATTCCACATGTGTGTTGAGAATCCAAATCTCCTTGTTGTTTATGCTGGCTGAGTGCAGTGCGGAAGATTTCCAGACTGGTTTCAGGTTGATGAAGGAGTATCTTACCTTTCCTATTCTGGCTACCTGAGGTTGAAACGATACTTCCGGACCAGAGAAATGAAGGCGGTGACCTGTGCTAAATCTCTCCCGTTGCTGGTGATTTGTGTTGGTTGTTGTTTCTATTGGTGCGTGGTTAACTTCATCACCTCCATCTTCTCTATGTTCACTCGAAGTCCTCTTTTCACTGCCTGCTTCTTCAGCCAGTTTGTTAGTTTTCACCTTAGAGTCTTCCAGTTTGTGCGACATGAGACATAAATCATCCATGGGGGAAATCCAGATCTTCTAGAGTCTTCTAATCAGTGGTCAAACGTATTCATCGCTACCCATAGTCTGATGCATAATCCAGTCCACCACCACACTTAGGAATATCATCGGTATTCATTTCGAATGCCTCGTTGAATTTTCCGTCATATAAAGACTTGGACACTGCATACCTTGGTGTTGAGACAGTTTCCGAATTACCTCTTGGTTGATGATGTCTGTTGAAGGCCTTTTCGGAGTCGATGAAGCTCAGCTAGAGCTTTAACAGCCATTCTATGCTCTGCTCTGTGACGACAATGCGTAGAGTTGCAATTCAGTGATCAGTACATGATTTACCTTTCTTGAATCTAGCTTGTTCCGGTGGGTGGCGGAGTTATGTATCCAGTGCATTTTTATTCTCTCCAGGAGGATACGACTTATTATTTTACTTGGTGTGGACAAGAGCATTATTCCACGCCAGATCTTGCAGAGGCGCAAATGATAGTAGTGATAGCATTTATGTGACAGAATGACTAAAGTCAGGACAATAATAATAGTGATTTGCACTGTATTTCAAAACAGTGCTTATCACACAGCTTTGATTTCTCAACATTTTGTGCAATATTGCATCTAATTTACTCAGAAAACAAGCTACATGGTATAGGCTAACGAAACCGATAATAGCAGCTTTTTGGCATTAATAGCAACAACAAAGTCGAAAATGTACAAAAAGTATAAGGTAATAATAATAATAATGATGATAGAAACAGTGTCAACATAAATTACAAAGAAATAAAGAACCATTTATTTTACTAATTACATAATAAGTTATAAGTTTCACGCTCAATACTTTCTCCATCACATAAAACACGAGCAGGCGAAAAACGGTATCACTGAGTTTTTGTACTCAGCTGTACAAGCATATTATTATCTCTCGTAACGACTTCTAGTCCCACCAGATGAGATGCAGTGGGCGAGAGTTCCTAAATAAGGAGGGTGTTGACAGTCAGACAGCATGGATTTAGACCATTTCTCACATGAGCTCAAGTCTCTGTCGACAACAATGGTAACAGGAAGACTTAGTGACACACCACATACTCTACTGACAACCTTTAATATCCTTCGAAATGTGTCATAGTCCTTTTTGAGTAGCCCAGGAAAGGCTGAGTTGGGGGGGGGAGCAATAAGGAACAATAGGTAAGATGTAAGAGTCAATAGAGTGTAAAATTAGAGGTCGAGTGATGAATACCTGATTGTCTGGACTTATTAATGTAGTAAGTTAGACGGATATGGGACGATGAAGAAAGGTTACAGAAAATAATTAATCCAGGGTATTTCAGGCTTGAAGGTGAAGTCAACTGCCTGACGTTTGGTTGGATTTAAAGCAAGACCATTCAACTCAGACCACTGGTTGATGCCCGAGAAAAAACTATATACAGGATTTCATCATTAGCTGACATCGGTTAGAGATTTATTGGAAAACCAGCAGGGAGTACTGGATAGTCAGCTGTTTCGTCCTAGTTTGGGACTCTTCACAGTACGCACTTACCGCCAGGGTCCGAACCCATAACCTTCTGGTTACAAGACGAGCTAGCTCGTACGCCATTAAGCCACTGGGACCCGATAGAGATGCAAAGTTGATCTCGTTAGAAAGAGGAAAATAGCATAGGAGAATAGCACCTTGCAGGACGCCGGCTTATTTATGTGATAATCAAAATCATACAAGTCTAAATGAAAGCTATGTATTTGTTGCTGTATTTTTCTTTTTTTTGATGACTTTTATAGGTGATGATGGTAGACCTGGCTTACCTGGACTTCCGGGAACTCCTGGAGATGATGGATTACCAGGAGATAAAGGAGACCCAGGTATTGGTCACAGAGGTGCACCAGGCGATCCTGGAGACAGAGGTTATGATGGTCCTCAAGGTAAGCTATGAATTAAAGAATTTTTCAGACGATATATACACGTATGTATGATTAATTGGTGGGTAGATGAATTATGAAATACTTCTAGCAATGTGCTGAAGTACTCGTGAATATCCATCTTCTATGGGTTTAAAGATCAAACAATGCTGGCTTGGTAACCAAGTTAAGTAGAATTAATGAAGCACACTTAATGTGCAAGTAACTTCGAGGGTTGACAGGTCAGAAATGCATTGATAAAATGACAAGGGCACAATAAGACGGGAAAAAATGAGATGATTCTCTCCCTGGTGACCTCATAGTAGGCCAGAGTAAACAAAGAGAATGAACGTGTTTTTTTTTTGGACACATAAATCAGATTTCTTCTTATTAATCTCCATAGCTTCAGATATGACCAGGAGACGTAATCGTGTTTGGTACTAGATACACAACCGTAAATGGCTCATCTATTTTGATTCTGTGTTCACTGTCCACTAAATAAGACAAAGTAGCATTATTTATTGATTTGGTCACTCATTTTCCAGAGCAAATTGGTACCTGTTCACATGTTCACAAGTGTGTAAAGATAAATTCCTCTGAGGTCGACCTATACTACTGTGGCGAGAGCTGTCTGCTAGCCAAAATTTTAGACAACAATTTACGTCAATGTTACGTCCCGAATCGGGGTCATGAGAAAAAACAACAATAACAAAGCTTAACCTTGAGGAGCTCACCGACCAATCACAGCAGACTTAACGTGTGCAAATACGATTCGCAGATATATGGCTTAACTTTCTAAGAAATGGCCACAAAGAGATAACAGAATAACCTTCAGCAAGAAAACAACTGGCCAAAAGAAGTGACTCAGTAAATGATCTGTTGCCTGGCCCTTATCTTTCGTCGTTACACTACTAGCTCTGCCTTTATACAACAGAATAATAGTAATAACAATAATGATAAACTTTTATTATATCTGACATTCTAACTCTCTGCTAAATTTTTCTTATAGGCCCTAAAGGTCCGAAAGGTTTGAAAGGTGAACGTGGTTTGCCAGGTACAAAAGGAGCTGGTCGACCTGGTCCACCTGGTGAAAAAGGTGAACGTGGCTTAGATGGTCTTGCTGGAAAACACGGAAAAGAAGGACCTCCTGGACCACAAGGTTAGTTTGACTATCTTCATTATCTATAACTTCGGCTGCCTCCTTTATTGTGAAAATCAAACGGTCAGAATTTGATACGGGTCATTTATCGTCAAGTGTGCATCAGTACTTAGAAAACTGCATATGCATAAAGTGAATGTTTACAATTCTTCAGGGTTGATAAACGGGTCATCATCACTTCACTACTTCCACTTACAGCTCATGTAGATTGCGTTCGCAGATTGATATAAATCCTTGGAATTGTGTTATTTGAGTAGAAATCATTAGAAAATACTCTTCTAGTCAGACTACTTGTGACTCTCTCCAGTTCTTATATCAGCAAGATTTCAACTCCTGTTCTAGCAAAAAGTAATCTACAACCTGAGGAACTGAATATAACAAACGAGGAAGTTATGCTGTATGATGTTTGATATTATTTCTCTGCAAGACTAAGTTTTCACGTGAAGAACTTCCGACACTAATATAGATGATTATCTGTAAGGCTCCCACAGACAATAAGTAATAGTTAGAATACGATGCCAGCTTGATTTTTGATACAATTACTTCACTTTTTCAGATAATAGACTATATGCAAGAAAATTTGACAGGTGTCGACAAGTGTAGTGTGCGAGTGAAATGAATCACTAATAAGATTTCCCACACTTATTCCCTTTTTGATGAATTTGAATAAAGCAAGAACAAGAGTGGTTTGTTCAGAATAAGATAATAACATCATTTATTTTGACGGCTTCTCATCACAAGCTGCATACGGCTTAAAGAAATTAGCTGTTGTCTTGACGTGGTGGTCGCCGGACTTACATACTGGAATGACTCGACAGGCTACACTGGCTAGAACTAGTTTTCCTGCAGGTCCTACCATGCCAGGAAGATTGTTAGGATAGCGATTAGACTAAAAGCAGTTACCGACATAGTGTAAGATTCTTTTGTTTTTACACTATTCTGGGGATCTGTGGGCAAAGTCGTACTGCTGGGAACAGGGATATAGCAGCACCCTGGAAAGAGGGGATTAGAAAAGGTCGTCCCCAAAGTTTGTACATCCTGACTTACCCTTTGTTGGTCCGTAGCCGGCTGTTAGTTACTAATACGGAACCAGACCTAAAAGCTAGTTCAGACAGGCCGTGTATGACCGGCCTCAAGCAGTTGTCCCCTGGGCTCTACCGTCACGCAACACTAATTCCCTTTCTATTTCAGGTACCTCAAGAATAAACCAGTCAGTTATTATTTCCATGTTGAAAGCAACTTTAACTTACTTCCAAATGTTAAATAATGTCAATCGATGACGGGAAACTTTAAACTTAATAAATAGTGCTCAGACATTATACCTACCTAGACTAGGCCCAGAAAGTTCACGTTTTAACAAAAATAAGTGTTTGGATACAATGGCATCAACAACAAAATTCGGATTTTCAATACAAACGACGTCAAGTCAGTCAGTTCTTCTATACGGATCAGAAACTTGACCAGTGTGTCACAAAGAATATTTCCAACAGCCTGTTGCAGACCTTTATCAACAACTAACTGTCTTCGCTCTATACTGAAGATCAGATGACCGGAAAGAATCACCAACAAGAAACTATGGGAACAAACAAAACAAGAACCAATCGCCCAATAGATATGCAGGAGAAAGTGGAGATGGATTGGACACTCGCTGAGCTGAGGAGTCCGTTGGGTGACATCGCGCGTCAGGCCATAGCTCGAGTGGAACTCGAAAGGGAAGCGGCGAGTGGGACGTCAATTCTAGGGTGACATGGACGAGATCGTGTGAAGAGGAATTGAAACAGATGGAATAACATGGATGCAGGTGAAAAGTAGAGCAGAAGACAGAAGCGAGTGGAGACGTGCATTTGAAGCCCTATGTTCCACTAGGAACCCAAGGGAATAATAATACAATGGCAAAAGAGTTACGTAATAAAGTCAATAGGTGAACGAGATGATGAGTAACTAATAAATTGAGCAACAGTGTGATTGGTGGTTTCAACTCAAATCACAGAAACAAGAGACAACAGAGTTACACTCTATTAACGAGGAGAGAGGTTAAGGGCAAAGATTACGTTATCAGATGAGAGGGAGTAAAGACACCCAGTTACCAGGTGGGCAAGGAAATATTGATAACTGCTTCTTTCTGAATACATAAATCAGTTTTCAAGAGTTCGGTAGTGACTGCTTCAGCAAACCTGAGGAGAACTGAACTTTTTTACCTATTGATAATTCTGAAGGATTCTGTGATTCTAGACGTCAAAAGACATGACATCCACTCCCTCGCTTATATCACTACATACAGACAACCACGAGCATCAATTTGACTGAGACAACCAGCGTTCAAATATTAGACAGAGGAAACACCAAGAATGCTAGAGGATTTTTAGAAGCTTGGCATTCCAGTGAATCATCAATCAATAGACACATCGAGATTGACAAAATCTACCAACCGATAAGAAAGAAACCTCACACACAAAGGGTCAACGTTCAAGTCAAAGAAACAATCAGTTCCAATAAAAGTAGCCACCATAGGGTGTGAAAACAACCAATGACGTCCAAGGTCGTCCACCAGGAGAGATGATTAATAAACTCGTGGAGAAATCTAAAAGCTCACTTCAATTCAAATTTAAGTATGGGCGCTGAAGATGTCACCTAGTAGGGTGATGAAAGCTTCGCAAATTAACTATCCAACTAGCTCAGAGAACACAGCCACATCAAAATCATCCACCTGAGCTACAGATCTTCTCCATCAATTCTGTGATGTCTGCCTTATGACCCATATTGATGAAATGTCTAGTTATAGAACTACTGTGAGCGTTTTTCCCTTGAGACGTAGGCTTTTTGACACATGTTTCCGTTCTCTCAATGTTACTACTACGACAAATACACGTAAATGTCTATATGAAAAGGGTATCTGTAGACTTTAGACTGCACCGAAAGGGCATGTTGTCCGATAAATGGTAATCAACGCAGCTGATGACGAGAAACCAAAGAAATAAGTGATAGTACCGTCTTTTTCCGGACAAACTACTGTTCTCTCTTTATTGAAAGTAATAAGACTGTTATCAGCCACATAAATAATCTCTCCGTGATGTCTAAATAAAACAAGTTGATTTACTGCGATTACTGTATTCCAACATTTCTAGGTGCACCTGGTGAACGATGCAGTCTATGTAAACCTGGTATACCTGGAGCAAAAGGTGAAAAAGGTGATCCTGGTCCAGCCGGTCTTCCAGGTCCTAGAGGTCGTGATGGTGCTAAAGGTGAACGAGGAAGTCGTGGTGCTCCTGGGAACCAGGGTCGTATGGGTTCACAAGGTTATGAAGTAAGTTGGTTTTATTGAATTAACTGTCTGTCTGTCTGTTTTCGGCATAGAACTTTGCACCGATATGCGGGATTTCGAGTTGCCACACTCCATGTAGCACACAAAGCAAGAGAAGAAAGTAGGAGAAACGCATATTGGAGACAGTAAACAGAGGTGTGGGACAAAGTAATAGTAATACCGAAGAACAATATAGTTTCATTGGAAATTATAAGTCACAAGGAATGGATGCATCTGCGCCAGTCATTGAGAAAGATTTTGAGCCATACCACCAATTGTTTCCAACCATTGGATTTTATCGTCCCGAGGACCCCAACCCCCATGTTTTCGTTTGACCGCCGCTAGCTCTTTTCCAGCCTGACCCTAAATCAGCTGACATTGCCCGTCGAGGAAGGCGATGACTAGGCATACTTAACACATGCCCTAACCACTTCAGTCGATGTAATTTCACAGCCTCGTCGATTGATTTCCCCTCCTTACCTAGCCTAGCACTCGACGCCTAACCTCAATATTGCTCACCTTATTATACCACTTCACACGGGAGATAGAACGCAGGCACCTATGATCAAAGACAGCTAATCTTTTCATGTCTTCCACTCTCAGTAGCCAGGTCTCACAACCATAAAGGAGGACGGAGTGAACTGCTGAGCAGTTCACACGCCCTTTGGTCGACAACCAGCCGGATATCACGTCTACACCAGAGACGGCGTAAACTGGCATATGCGAAACTAGCCCTCTGTATCCGTTCTGAGATTTCGTCAGAGATCAACCCGTTGGGTTTGATGGTACTTCTCAAATAAGGGAAGTGCTCAACGTGCTGTACCACTTCACTCCCTATTTCAGTCAGTTTAGTCCAGTCCTGTAACATCATCTTACATTTGGCGGTAGCAAATTGCATGCCAGACATTCGTAGATTGCAGCTCAAAGTGTTCAGAAGACTCTGCATTTTGTCAGCGTCCTCGCCTAGAAAGACTATATCGTCTGCATATTCTAAGTCAACGAGATTATTCCCTGGCGGTAACAAGTCTCTGAAGTGAGTTAGGGTTAAGTCCACTAGTACATCTGTAATGAAATTGAATAGAAATGGGGATTAACTACAGAATATGAATGTCGTATTTTCTAGATATAAGTGTGAATGCTCAGCTTTTTGTCTTCATAATAGATTTTAAAATACTTTATACAATTATGTGTTATTACCCACAAAGTAATTTATAATCTACCTCAACATTATGGAGTGCAGTGTCGCAGATAATTATCGATCCCATTCCAGAGACATATTACAGTGCCACACGTCAAATAATTCACAGTGGAAGGCTCATAGAAGCTTTTGATGTGAATACTGGCGTAAGATGAGGCTTCCTACTATCACCGACGAGATTCCTAATTGTGGTGGACCGGATTATGCTGAACACCCTCCGGGAGAGCGACAAGACAGAAATATCTTGGACCGATAAGACTACTCTCGAATATCTGAACTTCACGGATAATTTATGTCGAATACTATGCAAATTCGAGGACTTACAGGGGGAAACCAACAAGTTGTCAGAAGAAGCAGCCAGTGACGACAAGACCTAAAGTAAACATGAAGAAGATGGAGGTGATGGCGATTACCACCTACCAAATACAACAAGTGGCAACCACTATCAACGGGAGGAATTTGAAAGAGGTCCAGTCCTTCACTTCTCTCACCACGCAGTATCATTTCAACTACAGGCAGACTGCATGGGATGACGGTGTCAAAACCAGAATCAGAAAGACAAGACACCACCCTTGGTCACTCTGAAATCACTTTCGAAATCTTCTAGACTCAGAATAAAGAACGGAATTCGGATTCAAGTATTGGCTTGCAGGGATTTGATTGATTGGTTTCAGGATTTCTTCACGAGCTGACATCGGTTCGAGGACTATTGGAAAACCTGGGAATACTGGAAAGCCAGCTGTTTCATCCTAGTTCTGGACTCTTCACAGCACACTCACCGGGGTTCGAACACAGAACCTTCTGGTTACAAGGCAAACTAGCTCGTAGACCATTGAGATATTTTCAACAACAGCGTTGAGTCGTTCAATTCTTCTATATGGCTTAGAAACTTGACTGATTTGTTACGAAAAGCATTTCCAAAAGTTTGCTACAGAATTTTATCAACAGCTGTCTTCGTTGGCTCCATACCGATATCAGACGGCAGATCAAAAAGAATTAGCGACAAGGAACTCTGGAGGCAAGCCACTGGGACAAGACAAGACACCTACTGCTCAACAAATATTCCGAAAAAAATGGAGATGGATCGGACACATAGTGATAAGAGTGATGGGTGATATCATGAGTGGAGTCCAAATAGGAAACAAGCTGTTGGGCATGTGTCTAAGTGTGACATTGAAGAATCTGTGTGAAGAGGAGATGAAAGTTTATGGGAAGTCGTGGGATCAGCTGAGGAGGACTGCAGAGAACTGGACAAAATAGAGATGTTATGTTGAAGCCCTATGTTCTACTCAGAAGAACCCAGGGGAATAATAATAAATGAATGAGTTATTACATAAAATAACGAAGGATAAATATTAAAAGAGTATGAAAGAATGAATGGTCGATTTGCAAGTTTCATCAATCACACTACTCCTCGAGATAATGCTAGCTGACTCTTTTTTTTCTTAAACATACCATTAAAATGCGTGCCTTCTCATGAACATATTGTCATCTTTGACATAGATTTTTCAAAATTTATCTCCTCTCATAAGAAATATATGAATATGAACCTGATAATGAACCTGATTTTATAATGATCTCTATATGAAGGTTAATCTATTGCTGCCAAATATATTTTTAAACTAAATCCCTGTAATTCTGACTCAATGAGGTTCTGTGGAAATAAGGTTTATTGATATAAGAATAGGACTTGTGCACTTGGGTGGTCGAGAATAATTTCATTGTGGGTAAAATTTATTTTGATAAAGTCTCACAATGTTTGTTATACAGTAATATTTACTGATGCCACCACGTTTCGAGCACAACTTATTGTTGCTCGGTTTGTTAGAAACTTAACTGTTAAGGCAGGTTTAGTTAAGTTAAGTGTCTAACAAACCCAGCAGTAGCACTAATTAGTACAAAAAAAGACCTAAATGATGAAATAAAACAGATAGAAGAAGCGTTGGTATCAAATAACTATCCTATTAAATTCATTAAGAAGGTCAGTAAAGGCCAAAAGAGAAATAAAAATAAATTGTGAAACTAGTAATGATAACATAAATAAGAGTGAATATAAAGCATCTACTGTTATACCATATAAGGAGGGGACATCTGAGACCTTATGCAGGATTATTAATAAATCAGTAATTAGAGCGACATTCAAACCTACAAACTGACTCAGACAGGACAAGCTCTGTAGGTTAAAGGACCCTGTCGGTTGACCCAATTAGACAAAATAATATGATTTACAAAATACCTTGCAATGACTGTCAGTTAAGTCAATTACATAGGTCAAACTAGTAGGTCAGGGGGTAGTCAGATTGTCGGAACATAAGAATTTAGCTAAGGTAAGAATGGTTGACCCTGAGAAGATAAGTAATTTAGAAAAAAGCTCGGCGATTGCAATGCATGCATTAACACACAACCACACAATAGGGTGGGAGAGGGTTAAAATTCTAAAAAGTAATCTAGGTAGGTGGAAAGAGAGGTTGATTACTGAATCTTTGTTCATCGAATCTACACCCAACACATGCAATAGGAATGAATCATCACTCATACCCGAAATATGGAAAATACTACTACCAGTCAAATCAAGCGATGAAAAATCATGGAATCATATAAGCGAAGTTAGAAAGTTGTGTGAGCAATGTCTTGATATGACTATGAGCAATAATTTTTGCTCAAAAAATCATCAGTAAATATTACTGTATAACAACACTGTGAGACTTTATCAAAAGGAAACAAGGATTATCTAGGTACACTATATTACCATCATATTTATTTTGGTGAGGATATGAAGTCGTCTAGAAAGGTGACGAGAAACAAACCGTTGCTGGGTAATTATTTCCCCCTAGTTTTTCACTCAATTAGCAGCACCTCCTAACAATCCTACAGTGGATCTAACTACATAGAATCAGGTTTTGCGATGACTACTTTATCATACATGCAGTCTTCAGGACCTTACCAGTCTATGATGCCTAACTTCTGTGAATTCACTCTATGGCACAATCGTCACTCATTGTTATTGATAAGTACTATCCTTCTTGACTTTGTGTACCTCATGGGACATGGTTTTCAACTAAAAACCTACTCATTAGCGATGGAATGGCATTCAACATTTATGTTAGGTGAGTATGCTTAACTGGTGTCAAAGTAGACTTCTCCACACATTGACATCAAAAAGAAGCAACTGTTGAATTAGTAAGACAACAGCTCAAAGACCACCTTGTTTCTAACAATATACCTGAATGTCAGTATCCCAAGGATGTATGGTTTTGTTCAGTAAATTTATAGTCCTCTAAAAGAGTCTTTAGCAAATTTGTTACTATAACTACAGAAGACAAGGACCAGGAAGTAGATCGTTTATTGATAAAATCAACAGATATTTATAGATTTTTATGTGCATTATTGTCAGTGGAGAAGCAACCTCTTCAGATTGGTTGTCTTCTTGCTGAAGGTTATTTTGTACTGCTTGTAACCGTTTCTCAGAAAGTTATGCCACATATCTGCCAATCGTGTTTGCACACGTTAAGTCTGATGTGATTGGTTGTTAAGTTCCTCAAGGTTAAGCTTTGTTACTGTTTTTTCTCATGACCCCGATTCGGGACGTAAGCACTGACGTCAATTGTTGTCTACAATTTTGGCTTGCAGCCAGTTCTCATTACACTATTAAATATTATTACACTATTTATATATATAACATGTAAATATTTGAATTATTTCTCTTAGGGTGATCAAGGTGAACATGGTCTTCCTGGACTAAAAGGAGCGAAAGGTGAACCAGGCGAAACAAGAACAGAATACACTGGAATTCTTAAAGGTCCTAAAGGTTATCCTGGAGTGGATGGACCTAAAGGTGACAAAGGAATCAAAGGTCTTCCAGGTTCTCCTGGAGAGAAAGGCGATCGTGGATTAGAAGGACGACAGGTTAGTATAATTAATTAATAATAATTAAAATGTGATTGCATTCATGCTTATTCATTGGATAAATAGTTCTGACATGATAAAATGATTTTATTCAACTACCAGTGTGGGTCGTCAGCGCGAGAGTGACATGGATGAGATCGTGTGGCGAGTAGGAGATGAGACATTTTGGGCAATCGTCGACCGAGATGACGAGGACGGCACCAAATAAAACAAAGTGTAGATGTGTTGTTCCACTGGGACCCCAAGGGAGTAATAGTATTAACCAGAATAGTGAATACAAACGTATTTAAGTGTTGGTTTGTAGGGATTTGATTGGTTACAGGATTTTCATCATTAGCTGACATTAGTTAGAGAACCACTGAAAAACCTGGGAGTACTGGACAGCTGTTTCGACCTAGTTTGAGACTCTTCAGCAGTACGCACCCACCGGGATTCGAACCCGAACTAAATAAAAGTCGTTCTTGGTAGCTATCGACCTCCCATTGTCTTTAACTCTATGTAACAGATAGATTGTCATTGTTATTGTGAATATTAAAATCATTTTACTTTTCAGGGGGATCCTGGTTTACGAGGTTTACCTGGACAAAAAGGTCCTAAGGGTATACTGGGCGAAAAAGGCTACAAAGGTGCATCAGCAGAAGTCAGATTTGGCGTTAAAGGTGAAAAAGGTCAACCAGGACGTCCTGGACTCAAAGGTGATCTAGGTGATGCTGGTGAACCTGGAAACTGTACTGTAAATGTTATTCAAAGTCGTAACTTAACTGGTAAGTTTATAAAAAAAAATGAACAAAGGATATCTTTTTCGACAGTTTCCTCTTCCGGCTCTACACTTATATGTGTATATTTATTTACACTGAAAATTCTAGAATAGTCGTCATTAACAAAATTGGCGTTTTTTGAATAATATCGATTTGGTATGTAATGGGAGAAACCTGAAAGAAACAACCTCCTTTACCCACCTACCTGGGAAGCATCGTTTCAACTACAGGCGGAACTGACGAAGATATCAAAGCAAGAATCGGAAAAGCAAGACAAGCTTTCACTACTCTCAAGTTTGTGTGGAGGTCAACAGCACTCAACATGAAAGTGAAAATAAGATCCGGATTTTCAACTCCAATGTGAAGTCAGTGCTACTTGCTATATGAATCAGAGACTTGGCGCGTCATGAAAGCCATTTCAAACAAACTACAGACCTTCATTAACAGTTGTCTTCGCTCAATACTTCTCTCAGGATCAGTTGGCCAGAAGAGATCAGCAACAGAGATCTCTGGGAGCAAACCAACAGGGAACCGATTATGCAACAAATAGGTAGGAAGAAATGGAGATGGATTGGATTAGCCATACTCTGAGGAAACCATCAAATGACATCACTAGACAAGCCATAGCTCGAGTGGAACCCGAAGGGGAAGTGGCGAGTTGGTTGTCAGTGCAAGGGTGACTTGGAGGAGGTCATGTGAAGAGGAGATGCAGGCGTGTGGGCAGACTTGGAGGCAGGTGAAGACTCTAGCAGAGAATCGGACTCAATGGAGACGCACGACTGAAGCCCTATGTTCCTCTAGGAATTAAAGGAAGCAATAATAATAATAATCGATTCGGTAAAACCAATGAAATTACAGTTCAAGAAACAGTAATAATAGCAAATAGAATATCAGGTAAAACTAAGGAAGTTTCCACAACAAACTGAGGATCATTTAAACCTTCATAGCCAAGGTAAGGATAGTGTGTGAACCAACCAACTTCTTTTGGATACATAAGTTAGGTTTCTTAATATAGATCCCTACAGCCTCAGAAATATGCAATAGACGAACTCACAGGGTAAAAATAAAGATTAGCAGGTATGCGGTAGATGATTTTGAAAACCCTGTTAACATAAATCTTGTGTTCTGTATCCACGAGATGAGATAGAATAGAGTCGTGAATGGATTTCGTTTGTCCCTTAATTAACCACGCAGCATATGTAACTGCCTCCACAGGAGCAGTCAAATTGGTAGATACACACAGAAGGGGCGAAATTAGGTAGTTTATCTTTCACTCCCGAACACAAAATAGGGGTGGTTCTGAAGATACAGCATAATTCAGCATCACTATTTTTACCGCATTCCTTATGCCTTGTGTTAATATCTCAATGATGTTATCCCCGAGGAACTGAATTTGTAAGAATAAGGCCTTTTTCGGAACTGTTGGTACTTTGGCCTGCCTTGACTTTTGATTTACACTCTTATCGATGAATTTTTCTGGGTAACCGTTCTCACTCAACAACTGCTTAGAATTATTAAGCTCTTCACTAGGACATTCATCCGACCAGACTGCTCTTGCTCTGTGAAGCAAGCACTTTATCAGATTGCGTTTGTATTTCAACGGCATGAAGCTGAAAAAAATGAGTATACTGACCAGTTGATGTAGGTTTTCTATATACACTTTTTCTTATTTTGTACTGTCCTCTTTTCTAGTCACAAGGACGTCTAGGAATGAAATACTAGAGTCTCCTTCTTTCTCTATGGTAAAATGTGTTGCAGGATGAATATCTTTAAATGTCTCCAGGATGTTCTTTGCTTCATTCTCATTTTTCATAATTAAAAATGTATCATCCATGTACTGACCGTAGAATTCTAGTTCATCAGATACATTATTCAAAGGCCTTTTCTCTAGTTTTCCAAAGAAAATGTCAGAATGCAAAATATGTCTGAGGAATATTAGGTACATTATTAGAAAGTTTTAGAAACAATAGAAAAATTTATAAAATAAGTAGAATAGCTTCACGACAATATTTACTCTTTAGCCTAAAGTCTTTTATCTTAACCGACTACGTTAAGCTAAGTAGTGGCTTGTCTAGTATTACGGCAAATTTCCAGATAGACCTCAAGCAGAGGCGATGCATTGGGTGTATTCCCTAACTGTGGGCTCCCCTGTTGAGTCACTATCTCAACCAAGCATACAACATCCTTAGAAACATATAAGCCATGAAAACGGACACCTTATGTCAGACATCCTTTCAACGCTCTCACCCTTCACTGTCCGGCCTCAGCTTCCCCTGAGTCGCTTCTCAGATGGTACATACTAAACCACTTCAGTGGATCATGACAATGCCCACAGGAAATTCTCAACGTATGCACAAGGCGTATACAACCACTATCCTAGTGGCTGGGACATTCTTACAATAGGCCTGTGAGGGCGATGTAAATATCAACCATTACTCCCCTGACCAACGTAGGCATAAGTAGAACCACTCATTCTGAAGAGAAGTACCGTACAGGCAAGTGCATTAGGAAAACCCGATGAACCTCAATCATCTCATCCCAGTCCAGGTAACTCAGTCCACACCCCGAAAAATTGGTAGGTCAAAATACTTTCCTATGTTAGGACAACGGTCATATAGACCCTCTCGGAATGAAGTACATAAGTGATGAGCAGACTACGGGTGGATACTCCCACAGCTGCTCTGTTATCAATACATCGTGAGTGGTACCCTGACGCTTAAGTGTTTGAACAACTTGCGGTCGCTCCACCAACCTGCGCTATATGACATCTGGACAGTCTTGAAGACCGCGACCAACCACAGATCACAGATGCATTCACTCTGCAGTTGGGTCAAACAACCTCAAAATTATCTAATCTGTGTTTTAGTTCATAAGAATTAGTTAGTTTAGATTTCGAGTGGATTTTTGGGGGATTTAATACCATGGCTAAATATTTAGATAATTCATAATTGGACTTCCGATCATCCCATCCTATGTCAGTAAAAATAGGATTGGTGAAATGCTTAAGTGAAAGAGTACAAAAACTAAGTAGTACCAAGGAAAATCTAAAACAGGAGCTGATACATATAAAAGAAGCCTTGAAACTTAATAACTACTCGGATAAATTTTTTTTTATTCCTTCACGTTCCCAGTGGAACATAGGGCTTCAAGTTTCTGTAGCAGTGTTTTTTATTTTACAGGATGTGGTTGCTAGCCTCATGCCCAACCTTTTCTCTTTACCAGCTTTTATTTCTGGTTTAAAGAGGTAAAGGAGTGCGTCGGTAGGGGATCGAACCCGGACCATATGCATGGTAGGCGAGCGTCCTAACCGCTATGCCACCGACGTACACTCGCATAGGTTAGTCAGGGAATATGTAAGGAAGTGAAAAATGAAATAAATAATGATAGTAGTGATAGTGATAATAATAATATTATTATTATTAATGACGACACGCATGCCAAATATGCGTAAGATAATGGCAACACCAACAATAAGGAATCTAAATCATCAGTAGTAATTCCATAGAAGGAAAGAACCTCGGAAACCATAGGGAGAATTCTTAGCAATGAAGGAATAAAAGTGACTGGCATTCAAACCAACCACAAACTCAATTAGAATCAAGCTTTGTCGGTTAAAGGATCGATCCTGTGGAGCCTTTAAAACAGAACAGTTTAGTTTATCTAATACCCTGCCTGAGATGATTGTCAGGTAAAATACATTGGTCAAAGTAGTAGGACAGGGGTTAGTCAGTCAGACTAGTGGAGCACAAAAACCTAGCAAAATCTAGATCAGTTGACCAGAATAAGATAAGAAATCTAGAGAATAGTTCAGTCGTAGATAGCACTACATGCAATTACGCACATACAACCATACAATAGGATTGATGGGACAAGGTGACAGTTTTAAAATCTAATGCAACAGGGTGGAGGGAGGGATTGATAACAGAAGCTTTGTTTATCGAATCAACTGCAAATACGTGTAATGGGAATGATTCAACACCTGTCCACCCGGATATCTGGAATATTCTACTACCCCTACGACGACAAATAGGAGAGGACAAAGGAAACTATAAAACTCGAGTTTCGAAGTTGTGTGATTATAATTGATGAAATGACTATGAACAATAATAAATTGTGTTGGAAACCTTGTCATCCAGTAAATAATACTGTTCCACTGTGTGATACATCTAATAAACAAACTAATATTGAATTACTTACTACCACAGGTCCCAAGTTTTACACATATATTCCTTTGCAATTAGTTCCTCATCATCGGCTGGCTCCACACTAATATGTAGTTTTTTGATTGGACGCTAGTAACTAGTGTCGTGCGCCTAGACCTTTCTTTGGTGCAGACTGGATTCTATCAGTCAGTCAAGTTTGCAATGTGGCCACCATTCTAGGTAGCCCGCCATCACGGTGCACATTCATTTGATGGTATTAGATGCTTGGAGGTAATTGGCGGTATCAAAAGTTTTTAACAATCAAGCGGTTATTGTAGTTAATCACTTTCACGTATAGGTGGGAGGGAATTAAGAGGTTAAAAGTTATCAAAACAATTAACTAATAGATTTTAGTAACAATATATCTAAGTTTCGAAGGAAAGATGGAAATTAATTAATTAATTACGGAATTCAAGATAATCTGATTCTTAGGCGTTGGCACCAAGTTGTTGCATAATCAAGAAATTTATAAAATAGCAATGATGACTAAGAAGAATAGGATGACTCAAAAGAATTACGCAAAATACAAACAAGTTAATAGAATTAGCTAGAATTGTAAAAATTAACAAAGTCAAAAGATAGTTACAAAGGGAAGAATAAAATCGTTTTTACATACTTGATGCATATTATATAGTTGGCCAGGGTGAAGAAAGAGGCTGCATAAGTTCCTTTTGAACGCTCAGATTTGGCTTGTTCGGATGAATTCCGATTGCCTCTGCTGTATGTAAAAGTAGTACTCATAGACCATGCGAGAGGTTGGGTGATATATGATAAATAACTTAAAAAGCTTTGTTATACTCGATGTGATGTCCATTGTCGACGAGATCAGTTAGTTTTGAGCCGCGCATAGATTTGCTCGGACCTTTGCCAAACCAAGATGGGAGGTATCCAGAAATTCGACGATGAACTTGCATGATCGTACGCCCAATGTAACTAGATCCTCCACACAAGCAGTTAAACTGGTAAATACACATGGAAGAGGCAAAACAGGGCCGTTTCTATTGGTTGGCTAGTGAATACACAGCATAGCTTACCTGCATTGAAATTCCTTTTGATGGGCCTTTTTAAACGTTGTGATAAGATCACCCTATTGACATCACCCCTGAATTGTAATCGTAGGAAGACTGATTTTCGGGAACTGTAGCCCCTTTCGACTTTTTACTTTTTGAGTTCATGCGTTTGTTCAAGAATTTAGTTGGATATCCGTTTCTACTTAGTAAGTGGCGAATATTACCGACTTCTTCGTTCAGTGTCTCATTTGAACAGATAACTCTAGCCTGGTGACTATTGATTGTTATACAACTCTAATCTGCGTTAATTTTTAATATTAATTATCTTTATTCATACTTTTGTACTTTCAGTGGAAAAAGGTGATCGTGGTCCTAAAGGTGAACCTGGACCTAGAGGCGACAAAGGAAAACCAGGAGATGAAGGTCCACCTGGAAAACCTGGAGATAGTGGAATTAGAGGTGAAAAGGGAGTCCCAGGAGTACCTGGAATTCCTGGAGTGAAAGGAATAGTGGGTTTACCAGGTAAGACAATCTTTTTAATCTCAAGACAATATATATATATATTCATATCCTATGGGCAAAGTTCAACAATAGCGTCCCAGGAGTGCGAACGCACGAGTGACCTTCAGCTGACCAGTCATAAAAATGAGGAATGTTTGCTCAAAAAATGATGTATATTGGCAAGAAAATGCTTGAAAACGCATTAAACAGGTTATCTTTCTCTGACATGGCTTAAAAATACGTCCTAGTTATATCGAGGAGTATCAGTTGCTAAGTTAGACTAGTTTCTGTACATGTATTCACCGAGATGACTACAGATAAACTGTTTTTGTGAATCGTTTATCTCTCTCGTCCTGCTTGCAGTCTTCCAAAAAGCCCTCGGTTGAATTATTATGGTTACCAGCAAGAGGGTAGACCACTACTTACCAGGAAAACGTGGATAATAAAACAAATTAAAATAAATGACATCAACTTTGAATCTATCCCTAATCGTAACCATAAGCTTAATCCTGACCCTAACACTAAACCTAACATTAATCCTAACCCTGATCATAACCCTTATTCAAACCGTAATTCTAACCCTAATGCTAATTATAACGCTAATCCTAACCCTAACGAGCTATTAACACATTGTCCAAACAGTACTTAAAAACGTGATTTGGGTGAATAGCGTTAATATTTCAGCTGTGATAGTGATAGATGCCATTGGCCAACGACTAGCATGCGTTCAAGGTCATTGGAGCGTTCACACTCCTGGGACGCTATTGTTGAACTTCGCCATCCTATGAATTCCATCAGAATGGAACTGCACACAGAAGTGATTATATAAAAGTGTGGGATAAGATTATTCTGTGTAATTCCCTGATATGTGTTCAGCTTATTTATTCACCTCATTCAAGAACTCTCTTTTATAAATTTGAGCAAAGAAAGAACAAACGTTGGTGCAGAATAACATGAATCTACTTTATTTTGTCGGCTCTCATCAGCTGCACGCAACCTATAGTCTTTGATAAACAAAAGTCAGCGTAAAATCAAACATACTTTTGTATATCAACAAGCATATCGTAAGATTGTCATGGTAAGTTCAGACATCAGGGTGACAAGGTAGCTGAAGTAATACAGTAAAAGTATATATATATATATATATACATCTTGTTAGACAGACGTTTCCAGAAAATTAATTGAAAAGTTTGTTGTTACGTTGGTAACAAGAAAAACTCATCGAAGAAGACATTGCGAAGTGATCACGCTATGTCATGAATCAGCAGAAGTTAGAATTCATGAACTGGCTATTGGATCTTGTCCAAGTTGCTTAACGGTGTACGAGCTAGCTCCCCTGTAAACAGAACGTCCTGGGTTCGAACCCTGGCGGTGTGTACGCGCTGCTGAAGAGTCCTGAACTAAGATGAAACAGCTGTTTAGTACTCCCTACAGGTTTTCCAATGGTTCTCTAACCAATGTCAGCTCATGATGAAACCTTCCAACCAATCAAACACAATCCCTACAAAACCAATACTTGAAAAGTTTATTGTTAGGCAGGTAACAAAAAAAATAGTAACAGTTACGTAATCAGACAAGAGGAGATTAAAATTTGGTGTGTAAGAGGTCAAATGAAAAGATGATAATGTAATATCATAATGTCAAGAAAAATTATCCCCTATAAAAGTCAAACAGAAGAAAGAGGGGATGTCTGAAAAGATAAGTCAATGAAATTAGAACACAGAGAGTTATTAGGGGATGAGTCACCAAGGTAATTGGAGTCCAGTTAAAGATTCTTTTAGGACACACAGGTCAGACTCCAGCCATTTTACTGCGACAGCCCCAACAAACCGAAGAAGACTTGAGCCATTTTGTCCGTCAATTACTTTGAATGATGCCATCGCGTTTACTTAGTATCCAGTGTCTGTCAGGAGTTTGGTAAGTGAAGAGTCTAAGCCGCTTGGGCCCTTTAACCGAGAGCTGCTTGGTACATGTTCGAAGATTCTGAAGTATGCCCTTCTTTCTGTTCTTCCAGTGTAACTGCTCCTGCAGATACTTATGAATTGGTATATTCAGTTGGAGTTAGCATATGAGGGGAACTTGTCGATCTTTGACTGCATCAACGAGGAAGATGTTTGGAGCAGAGAGATTAGTTTTCCTGCAGGATACATCCTGAACGCGGTTGCGCTTAATCTTTTACTTATGACTCCCATTGAATCATCGTCTCTGAAGTAGAGTTTGATGGAAACTGGCTTCTTGCTGACAGTAGCCGCATCAGATTTTTTGCGTTCATTCTCGTCATATTTGTTAATGAAGCTTTGTGGATAACCACTTTTTTTCAAGCATTTCCCAAGAAGCATTAGTTTACTGTCTAATTTGTCCGGTGAACGTATTCTTTTCGCTCTCTAGAAAGATGTTTTCACCAGCGTTCGTTTGTAACTGACTGGGCAGAAGCTGTCGAAATTTAGATGGAGACCGCTCCAAGTGTCTATACCATATATTGATCTCTCGAGTATCCCATCCATTTTTCTCTCCAACCTTGTATACAGAAAGTGGAAATTACCAGCATCTTCATGCCCCATCGTGAAAGTGATACTCTTATGCACATTGTTGAATAAGCCCAATAGAGATGAAGCGTGACTCAAAGCACTGCATACAATGAATAGGTCATCTACGTATCTATTTGCTGTTGTTTCATCAATTGCACACTTAAGTTTTGTCTGTTCCAGTTAATACAGGACCTGATGGACTCACTCACCATAGCCACTCCATCAACCTGGAATTGTACATCCTTGGTGCATAACTTAAGTAGCTGCTTAAACTCCAGTTTTGGTAGAAAACGCAAATCAGCATGTTGACAGATAATGTCTAACGTCTCATGCAGTTGGACCAGAATGAATGAATATTAAAGTCACATCAAAGGAGACCAGGAGTTTGTCACCTACGTTAAGTTGACTGACTCCCTTCTTCATCGAATTAGAACGAATATTTGAGAGTATGTTTAGCCAGTCCTTGTCTAACAGTTATTACGACATCCAAATGCATACCTGTTTAGTGCAGGGAACAGAATGGCAACTTTTTTATTTTTTATTTTTATTCTCACATCTTGCTAGTTACTAGAAAGATGTTTAGCTTAACGTTCTACGTTAGGAAGTTAAGGCAGTCTGGTATAAAGCAGTCTTTGCTTTCTCAGTTTGTCAATTCTTGTATTCTACCTATCCCTCATTACTGCTCCCCATTAATCTTTCCTGGACTACTTAAGAAAGACTTTGCTTCTCTGCGTAGGGCACTAAAAGCTGTTAGTAGGGCAAGTGGGATTTCGTTAAACCAACTGGTTAACATCATTGTGGATGGACATATAATGTCATGTAAGAAACTAGCGAATTCTATATTGTCAGACCCCGAACACCCTCTCTATACGCAGCTCTCTCCTTGCATTTCATCTGGTAGAACTAGAAGCGACTATAGGAGGCTATATGCCAGGATTACCAAGTACAAAAACTCCACAATACCTTATCTGGCACAGCTGTTATGTGATGAGAAATCCGTTAGGTATGACACGATCAACTTACTGCGGCACTCTAACAAATAGTTCCCATTAGCTTTTGTTCTCCTTTCTTTGTTCCTATTATATTGTTGCTCACATATTCTATTACACACTAATTTTATATTTCATATCCTGTGGTGCATTATTTAAATATGTGAATGCAATGCTGTTCTTTTTTATTTCTTTTATTTTTCTTTTTTCTTTTTGTTGTTGTTGCTTTTTATTTTTAAAATCTTATAAAATTTATGAGGTAATTAGATGCAATATTGTAATGCACGCTGAAAATTCCATACCTGTACCACAAATACTGTTTGGAATAAAGCTATTATTATTATTTTGGTTCCTTTGCGTTCCGATGGCTTCAAGTTGGAGCTTCGAATTTTCAGTAACAGTTGTATTTAATTTTAACGGCATTGGGTTGCTAAACTTACATCCAACCTTCACCCCCCTACCCAGCCTGCTATCCACTAAGCGACGTTAAGGAGTGAGTCGGTCGAGAATCGAAAGCCAGATTTTTCAATTGAACTATTGTCTACAATACTCTGAAAATACTCAGTACAATGAAATCTTTGGAAATTAGACTAACTACGAGTGATTCTTGAAAATTATTATTTTTATTTTTTCAGGTGACCCTGGTGAGCAGGGTAGCCCAGGTGCCCCTGGATTATCTGGATTACCTGGACCGAAAGGAGATTATGGTGATACTGGGCCTACAGGAGATCGTGGCTATCCAGGTAAGGCTTGAAAGTGTGTGTGTGTGTGTGGTATGATGCTTTAGCTTTAGATGCTTTAGAAATAGAATGTTGTGTTAAAACGAGGTTGTCAAACCTTGTAATACCGAATTAGTCTGTGTATTCTACCATATCTCACTACCTTAGTTCAATTACTTTGACACTTAATTAGTGACATTTTGTAATTATATTTTCCGCCATAAAGGGGATAGTGAAATATTACGTCTCACTTCAAAAGAAACATCTACCTAGTTGGAAGAGGGTTAAGAATTGGATAATGCAGCGCATATGGTACTTGTCTCGTTAATTAGACGGTTGCAATGAAGAAGATTTTCTTTTCGGTGAAGTTATCAGCTGCGCTGTGCATTCGTATATTTACAGTACATGAGTTGGAAGCTTCCAGAACTATGTTTGGTCAAGGGTCAAATTAATAAAATTACAAAGTAAAGTAAACAGGAAGATTGGATAAGAAATATAGTAAGATCATAATTACAAACAAAACAAGAACCAATCGCTCAACAAATATGCAGGAGAAAGTGGAGATGGATTGGACACTCGCTGAGCTGAGGAGGCCACTGGGCGACATCGCACGTCAGGCCATAGCTCGAGTGGAACCCGAAAGGGAAGCGGCGAGTGGGATGTCCAAGGGAGGAGACATGGAGGAGATCGTGTGAAGAGGAGTTGAAACAGTATGGACTAACATGGATGCAAGTGAAAAGTACAGCAGAAGACAGAAGCAAGTGGAGACGTGCAGTTGAAGCCCTATATTCCACTAGGAATCCAAGGGAACAATAATAATTATTATTACTGAAATACTTAACTGTTTGTGAAATTAGGGATTAAAAAGGTGTTCGCGCTAAAATCACGAATTGGTAGAAGTTAGAAATCGGTCCCAGTGGCTCATCGGTATACGAACTTTCTTTCTAGCCGAAAGGTCCTGGCTTCGGAACCCATCCGGTGGGTGAGTGCTGCCGATGAGTCCCAAACTACGATGAAACAGCTGTCCAGTGCTCCAATGCCGGTTTTCAATGGTTCTCTAAATGATATCAATCCGTGATCTAACATGAAACAAATGCAATCCCTACAAACTAGAGAGAAGAAGGTTCAACGTACTTCGTTTGAAGATATAACGTTGGCTTGTGGATTGCTAGTGTATCAGCTATGCCCAGATACCTTGATCTCACTCCATTTCACAGGTCTGATCGGATCTTGTATATGACTTTGAAGGGCTTTTCAAATGGAGCTGAATATCCTGAGTTCACCAGATGTTCTGTTACCGAACTATGTGTATACACCTGCGTTCTACCTTCGCTATCCAGTCTGGATAGTATTCCAGACTGCGTTTTATAATTGGACGCATACTGTGATCAATGTACTCGATTCCAAAAGAGCTAGTGAACTGGCATATGCCTGCTGAAGTGACCTAATGTGACAGCTTGTCTTTCATATGCTAGTTGAGTAGTTTCTTGCAAGACTTGTGGTGAAGTATTAATTTTACTGAGAGATTTCGAACACAGTTCACGGAAAATTCCTGCCTCAGGATCACTTTTAAATTTGACATCAAGCAACAACGTCCTTTTGGGGGGGGGGCGACTTGAATCTGTTTATAAATTTTCTTTGGTTTTAAGTTCTTGTCCATAAATCCATAGAGATTCCGCGGAGATGTCACAGTTCTCTGTCAATAGATTACTTGGTAAACATTTTCCAGACCCTCAAGGAGAAAGAATATGTAAGGTTACCCTTTCTCCTAAGAGGAACACAACTTTGAAAACTGATAAACTGTCCATTCCATATGGGCTTTTCGTATTTTTTTTATTCTTTTCTGCTGATCTCAAAGCATCACTTTCATTCTTCTTTTAGGTCCAAAAGGTGAGAAGGGATTACCTGGCCTACCGGGAACAGGAATTCCAGGGGAACGTGGTGCCCCAGGTCAACCAGGTACACCCGGCCCGAAAGGTGCCCCAGGAGATGCTGGTATTACTGGAGACCCAGGAGATCCAGGTATAATCTATGTAATATTTGTTTTTGCTCAATTTATTTGATGTTTCATTATAATCACGTACATCTTAAGTAACATACTGCATAATTATTTGATTTTCTTGGTTTTATCATTCTTACTAGAAAACGTTCATGTCATTTCCCATAAGTTAACATAATTTTTGAATACAATTTTCTGTATAGGATCTGATGGAACACCTGGTTTGCCCGGAGAACGTGGAGATATTGGTTTACCAGGACTTCAAGGTGATCCTGGTCCAAGCGGTGGAACTGGTATAAAAGGAATTACCGGAGATCCAGGAGATACGGGAGAACCAGGTTTGTCTTGCTTAAGAAGTTTTTTTTCCCATTATAAAGCACAGCACATTTGACACAAACAATTTAATAATTACTTCTCTTATCCGTGAAAGAAATTAATTGAGACAGCCACCTGAAAATTCTACATTATTATTATTAGTGTTATGTTGGGTTCCGAGTGGAATATAGAGCTTCAGCAGAACATTTACATTTTGTCCTATTCTCTGTTGTCTTCTCCAGTCGACCAACAATTCCCCATAAGCTGTCATCTCCTCCTCAGATGGTCTCCTCCATGTCACTGTTGGACATACATCCAACTCGTTGTTTCCCATTCCCCATCTCCTAGAGCGATGGCGTGCATTAAGCGCGATGTCACCTTAGTGTCTCCTCAGTGTGTGTCCCATCCATCTTCATTATTTCCGGAATATTTCCTGAACGGTAACTTCTTGATTGATTCGTTAACAAGGTTTCGAGCCGCTAATCCTTTCTAGCATGCCGTCTGTTCTTCAGTATGGAGCCAGTGAAGGCAGCTGGTGATAAAAGTCTGCATCAAGCTGATCGTGAGGCATGAGTCAAGATCCTGACCCAAATAGAGGCATTCAGTGACTTAACACTGGTGTTGACAATCCGAATTTTGTTCTTTATGTTGGGTGGAGAAGATCTTAACACTGATTTTAGGGTGATGAAGGTGATGATGTCTTGCCTTCCCCATTCTGCTTTTGACATCCTCATTCGCGACATCACTTGTAATTGAAACGATGCTGACTAGATAAGTGAAGGAACTGATGTCTTTCAAATTTATTTCCATTGGTAGTGACTGGTGCTTGTTATTGGTTGGTTGGTTGTTTATCTTCGTCATCTCCACCTTCTCTATTTTCACTTGGAGTTCTGTATTTGCTGCTTCTTCTGCATTATTTTATTTATTTATTTATTTGTTCCTTTATATTTCCAGTGGAATATAGAGCATCAAGCTAGAACTTTGAAGTTTCGGTAGCAGAGATGTTAATTTTTATGGGGTGAAGTTGCTAGCCTCACAATCAAACTTCTCTCTTTGCCTGCCCTACTATTGGCTTAGAGAGGTTTGAGAGTGCATCGGCCGGGAACTGAATCCTGGACCATGTGCGTGGCTGGCGAGCATTCTACCGCTGAATCACCGACGCACGCTTCTTCTGCATGAGGAATCTAAATATTGCTGTAAATAGTAAATGCGATTTCAGTCCACATTCAGAAATAACTAACTGTTAGATGGCATAATAGGGTGAGTAATACTGAGGTTAGACGTCAACTGTTAAGAAAGGAAGTGGTCATTCAATGAGGTTGTGAGGCTTCATAGACTGAAACGATTAGGATATGTGTTATGCATGCCTAGCCAACGCCTTCCCCGACGGGCAGTCTTAGCTGATATAGAGTTGATGAGGTGGGAAAAGAACTGGTGGTGGTCAAACCAAAACATGGCTTCCCCAGTCAATGAAATCCACAACAGTTAGTTTAAGCCAGCGACGTAGCGAGGTGTAGACTACGCGGTTGGGGTTCCTAGGGATGGTAAGAACCAATAAAAGCTGGAGAAAATTGGTGCATTCACTCTTTGTGATGATTTGTCATATCCAATAAAATTCTATTTTTCTTCCATATTATTATCCTTTTTTCCCTCACTTACACTTCTGTTTATTATCTCTCTTTTGAATCTCTCTTTACTCTATCGCTTTGTGGTCTACATGGAGAGCGGCGACTGGAACTGCCGCACTTCTGTGCAAAGTTCTATGTTGAAACCAGTCAATAATTAAATGTATTGGCTACAGTCTGGTGACTTGTTCGGATAGATGTTTCAGTGAGTAATGTCACTCAAGAAACAATCTATGTAGGGGACTTAATAGCGAGCTCGGTAACGGAACTGTTATTTGAATAAAAATCCAAGTCAATGAGATGACAGTGTAACAGTATATTACAAAAAATACAGTTAACGAGTTATATAAATTTAATGATTACTCGATGATACAGTTAAAGTCCTCTGCTATAAATTAATAATATAATCCACAGAAGAATTCACTGCTGGAGTCGTGTCTAGTAGTAGAAGCTGTGCACCAGTTGTAGAAGAGTCTTCGGATGGGGATGAAAGGTTTCTGCAAAATCCAGAGGATACTACATGGTTAGTAGTGAAGCAAGTAGACAGTATGGACTAGTGACGAGACGAAGCGTCGAACAGTACACTGCACTTTAGATTGTACTTCGAAGTGATGTATATTTTACAATGAGTCGTTTTAAACAAAAGTTATGTAGAATGTTTCTATTTTTAATATCTAGCAAAAAGCTGTACAATCATATTGTTCCAGACTATATATATATTCATGTGAGGCTTCATTTATGACCAAAATTAACAGTTTTATTGTCCATTTGTAATTCACGAATTGTAAAGGTTAATAATTAAGAGTCATATGAGACAAGAAAAGATTAGCAACAGGGATCTCTATGGAACGAACCAACCCAGAAGGAACCGATTGTGCAACAAATATGCAGGAAGAAATGGAGGTGGATTGGTCATACTCTGAGGAAAAAAACCATGAAGTGAGTGACATCACACTCCAGGCCATCGCTCTTGAGTGGAAACCGAAGGGGAAGCGGCGAGTTAGTTGGTCGTCAGTGTGAGGGTGAAATGGAGAAGGAGGTGGTGTGAAGAGGAGATGAAAGCGTATGGGCAGACCTAGAGCCAGGTGGAGACTTTGGCAGAGAACCAAACGCAGTGGAGACGTACGGATGAAGCCCTTTGTTCCTCTAGGAATTAAAGGGAACAATAATACATACAATACTAATAATAATTTGAGACCTCAAACTTCGCACGGTTTACTTTTTACTAAAAAGAAATAATCATACGCTTGTGTTCAGATATCGAAATAAACGGACACTTTTGAATTTAGCCAGTAACACTGAAGTAGCTCTTCTTCCACCTGTTAATCATAGTTTCTTTTATTTTTATTTTTTTAATTTGTCTAATTTCAGGTCAACCTGGACTTCCTGGAATGCCTGGTGACAAAGGCAAGTGTATTGGAGCAGCTGAAAAAGGAGAACCTGGTGCTCCAGGTCCAGAAGGTTTTGAAGGTCCTAAGGGAGATCCTGGACCAAGAGGAGCGAAAGGAGAACAGGGACCTTCAGGTCCAGCTGGACGAACAGGTAAGACCGTCTTTAAAAGAATTACTCAGTGTTGATCATTCTGCTCTGGATTATTAAAGATTCTCATTTCATGTCATTAAGGACAGACACATGAGTCATCAAGGAGAAGATGGCTTAAAACGCTTTTTTCAGTCACTCAGTTTGAATTTCTTCCAGAAGAAATTAGGGACGATAACCGAACGATTATTAAAACCACACGTAGCGTGACGCGTAAAATCCAAAAACACAGGACTTATCCAAAATACGGTACTTACTATATTAATCGTAAAATAGGAAATATAATATACAAACCTCAACTGTGAGGTGTCTGTGGCTGAATGCCGTCAAAAAGCACAGTCAATGTGCAAGTAAAAACAGCAGAACTGTGTCAAAGGCGATCCACGTGATATTCAAGCAGCGCGCGAATGTTAGACACAGAATAAAGGAATACGGATAAACAACGGTCAATAGTAAAGGGCACACGAATAAAGCATATACAGCAAATAATGTTCGACTGTAGGAAAATAAATATCATACATCAAATATATATGAGTGAAACATCGAGTGAGATAAACTTCATTAGCAATGGTTAAGAATTAACAAATACAACTCACACTACTTACTAGTGATAAGTAGTATAAATTTTTAACACAAAAGAAGGAATGACAAGAGGGACATTGGAAAGAAATTAACACTCAGATTATTCCTTATGCTTAGCTTTGTTGTAATTCACAAATTTAATCCAATAAATTTTTTTTTACTTTCTTAGGTGAAAAAGGCATGAAGGGAGAAAGTGGTTTGCCTGGTCCAGATGGACCGCCAGGTGAGATCGGTCTACCTGGTCGTCCTGGTGCACCAGGTCTTAAAGGTTTTGAAGGTACACCTGGACCGAAAGGATTTGAAGGACCTGAAGGTAGGGAAATTTTTCTTATCTCTGATAATTTTTGAATAAACTGTTAACTTTTTTAGTTTAAAGACTTTGGTATGACAATATAGTCAATAGTGAATGCTGCTTATCGCCCACATAAGTCTTTTAGTCTCCAATTATTAGCGTTTCAGTTCTTGATGTGGTTGTGTTCTCTGAGCTGGATAGTTAATTTGCGAAGCTTTCATTGTGCCCTACTAGGTGACATCTTCAGCGCGTATTTCAGTTTGAAGTGAGCTTTTAGATTTCTCCACGAGTTTATTAATCATCTCTCCCGAATGGTGACCTTGGACGTGATTGGTTGTTTTTGTGTGTTTTCACACCCTCCAGGTGGCTACTTGTATTGGAACTGATTGTTTATCTGACTTGAACTTTGACCCTTTGTGTGTGAGGTTTCTTTCTTATCGATTGATAGATTTTGTCACTCTCGATGTGTCTATTGATTGATGATTCACTGGAATACCAAGCGGACTTCTAAAAATTCTCTAGCATTCTTGGTGTTTCCTCTGTCTAATATTTGAACGCTGGTTGTCCCAATCGAATTGATGTTCGTGGTTGTCTGTATGCATTGATATGAGTGGGGGAGTGGATGTCATGTCTTTTGACGGCTAGCTTATGTTCATGGATACGGAGACGAAGGGGATGTCCACTTTGGCCAATGTAGTGTTTTTCGCACTTGTTACAATTTATTTTGTAGACGATGTTGGTTTTATCTTCTTTCGCTGTTGAGTCTTTTGGTTTACATAGAATTGAGTGAAGTGACTTTGTTGGTTTGTGTGTGACGTCAATTCCTCATCAAGGTTTGACGAGTCTTGCAGTGATTTCTGATAAATCTTTTAATGTATGGCAGGGCGACTTTCTTTGTGCTTTCCTTGGGGGCTTTTGGTTTGAGTTTGGTTTCAGTTCTATACATCAGATAACACATAATGAAATACGGTACTGCTATAATAATTAGGTACATTAATAATTCCTACTTCTAAGGATTTATTCTTAACATCAACTTGTGTTTAACAAAGTAAGAGCAGTTACAATTACCTGTATCAGTAGAGTACCTAATGATCTTTAGAATAACTGAATTTCACTTTAATTGCCCACTTATTCAATCTAACTAAAAATGGGGAACACTGCAACGTGTATATCAGGCATCTTAGAACGTCAGGTAGTCTGTCTAGTTGCTCTGCAAAAGTAATTGCTTATTAAAGTACGGTCTTCAGACAATAAACGCCATAGATGGTCCTAAATTTTTAAACATAAAACTTGCATATTTTCCTAATATGACCGTTAATACACTTGGTCAGCTGCTGTAACGAACCTCCTACCTAGTCGATTTGCGAGCCTATTCTTCTAATCCCTATTAGCAAAAACAACAACACCACGGATCCCGCTACGCAAGAAGACAAGAAGACAGACTGTCAATGTAAAGGGCTTCTAATGTCTCGAATCAACAGTAAAATGGGTTGACAGCAGTTGTGTACATATTTTTGCTTTAAATGGTGTATACACATTTGATCATAGGGAATAAAAAGACGGTTGCAGCGAAGAAAATTTCCTTCTTTTCGACGAAGTCATCATCTAGGCTGTACATTCGTGTATTTATATCAAATGGATGGGAAAGTTCCAGAATAATTTCCAGTTAAGGGTCAGATTAATAAAAATTACAATTAGGAATTAGAATGCCATAATAAACAGCAGGGGGACAGATAAAACTCAAACAAAGTAGCATTATAATAACTAAGAAGATTGACGTTGTGCAATTGGGGGTTAGAAATGCAGAAATAACAAAAATAGACAGGATGTTTGGATGAGAAACTAATGTGATGAATAATTGTTTATGCAATCAGGGATTAAATATGTAGAAATAGTAAAATGACAAAATAAACAGGAAGAGTGGATATGAAAATATGGTAGTGTAGACAGGGATTAAGAAAAACTTAAATAACATGAATAAACAGGAAGTTTAGATAAGAAAGGCGATGGGATGGTCATTACTAAAATGTTTACCTGTTTATGATGGCCATGGTAGAGACAAGGGTTGGACGTATTTGTTTTGGATACAAAGAGTGGGCTTGAGCTTTTGGATAGCTAGTGCCACGGCTGTACCCAGATGTCTTAATTTCACTCTCTTTGATAGGTTTGATTGAATCTTGTATATTATTTTGAAGGATTTTTCGAACGGCGCTGAATGTCCTGAATTGACCAGATGTTCTGTCACTGAACTATATACACGTTTTTGGTCTCCTTCTACTAGCCAGGCTGGATAGTGTTCACGAGTGCGTTTTCCAAGTTGGCGCATGGTACGGCCGATGTACTCAGCTCAGCACAAGGAAGTAGACTGGTATATACACGTTGAAGTGGCCCAATGCGACAGCTTGTCTTTCGCGTTCTGGTTGAACAGTTTCATCACTTTAGTTTTTTATCCAAACATCCTGTCTATTGTTGTTATTTCTACATTTCTAACCCCCAATTGCACAATGTCAATCTTCTTAGTTATTATAATGCTACTTTGTTTGAGTTTTATCTGTCCCCCTGCTGTTTATTATGGCATTCTAATTCCTAATTGTAATTTTTATTAATCTGACCCTTAACTGGAAATTATTCTGGAACTTTCCCATCCATTTGATATAAATACACGAATGTACAGCCTAGATGATGACTTCGTCGAAAAGAAGGAAATTTTCTTCGCTGCAACTGGCTTTAAATGGTTCTGAGAGACATTAATTACATTGATAAGTTAAAACAACCAACAACCAATAGGGTTTCAAGGCCATAAGTGGGGAGGGAAAACAAACAACACTGCACTGTAAAGGTAAATGTAATATTTTAGAAAAATTAGGTCTATATAACATTTCCTCTCAGTAATTTACATCTGGAGTTCATGTACTCTTACACACGTCTTTGATCTGCTTATTGTAATGCAGTGACGGTGACTAGCAGATAAAGAAACTAGTGTACAGTAAGTAACGACTAAAACCGACTTGCTGTGTTCTGAATGCAGGAAACCCATCTCTGCATCCTACTGTATAGCTGGCAAAACTTCATTGAGACATCCATAGTCACAAAACGCTCCACAGACAGCAGAAAGTGATTATTCTTCGACAAATCTATGTGGTACTTACTCTCCAGCAATAATAATATCAAAAACTCGAAAAAAGTTACCTCAACAATCCTGTTAGGCAGCTATACAGTTCAGATAAGTTCCTAGTACAAAAAACAAGTACCTGTAGAACAAAATTTGTTAATCAAAATTCAACCGTAAGTATCTGGGAATCAAGTAGAATATTCCGAAAAAGGTGACATCAAGAACTTACAAGCCTCACAAGAATCACACATGGATAATTTCCGCAAACAGTTCAAGGTCAGAACAACCCTGATTCACTCAAATAAATTCGTAGTCGTAATACAACACCCTTTTCAGTGTCACCACACAACCACAAAATTAAAGAAAATAAAAAATTAGAGAATAAACAGGAAGAAAGACAAATAACAGGGATCAAGTCAACAGATGACACGCGAATGTCAGAACAATAACTTATAGTCTAGGAGAATGCCAGACAGTAATTACAGAGTTAGTTGAAACACCCAATTAAGTATCAATATTGTGATTAGACGGTTCAGGAGGGATTTTCGGAACAATTATTCCGTTACAATTATTCCAGTCCAAGGTGTCATACTTGAAAAATTATACTAGATGGGGAGGCAAGAACTGTTGCGCACCACCACAGCAGGAAGTATGAGTTTGAAAGAGAGAATAATTTAGCAAAGACTTGGGAGAAAGACTTTATACCACTTCAACAAGAGTTTTGAAGCTAAGGACTCAAACGCTGTCGACGGCGATCATAATTTGTTTTTACTGTTTTTAATGTGTCAATTTCGAATTGACACTTATGCCCATGTTATGCGAGATATTATAAACATTAAATTAACGGGAAAATGTTAACTTTTATCCTCACAAATCTAGGTATTCCTGGAGATGAAGGTCCGCCTGGTCCAAAGGGTGAACCTGGTTTACCCGGTACAGATTCATTTGGTACTAAAGGTGAACCAGGAGAAAGAGGTCCTCCAGGTGACACGGGAGAAAAAGGTTCTACTGGAAAGCCGGGTTTACGCGGACCACCAGGTGATGAAGGAACAAATGGTCAGGCAATCGTTGGAGATGCTGGTGATCCTGGAGATGTTGGAGAGAAAGGCTTACCAGGAATGCCTGGAGATCCAGGACCATTTGGACCTAAAGGTACTCCAGGAGCACCAGGTCCGATGGGACCAAAGGTAAGTAAATAATTCTTTTGGTTCACCAATGTCTTGATCTTCAATATGATTAATACTCTATGTATAATTTTCATTTAAAGGGTTTAATTGGAGATGCAGGTGTTCCAGGCCTTCAGGGTCGCCCAGGAAAGCCTGGTCCAGAAGGTCCACCTGGCTTACCAGGTCCAAAAGGTTTCCCCGGAGAAAAAGGTCAAAGAGGCATAAAAGGCGAAAGAGGTGAACCAGGAGAGGTTATACTCGGACGTGAAGGAGAGATAGGTGATATAGGAGAAAGGGGTATCCCTGGAATTCCAGGGCCAAAAGGAGACAGAGGATTCCCTGGTAAGCTCTAATGAGTATTTATAAGTAGTATTTATGTAATTTGCGTATTCATGTCCAAGATAACTTCTTACTACTGATACACTGTGCATTATTTTTGAATTCTGCTTAAAAGGTGATGTTGGACCGAAAGGCTTACGTGGTCTACCAGGTCGAGTAGGCGAAAAAGGTCAACTGGGAATGCCTGGAGATAAAGGTGAACCAGGTAGAATTGGAGTTGATGGATATCCTGGCAGAAAAGGAGATAAAGGAGAATCTGGAGACATTGGACCTATTGGAGATTCTGGACCTAGAGGACAACCTGGACCAAAAGGTTTCCCAGGTGCTCCTGGGCAGTGTATAGCAGCTGAAGAAAGTGCCATTGGTGATCCTGGACCTCAAGGTCCTAGAGGACCACCTGGAGAAAAGGGTTTAACAGGTAATTATGAGACAAAAAACCTTTTATTTTCAAGAATAACTTGTTATTATGCTGTTATTCATAAACTGTGGTAGAAGCTTGCCAGTTATAGTAGACTAGCAAGTCCCCAATTTCTGTAAATATTAAAAGTATTTAAATAGGCGTGTAGTGTGAGATAGAGTTTTTCGGTGACAGATCCTTCACTGACATATCATTCTTCTGGTTTACCCGCTGAATTAAGAAATAATCTTTTTTACGTTAGACCAAATCATTCTGTGTCGTTTTGAAAAGAGGCTCTTTGAAAATACACTTGAATATTTCCTTGAATTTTTTGCTACATGACAATGCCATGTCTTAGGTGATCCACAAAGGAAAACTCACACAGCGAGACTTTCGAAGTGAACACAGGAGTGAGACAAGACTGCCTATCTATTATCACCGATGAATTATGCATCAGACTGTGGGGAGCGAGGAGAAAGGAATACGCTGCATCACCGATAAGAAGACTCTAGAAGATTTGGATTTCACCAGTGGATAATTTATGTTTAATGTCACACAAATTCGAAGACTTGCAGGTGAAAGCTAAAAAACTGGTAGAAGAGGCAGGCAGAGAAGACAGGATTGCAAGTGAACATAGAAAAGACCGAGGTAATAAAAATAACCAACCAACAGCAACAACAACATCAACCAGTACCAATCACCATCAACGGGAGAGATTCGACAGAGGTCATTTCCTTCACTTATCTGGTCAGGAAGTCAAAGCAGGACAGAATCGGAAAGGCAAGATACGCCTTTATCAACTTGAAACCAGTTTGGAAATTTTCTGCACTCCGTGGCATAAACAGCAAGATTTGGATTTTCAACAAAAATGCAAAGTCAGTCAGAAACTTGACTAGCGTGTCACGAAAAGGATTTCCAACAGCTTCTTGCAGGCTTTTATCAACAGCTGCCATCGCTCAAGTGGAACTCAAAATGGAAGCAACGAGTGGGTTATCAGTGCGAGAGTGACGTGTAGGAGATCGTGAGAAGGAGATCAAAGCTAACAGAGAATCGTGGATTTGGTTACAGGATTTCATCATGAGCTGACATTGGTTAGAGAACCATTGGAAAACCTGCAGGGAGTACTGGACAGCTGTTTCGTCCTAGTTTGTGACTCTTCATCAGTACGCATCCACCGGGGTTCGAACCCAGGACCTTCTGGTTACAATCAGCCAAATCCCTACAAACCAATACTTGAATATCAATGAGATGCTCACTGGTGACTGGCTCTATCCAGGTAGGTAGTTAGTTACCTGGGGTTCTAGTGGGAAGTCGTGACTAGTAGGGTGCAGCACGTCGGGTGTGAGGACAAATACTCGCAAGCAGTGACACTGGATAGCGGTTGCGCCATGTCATGAAATCCTGTAACCAATTAGAAAGTTAGTTGAAACATCGAAATAAGTATAAATACTGTTAGATTAGATTGTTCAGAAGGGTTTTTTTTCTTCGAAAAATTATTCAGTAAGAATATAACTTTTAATATGTTTGTTTTTCTTATTAACATCACAAAAGGCTTACCGGGTAAAGTTGGTAAACCTGGTGAACCTGGTCCACCTGGAAGAGGTATTCCTGGTCCTAAAGGTCAAAGAGGTGATCCTGGTTTCCGTGGCCTTAGTGGTGAGTGAATTATTTACATTTTATATATTACCTTTTAAATCATTATTACACATAAAATCAGCTACAAAAGTCTTCTGATATAGATTTATTAATTGTGTATACTTGTAAATGGTGTTATTACTTTCACATTCCGTTGAGGTAACATCATTTTAAATATTTCTAGAAGTGAATTTGTGTTTAAACAAAGTGTCTTAATAGACATTGGTTATATACAGCCCATTATTCTGTACAAGAGTCTGCACATTCTGTTGTTCTTGGTCTCTTAACATAAACGAGAGTTAGAAGTGAAATTTCTGTTATTGGACGAGCATATATGCGATATGAATTCAGTTATTCTTGTATTTTATTTCTTCCTACTACTCAATATTAGCAAGTAGTATAAATATTATAACGTCAACATAAGCCGAACATCTCAGTCCAATCAATAATCAGCGGAAAAATCAAAATTGAATTAAGAATAAATAATAACCATGTCTACTTACCTACTCATTAACTTCCTTTGTATGTCGGTGACACAGCGGTTAGGACTCTCGCTGACCAAGCACATGGTCGTGGGTTCGATCCCCTGTCGACGCACACCTGATATTAACGGTCGGTCCGCAAAATCTGGACTACCGATATCACATACTGGAAATTTCATACTTGTACCAAGATACACACATCTTCATCAACCTGAAACCAGTTTGGAAATCTTTTGCACTGCACTCAGACAGCATGAGGATCAAGATTCGGGTTTTCTCCATAAATGCGTCATAAATGTGAAGTCAGTCAGTCAGTTCTTCTATACCAGTCAGAAACTTGCACTGTGCGTCACGAAAAAGATTTCCAACAAGTTGCAGAATTTCATCAACAACTGTCACCTTCTCTGGATTTATAGTGATGATCAAATGGCCGGTCAGAAGGAAACAGCAACAAAAATCTCTGACTGCGAACAAACCAACAGGCGAGAGAGCCGATTGCTCAACAAATATATAGGAGAAAATGGAGATGGATCAGGTCGGGCATACGTTGAGGAGGGAGTCGAATGACACCATGCTTAAAGCAGACCATCACTCGAGTGGAATCCTAATGGGAAGCGACGAGTGGGTCATCACACTGAGGGTGACACGGAGGAGATCGTTTGGGGAGGAGGAGATGAGAGACTATGGGGAATCGGAGACCCTGCTGAAGAGGACACTGGAAAATAGAACAAAGGAGATATGTGTTGCTGAAGCCCTATGTTCCACTTGGAAACCAAGGGAATAATTATAATAATATAATATACATTCCTTACTTCCAACCATTTTCGTATGTGGTTATTTATTTTTTGTTTTGCTCTATCAGTGTTTATAATCCCTTTCTCTTTTTTATTTGCCCAATTCAGGTCCGAAAGGAGAAAGAGGAGAATCCGGAGATCCAGGTGATATGGCTCTTCCTGGAGCTAAAGGTCCAAGAGGTTATCCTGGTATTAAAGGCGAGAAAGGTGAATTAGGTATGCCAGGAGATACAGGTCCAAGAGGTCCTATCGGCGACCCAGGTCCTTCAGGAGAGATCGGTTTACCAGGTGATGATGGCAGACCTGGTCTTCAAGGTCCACGAGGCGATAAAGGAGATACTGGTTTCCCTGGAACAATTGGAATGAAAGGTGACACTGGAGATGTTGGTGATCCAGGACCAATGGGTCCACCTGGTCCACCTGGAGAAGATGCTACTGGTCTTCCTGGTCTTAAAGGAGACAAAGGTGAACCAGGCACACCTGGACGCAAAGGTATGATGGGTGAACCGGCAGCACGTGGACCGAAAGGTATTAAGGGGGAGATGGGATTACCAGGTCCTACTGGTAGGGAACCTGGAGAGCCAGGACCAAAAGGAGAACCAGGACCGAAAGGGTCCCCTGGTGATATTGGTCCCAGGGGGATACCTGGAGATATTGGTCCACCTGGACCAGAAGGATTTAGTGGGCCACCTGGACAAGCACTACAAAGTACCTATCTTTTCACAAGACACTTTCAAAATCCTGACACTGAACCTGTATGTCCTCCTGGTTCACAGAAAATATCCGAGGGGTACAGCTTTGTTATGGCCAATGGAAATGGAGAGTTGGTTACAATGGATCTTGGTAAGTGTTTTCGTCAATATGAAATGACCTATTCCGTTTTAAAATAACTTTACCTACAGACAAAAATCATAGCTAATAGCATTATGCCGTTGATCTCGAAGATTACTATAACTTGGTCTCTAGTTTAATAATAACAATAATAATAATCTGCTTTATTCCAAAACAGTACTAATGATACAGTGTGGAACTTTCAGCATTTGATACAATACTGCATCTAGTTTTATCGAATAACATTAAAAACAATTACATAGATAATATTACAGGATTGTTTGCCAATGGCAGTTCTTATTTGGTATTAGAAATGACAGTGAAGTAGTACGTATATACAAAAAAGTTGGCTGATTTCTTTCTTAGTAAGCTAGAAAATGGACCTTTGAACAACCTTATCAGTAAGCTCTCATTTTATTGCCGATATATGGATGACACCTTCATTCTTTGTGATAGTGGTTCTGATAGGAGTACAATAATTATTGAATTCAATGAAGTACATTCGGCTATGAAATTCACATGCGAAGAGGAATCCCAAGACAGAATCGCCTTCCTGGATGTCCTACTTACAAGAAAATCAGATGGTAGCATAAAAAGAAATTTGCATAGAGAAAGCACCTGGACAGGACAATATACACATTTTCACAGCTTCGTTCCTATCAAGTACAAAAGAAATTTAGTCACTACCCTCAGCCACAGAGTTAGCGCTGTATGCTCAGAAGAAGTAATTGAAGATGAATTAAGCACTGTATATGATACTTTGATCGAAAATGGTTATCCTGACAAATCTATCAAGAAACACATGACAAAGAAAGCGGAAAAGGACTACTCACTGTCTGTAAACAAGAAGCCACTTTATATATACAACTGCAATTCATTGGCGATATCCCAAGTGAGATAATTACGAAGAAATTAAGAAAATCAGTTCAAAGAACTTTTAATGCTGGCAAACTACACGTATTATTCTCTACACGACCGATGGTTCTACCTCGACTGAAAGATGAAGTACCTAGACTAGCCACTTCAAATTGTATTTATCAATTCAACTGCGCTTGTGGTGGAGCGAGTTATATTGGCCGTTGCTCTAGGAACTTGATTTTTCGTGCTCACTGGAGAACATATCCCACTATGGCTAAGTAAAGGTGTAATTAAAACTATTAACAGCTCGATTTTAGACCATCTGGTGCAAACCAGCCACAAAGCCAGCGTAGAAGAATCCTTCTCCATAATATACCAGGTGCCTAAAAAGTTACCAAAATCGTCGAAGCACCGTATGCTCCAAACAGCAGAGGCTATTGCAATTCGCCTCAAACAACCAGTGCTCTGTGTTCAAAAGAAACAAGTCCAGCGCCTAGTACGGCCCTGGCCCTCAGTAGAGACTATAAACTCATGAATTTGTAATATTATCTTTCCTAATTCTCCTGACATTCAGTTTATTTTATGTTGATGCTACTGATCTGTAATCTATCAATATTATTGATTCGATGTTATTTAAACAACATTAATGTTGTTCATAACACTAATTCATTCATTCACTATAATGTATATATAACTGTAGAGCCTGATGATGAATTTATCGAAAACAGTACTCTTTGTTCCGTGTCCATTCTTTTGCAAATAATAGGGTTATTAGCTAAGATTGTCGGTCAACTGAGATAGTGTCACCATAGATTACAAATGGAAGATAATAAAAGAGCCGATTGTTTTCCTAACAACATAGTAATTCATAAGTTTCACGCTTAACACTGTCTCTGTCACACAGAACACGAACGAAATATGGTATCGTTGAGTTCTTATACTTGGTAGTACGAGCATGTAAACTTTTGTACTGACTTCTAGTTCCACCAGATGAGATACAAGGGGAGAGTTGAGAATACAGAGGGAGTTGAGGTCCAGACAATATGGATTTAGACCGTTTCTCGCATGAGTTCAGATGTCTATCAACTAGTGTAGTAACAAATTGACTAAGTTGCACATTACTTGATCTCCTGACAACCTTTAATACCCTTCTCAAAGTGACATAGTTCTTCTTCAGTAGCCCAGGAAAGACTAAGGATGGAGAGTAGTAAAGTACAATAGATAAGATGCAAGAGTTAACAAATTGTAAAAGCAGAGTTTGAGTGATTCCAGATTGTTTTAGCTTCCTAACGTTGAAGCTCAGACTGGACATTTTCTTGGAGATCAATAAAATATGGGATAAACAAGTAAGGTCAGAAGACAGAACTATACCAAGGTATTTTGTGTTGAACTCAGTTTCTATTACAGTCCTCTGTATGCTACAAGTCGCTGTAGATCACGTTTATGTCTAAAGGAGAAGTCAATAGTTTGGTATTTTGATGGATTTAACGTAAGACCATTTAGATTAGACTACTCACTGATGTCTGACAAAAAGTCATTAGGTAGGCAACAGTCTGATTGGGACTTGACAGGAAGTGAGACGGCCAGAAACGGCTTTTTAATCGTCAGTCACACCAAATTTTATCTTTATAAATTCTATCGTGTTGAGACTGAGTGCAGGTAGATTTACTACAAATGTACAGCATCGACTTAATTTTGTATAAATGTTTCAATTCAGACAGGCGTAAATTGATGTGACGTTTGTTTATTGCTAAAAGTTAATATGGGATTGAGTTTCTGTTTTGGTTAAATATTAAAAATCATACTTTTACGGCAGAAGACAAGGGAATTAGTAACGCACTTTTATTTTACAGAAAAACGCATTATATTTATACGCTTATAACCAAATTAAAAGTCAGCTAGGTCAGAGGACAACGAACTATTCTGATTATTCTTTCCTTTAGTTCCTAGAGGAATATAGGGCTTCAGACGCAGGTCTTCATTGAGTTCGGTTCTCTGCCAACGTTTTCACCTGACTCCACGTCTACCCATATGCTTTCATCTCCTCTTCACATGACCTACTCCAAGTCACCCTTGCACTGATGACCGAATCACCGCTTCCCGTTCGGGTTCTACTCGACAGCAATGTCGTGGCGTGTGATGTCACTCACTTCATATTTTGTTTCCTCAGAGTATGGCCAATCCAACTCCATTTCTTCCTGCTTATTTGTTTCACAATCGGTTCCTACTGAATTGGCTCACTCCCAGAGATCCATGTTTCTTATCTTTTCTGGCCATCTGATCTTGAGCGAAATATTGAGCGAAGACACCTGTTGATGAAGGTCTGTAGTTTGTTTGAGGAGCTCCTCATGACGCACCAAGTCTCTGATCCGTATAGTGAGTAGCACTGACCTCACATTGGAGTTTAAAATCTGGATCTTATTTTTCATGCTGAGTGCTGTTGAACTCCACACAGACTTGAGAGTAGTGAAAGCTTGTATTGCTTTCCCGATCTTTGTTTTGATATCCTCGTCAGTTCCGTCCGGCTGTAGTTGAAACGATGCTTCCCAGGCAGGTAAATGAGGTTGTTTCTTTCAGGTTCCTCCCATTTATGCTGATTGTTGTTTGTTGTTGTTGCTGTTGGTGTTGCCCAGGAATCTTCATCACCTCTGTTTTCTCTATTTTCACCTGAAGTCCTATCTTTGATGCTTCTTCTGCCAACTTGTTGCTTTTCGCTTGCATATCTTCCAGTTTGTGGGAAATCAGACATATATCATTGGTGATTTTCCCAAGGTTAAACAATGAAATGAAAAGTTTTCCAATGAGATTATTTTATTTCCACGATGTAAACTAGATCCAGATTTGAGTAATAAACACCTTCACCTCTGCAGTCAACAGCCACTGCCTTAAAATGTCAATTTCAATTCTGGCAGCTTCCTATCCATCCGCACTCACACACTACTGATAAATCTTTTCAGTAGTACGCACTACCTTACGATCTAATTCTTTCTTTTGCTTCTATCTCCATCATTTTATCAGGTTCGCATAGCTCATGCTTGAATATGTTCAGTATAATGCCATTTTTCCAATGTCTACGTGATGGATCTTGTCAACTTGGTGTTCGTGCAGATCGTTCCTATTGGCTGGCTACTACAGAACCACTTCCAATGATGCCATTGGATGTTAGTGAAGTTCGTCGAAGGGTAGCACGTTGTGTCGTCTGTGAAGCACCAACTCAACCGTATGCTTTTCATGCACAAGCAAATCAACTGCAAGAAGTCAACTGTCCTGATGGATGGGCAAGACTTTGGGATGGATATAGCTTTGTTATGGTAAATGGTTTTCTTTAAAAAAATATACTGCTTTAATTATATTTCAGTATTAACTATTCTGAAGTAAATGTAATAGACTTTAAATAACTAAACTTACCTTTCATACTCCTAGGTGAGGAAAATTAAAGCTAAATAAAAGTGTGATGAAACCTGATATCCTCGTCAATTCCATCCTCCTGTAGTTGAAACGATGCTTCCAAGGTAGGTAGGTGAAGGAGGTTGTTTCTTTCAGATTCCTGCCATTTATGCTGATTGTTGTCTGTTGTTGTTGCTGTTGCTGTTGGTCAGGAATCTTCATCACCTACATCTGTTTCTCTATGTTCACCTGAAGGAAGTCTTATCTTCACTGAATGCTTCTTCCGCCAACAAGTTGCTTTTCACTTGCATATATTCCAGTTTGTGGGAAATCAGACATATATCATCGGCGAAGCCCAGTTCCTCCACGTTTTTCGTGAGAGTTCATTTTATGCCTGTTTCCTCGCTGCCCACTATTTATTGCATTATCCAATCTACCGCAATCAGGAAAATCATTGGCGATAGTAGGTAACCCTGTCTTACTCCTGTCTTCACCTCGAAGGATTCCGTAAGTTTCCCGTTGTGGATTACTTGGCATGCAACATTGTCGTACAACTGTTGGATGAGATGTATAATTGTCCGCGGCACCCCTTGGTAGTAGCAAAGTATTTGCCAAATCACCTCTCGATCGACGCTGCCCTATCGAAGGCCTTTTCAAAGTCTATGAGTAGTAGTAGAGAGGTGACTGCCATTCCAAGCTCTGTTCAGTGATGATCCGTAGTGTGACGATTTGATCAATATATGACTTGTTTCTCCTGAATCCAGCCTGTTCCAGAGTTTGTTTGATTCTCCCCAGGATGATGCGGCTTAGTAGTTTGCTTGGGATGGACAGGAGTATAATTCCGTGCCAGTTCTTGCATTGACTTAAGTATCCTTTCTTCCAATCCAATCTTCCAAGTAGTATATATATGTATATAACTGCATAACTTGTTCTTATTATTATTCTTCTCGATTATAGCACAGTGTTGGAAGTACCGGGGGCGGTCAACAACTTTCATCTCCAGGCAGTTGTCTTGAATACTTCAGCTATTCACCATTATTAGAATGTAACAACGGGATGAGTTTATGCAATTATTGGTCAGATGCAAAAGCCTATTATCTACGACATGTCAGTAATAATACAGAATTTCAAAAACCTGTTGGCCAGTATATTACAGATCATTTACCGGATGAAACAAAAGTCCTACGCGAGATAAGTCGATGTCGTGTCTGTGTGAAATCACGATTCCAATCATATTTTGTTTAAATTCATACTATAAAAAGTTGTCAAGATGAAACAGCTGATGAAGAGATACACAACGGCCAAAACCACAAGTACAATGATAAACAATAACGACAATATCATTTTACTATTATTATTATATATAATGTCAAAAATACTTACAAACTGATGTAATTCATATTGTTGCTTAGTGAACTTTTAAAATTCAAATGCCTAAATTCAATTTGGATGCACATTTCACTGTTTTTTGAAGGCAATGTCCCTCTTCTACTTGATCTCCTTCAATAAGTGATACGTTTTTATTTTGAGTCCAGGTGGATCGATTATAATTCTGTTATATTATATTATTATTTGACCGAAATAAACACAATAGATTTCAAGGCCGTTTTGTCCTTATCGTCTTTATATTATGAATGAATTAATTAATTATATCTTTAATCTGGACTACTCAGTGACTTAGATGGAAACTTCTACTATTATTATTATTATTACTATTTTATTATTACTATTATTATTATTATTATTGCTATTCAGTACTTGTTTCGGCTGAATTTACAATTTATTTAATTAATGCTTAATAGGTATTCAAGTTTATTCCTCATGAATTTAGGGATTTTTCTTTAAAGATTTAACATTGAACATTATTAGAATGGGATAATTTCTAATGTTTGTTTGTTTGTGTTTTCAACTCCTTAATTCCTGTTTTTGTTTTTTGCCAGCCACTTCTTTGAGCTGTAATCACAAAAATTATATATATATATATTTAGTGCTAATTGTTTGATTCATGGAATTATTGATTATATTACTTGGAAAGTGTTGTTCATCCCTTCTGTTTGATTATTGAAAGCCACGATGTGAAGTAGAGTAGTAAAGTTACAGTATGTTGATGTAAGAGTGTGAACGAATAATAAATATTATATTATTATATTATTATTGTTCCGTTGGGTTCCTAGTGGAACATAGGGCTTAAAATGCACGTCTCCACTTGCTTCTGTCTTCTGCTGTACTTTCCACTTGCATCCATGTTAGTCCATACTGTTTCAACTCCTCCTCTTCACACGATCTCCTCCATGACACCCTTGCATTGATGTCCCACTCGCCGCTTCCCTTTCGGGTTCCACTCGAGCTATGGCCTGACGCGCGATGTCACCCAGCGGCCTCCTCAGCTCAGTGAGTGTCCAATCCATCTCCACTTTCTCCTGGCCGATTGATTCTTGTTTTGTTTGTTCCCATAGTTTCTTGTTGGTGATTCTTTCCGGCCATCTGATCTTCAGTATAGAGCCAGCGAAGACAGTTGTTGATAAAGGTGTGCAACAGGTTGTTGGAAATATTCTTTGTGACACACTGGCCAAGTTTCTGATCCATCCGTATAGAAGAAGTGACTGACTTGACGTCGTTTGTATTGAAAATCTGAATTTTGTTGTTGATGGTGAGTTGAGTGACGAAGATTTCCAGATTGGTTTCAGGTTGATGAATGTGTTTCTCGCCTTCCCGATTCTCGATTTGACATCCTCGTCTGTTCCTCCTATAGTTGAGACAATGCTCCCTAGATAAGTGAATGAAGTAACCTCTTTCAAATCCCTCCCGTTGATGGTGATTGGCGCTGGATGTTGCCGTTGTTGTTGTTGGTTGGTTATTTTCATAATCTCCGTCTTGTCTATGTTCACCTGGAGTCCTGTTTTCACTGCCTGCTTCTTCGACCAGTTTGTCGGTTTTCGCCTGTAAGTCTTCGACTTTGTGTGACAACAAACATAAATCATCCGCGAAATCCAGGTCTTCTAGGTTCTTCACGTCGGTCCAGGATATCCCCGTCTTCTCGTTTCCCACTGTCTGATGCATAATCCAGTCCACCACAATTTGGAATATCATTGGTGGTAATAAGCACCCTTGTCTGACTCCTGTGTTTACTCCAAACGCCTCGCTGAGTTTTCCGTTGTGGATCACCTGTCACGTGGTGTTGTCGAACAGCTGTTGAATAAGGTTGATGAATATTTTGGGTACGCCGTAGTACTCGAGTAGTTTCCAAATCACTTCGCGGTCAACGCTGTCGAAGGCCTTCTCAAAGTCTATAAAGTTGAGGTAGAGGTTTGATTGCCATTCCATGCTTTGTTTGATGATGATGCGTAGAGTTACAATTTCGTCAGAGCATGATTTGCCTTTCCTGAACCCAGCTTGTTCTGGTCGGAGTTCTGTATTCAGTGCGTCCTTTATTCTATCCAGGATGATTAGTCATTCATTTCACAGTATGAAAGGTGTGTATGTGTGCGTGTGTGTGAAGGATGTTTTCGAAATAATTGTGTCAACTTATGGGTAGCCCTATTTAAGGTAGTTTGTTAAGGTGGCTCGATAAGTTTTTTGCAGTTATCACCGAAAACAGAATAACCAAGAAAAGAATTCACTGTTGATAGTATTTTGGGGGTGAATAGGGAGTGAAGTGGTTGACGGAGCTTGTTGACCACTACTTCACTTGTTTGGGAAGGTGCACCAGCCAGTGTCAACGGGTTGATCTCTGACGAAATCTCAGCACGGATATAGAAGGCTCGTTTCGCATATTCCAGTTTACGCTGTTTCTGGTGTAGATGTGATATCCGGCTGGCTGTCGACCGAAGGGCGTGTGTACTACTCAGCAGTCCGCTCCGTCCTCCTTTATGGCTGTGAAACATGGCCACTGAGAGTGGAAGACATGAAAAGCCTGGCTAGCTGTCCTTGATCATAAGTACCTGCGTTCTATCTCCCATGTGAAGTGGTAAAACAGGGTGAACAATATTGAGTTTAGGTGTCGGTCGAGTGCTAGGTAAGGAGGGGAAATCAATAGACGAGGCTGTGAAGTTACATCGACTGAGATAGTTAGGGCATGTGTTACGCATGCCTAACCATAGGCTTCCTCGATGGGCAATGTTAGCTGATATAGGATGAGGTTGAAAAATGGCTATTAGTGGTCAGGCCAAAACATGGCTTCATCAGTCAATGAAATCCACAGCAGTTAGTTTCAGCCAAGTAAGGAGGATGGTAAGAAACAATGAAGACTGGTGAAAATTGGTGATATGGCTGAAAATCGTTCTCAATAGCTTGTGCAGATGCCTCTACTCCTTGTGACTTATAATACCCAATAAAACTATATTCTTCTTCGATATTAGTATTATTTTTGAATCATACCTCTGTTTACTATCTCTATTTTGCACTCCTTTTTACTCTCCTCTCTTGCTTTGTGTACTACATGGAGTGTGGCGACTTGAACTGCTGCACATCGGTGCAAAGTTCTATGTTGAAACCAGTCAGTCAGAAATGTCGTTCATCCCTTCTGTTTGAAACTGAAAGCTACGATATGAAGTAGAGCAAAGTTAAAGTATAGCGGTCTAAGAGTGTGACAGCGCTTATGATTATTCTTCTGGGGTTTCTAGTGGAATATAGTACTTGAATAGTACATCTCTAATCTCTCCTTCTCTTCATCTCCTCCTCACCCACACCCACACACGCACACACACAAGATCTCCTCCGTTTCACCCTAGGTCACATGCCCAACTAGTTGTTTCCAATTCACCTTCCACTGCAGCGATGACCTGTTTCGTGTGTGTGTGTGTGTGGTGTGATTGAACGGTCTCCTAAGAGTATGTCCGATCCATCCTCATTTCCGTCGGAATATTTGTTCAGCAATAGGTTCATGATTAGTTACAGGATATCATCGTGAGCTGACATCGGTTAGAGAACCATTGGAAAACTTGGGAGTACTGGACAGCCAGCTGTTTTGTCCTAGTGCTTGGGGCTCTTCAGCCGTACGCAACCATTGCCAGTGTTCGAACCCGGTATCTTCTGGTTACAAGACAAGCGAGCTCATAGACCATTAAGTCACTGGGACCCAACCCAATGGCCAGTCCATGAATTCTAACTTCTGTCAATTCACGACATAGCGCGACCACTAGCCAATGTCTTCGGCGAGTATTTGTCCTCACACCCAGCCTGCCGCAACCTACTGGTTACGACTTCTCACTAGTACCCCAGGTAACTACCTACCTGAATAGGGCAAGTCGCCAGTGAGCATCTCATCGATATTCAAGTATTGGTTTGTAGGGATTTGATTGATTGGTTACAGGATAGACAGCTTTGACGACGAACGGATTTGGAAGCTACTTCAGCTCTATGCAGTGACCAAACCTTTGTCAACCTGATTAGACAGGAATATTACGGTGCCACGTGTCAAATAATCCACTATGGAAGGCTCATAGAAACCTTTGAAATGAATAATGGAGTAGGACAAGGCTTCCTACTATCCCCGATGTGATTCCTAATTGTGGTGGACCGGATTATGCTGAACACCATACGTGCGAGTGACAAGACAGGAATATATGGAACCGATAAGAATACTCTAGAATACCTGGACTATGCGGATGATTTATGTCTGATATCATGTAAATTCGAGGACTTACGGTGCAAACCAACAAGTCGTCAGAAGAAACAGCCAATGAAGGAAGAACTTAAAATAAACGTAAAGAAGATGGACGTGATGAAGATAACCACCAACCAACTACAACAAGCGTCAACCATTACCAACGGGAGAGATTTGAAAGAGGTCCACTCCTTCACTTATCTCACCACGCAATATCGTTTCAACTACAGACAGACTGCATGGGATGACGACATCGAAACCAGATTCAAAAAGGCAAGATAAACCTTCGTTAGCCAAACATCAGTGTGGAAATCTTCTACACTCGGCATAAAGGAGGAAATTCGGATTTCCAATGGTGATGTTAAATCAGTCAGTTCTTTTTATGGGTGACAAACTTGGCTGATGTGTCACGAAAAGCATTCCGAACGGACCACTTTAGACTTGTATTAACACCCACCTTCGCTCCACACTAAAGATCGAATGGACGGACAGAAAGAATCGGTAACACGAAACTCTGGGAAAAAACTAATCAAGTACCTATTACTGAAAAAATATCCTGAAGAAAATGGAGGTGAATCGGAAACACTCTGAGGAGGCCATCGAATGACATCGCACTCAGTGTAGGCCATCATTCGATTGGGAAACGGTGGGTTAGGTGTTTGTCTGAGGGTGACATTAAGTAGATCGTGTGAGGAGGATAAAACAGCCTGTAGGGAATTGTGGGGCAAGCTGAACAGGACTGCAGCGAATAGGCTGGAATGAAGACGTTTTGCTGAAGCCCTATATTTTACTCAGAACGCAAGGAAGTAACAATAATAAGTCATAAAATGTACTGAGTACTAAGCTAGCTAAGAATATATGATTCGTGTAAAAGACAACTAAAGTTTAAACAGTAATAAGCTTTATTATAGAACTGTAGTAGCAAGATGTTTAGTTGAAAA